CAGGCCATGTCCCACGAGAACCATGACTGCTGGCTACACTCAACACTTTGTCTGGAGGTAAATATTTCTATACCAACACCCATCCTCCCATGTGGGTGAATAAAACAAAGTGCTACCAACAAGAGAAGGAAGGGAGCAACTTTTTTTTATTGTCCATGCTGAAAGTGAGTTGCAACCACAAACTTTAAATATTTAGCACTGACATAAAAATAAGGATATCTCACAGCTGCTCTGAACATTGTGCATCAGCATTTTGATTCCCAAGGTTTGTGGGAATAAAATTCCCAATAGATTTCTATTTTTAAAATGAGATTAAAAGACGCTTCCGGCTGCTATTTATTCACTATAAACCAGGCTGGATATTGCACTGATATTCAACGGTAAGGATACCCTGTGAGATGGATATCCACGAAAACTGTCCATCAGTAAACTAGCAATAATGTTAACCTGAGTAAACAGGCAGTCGCATTGCTGAGACCAATGATTAAAGCTACTGCCCAGTGACATAGAGCCATGCAGAAGGCCTTAGGTTTGATCTCTAGCTGTACCATCAGATGATCTTAGCTGCAATTAACCTCATGCTCATCCTGGATTGTGAGGGGAGAAAGAGGAGTGAGGAAACAATTGTCAGGGTTGCTGCTCCGCGTCACCATTGAATAACTCCAGCTGAAGTGTATGTGTGCACACAGCTGGCTGCAATACCCCCATGATCAAATAACCTGCAAGCACTCACTCTGGGCTCATACCACAAATGGCCAATTGGAGAGGTACCAAAGGACACGACTGCCCACAAAACCTGTGCCAGGTGGGCAGCGGAAGGACAAAAAAGAATCCCTTCACCACTGACATAGTTACAACTATCCTGCTTGGCAAGGTTAATCACTTTCTAGGGACCCCTACATACTTTTTTTTAAAAAGAATATATAATGAGACTAATGCTACAATGTATGAGTTCACATTTAAAATGTTATTAAGAGCTTGACATAAGTGTTAGATGACAGATCCAAATGAATTGCAGATTTACTTGGCAGCAGACTTTAGAGGAACTGGTTAGCAGAAAACATCTTCCATATGCATATTTTTGAGAGATACTTACAATTCACAAAATATATTAAAACAGTTTCTCTAGTTGTTCAAAGGAGATTTTAATACTGATTTTAATACAAAGATGTCCACCAGACCTCCACCTCCTTAAATTACTCCCTGGAAGTAGTCACCAATCCACATAGTGGTACAATCATTTGGCTGATCATTTTATATTCAAACTGGCATAATTAGCTATAGAAACGCCCATGACAATTTGTGTGGAGGTTACACTCTCCACCAAACACTGCACTCTGAGAATTAGACAGGAACTAAGGGGTAACAAATCAATGAGTCATTGGGTCATGGCAAAAGTTACATATATAGTCAAACCTTTCCACAGAGCTATATGAAGACACCTTGTGAAATGTGTGTGTGTGTGTAAGAAACTCTCTTAATTCAAATTGAATAGAGAGAGAATGCAAAACTGCCAATACATTCACTGCTCCGCTTCCATTGCAGATACACTGCTAAATATACTGGTTTGTTGTAAACTCTGAATGGGTCTGATGTGGGCAATGAACATTCTACACAATAGTGTATTTTAATTGAAGAACCCCCTCTCCCCATTTGGGTTAGAACCATTAAAACAAAGTCTCTGAATTCTGACTGTGTCCATTTATTTTTAACCAAGATAAATAATTTAAACAACTTGTTTTATTGGTTTTGCCCCTTACTGTTCCTGGCTGATCTTCAGACGGGACCTCTGCGCAATGGCAAAACAATGGATTCTTTTCAAAAAGTGCTTTAGCATTGCATGAGTCAGTTATTAGCAGCAGGCAATGGTTAGTTTATATTTACGGGCACAACAATTCTCCCAGAAAAACAATTTTAATCAAGCTGACACAGTGCACCACGTAGGTAGATGGGGCAAACGTAGTTTCAGGGCAAGTCTCACAAGCAATAATTAGTCAAACCAGTTCATTGTCTCAGCCATTCCATGTTGCGGTGTGTGGGGTGGGGGGGAGACAGAGGCGAAGCATTCCCTTGCAAGGAGTGAAGAGAGAAAAACTGGATAAGTTCAACACAGACAATTCTCACAGCCAACTCAGCTAACTTAAGGTGAACAAGGAAAACAGTTAAAAGCAAGCCAATCACCAGGCCTCTTGATCTGGAAATAGTGGCAGTGGAGAAAAATAAAGCAAAAGGGAAGGAAGTACTGAATTCTGCTCGTTAGTCAGACATTTTCTGTGCAATTTCTTCTACAACATGACTCACTGCCAATGTGAATGGGTCAGCGGGTTTATTAATAAATTCTGTTCATAACAGGAGACAATTTCCACAAACATTCCAACTTTCTTGCAGGGGCAACAGTAAGATACTACAAATGCCCTCAGCACTCTCAATTTCTATTCAGGGGCTGGAAAAAGGTAAACTATGTTGATTTTGGATGAAGACAGAATTGGGCTCAGTTGCGATGGAAGTGTGAGTGTGCAAAGTCCATGGGATTGGTTTGTACACCAATCGTATACTTCCAGGAAATTAAAAGGGGACGAACTGACCAAGAAAATGTACACAACTATCTCTCCAATTATGTAGCAAACAAAGCAGAATTACTGTACTGCCTCTTTATAAACAGAACATTACCAACTTGAAATGCTTAGGGGATAAAGATTATCCTACTGAGAAATGCTTCTACATACCACATGAATGGACTCACAAAACAATTGCTAAAAACTACCAGGTTGATCCATAATCCAAGGAATTTTTTTTGGGTGGGGGAAGAAAGGATATGAGCTCTACCTCATTAAACATGACTATTACAACTATCCAAGTAGAGATCAAGAGGATTGAGACTGCTTTTAGACTAGAATCTAGATTTCCTTCCTCTGATGCAGAAATGTTTCCAGTAATATGAGATAAGCCTACTTTAAAAAGCAATGGCTGAAGTGGAACCGCTGTTAGCTTTTACAAGAAATATTTTAAAAAGCAAAATATAAAAGGATACAGTGAAAGGGTAGCAGTGGGATTAAATGGGTAGCTCTCCAAAGAGGTGGCACATGACCTCCTTCAGTATCTGTCAAATTAGAATAATCCTTGAATTTGATATAACCCCTTTTTCATGTCATTGAAACGTATTAAAGCACTTCACAGGATATACTATTTGGTGGATTGACTGTGTATTTTATGGGCGAAATTCTATAAGGATACAACAGAAGCTGATGCTATTTGATCTAAATAGAAAAAGACAGGTGCTACAGTGCAAAGGCATTGTCCTTTGAGAATAACATGGAGGAAAGCTGCGAAGAAACATCCACAGAAATGGACACACAATACGTTGCTTTTCAATAGGCGCCCACAATCTGTGGAAGACTTCCTGCAAACCTTACACCTTATTTCCTGCTCCTTATAGCAAAGAATGCCTACACTATTGTCTTTATATCCTGCTATGCTGTATAATGGTTTCAGAACTAAAACAAAAACAAATTAAAAAGGGGCGAGGGGGGAGGAGAGGCATTTGTCTTCACACATTGTTAAATTTAGAAGGCGCTGTATTTTAAACGCAAGATAATAAGTGTTTATATACACATATATATATTTTTTAAATTCGACTGATACAACTGAGGAAAGCGTGTTGTTCCGTAATACTCAGCCCACCATCATGTTATTTAATCAATAAAGCAAAGGCAACCTCTTTCTGAGCTTTTCGCTTAATGGAAGGAGGGTGAAATAAGGGAACCGGCTCCGAGGTTGGGTATGCGTGCAATCGCTTACGAAATCCCTCCCTGGCTTTCGTAAAACCCCGCAGAGAGAGAGAGTGAGAGAGAGCCACAGCAAGAGCAAGGCGCCAAGCAAGACACCGCCCTTAGCCGTAAAAGGAACCGACTGGAAATGAGGACAGGAAGAGGACTGAATGGAGAGATAGATAGATAGCGAGGGAGAGAGAGAGAAATCTCTTTGGGCAAAAAGACATTCATTTTCCATATTCTTTACGGGTCGTGAAGGGTGGGCAGATGTGAAGGGTGGGGGGGGGGCAGATGTGAAGGGTGGGGGGGGCAGATGTGAAGGGTGGGGGGGCAGATGTGAAGGGTGGGGGGGGGGGCAGATGTGAAGGGTGGGGGGGGGGGGGGGCAGATGTGATGGGTTGGGGGTTGGGGGAGGGAAGAGATTCGGATTTATTTCCCCCTTCCCCTCTCTTCCCCGCCGAAAGAAAAAAGAATAGCGATCAGATTAAACCAGTAACACCGGGAAAGTAAGACGAGACAAATGTCGGCCGAGGGATTGCCTCGACGTCCAACAATCTTCCAACCCCCCTCCTCCCTTCAGCCCAGATAACAGGAATAAATCGCGCGTGCACTGCGCCAAACCTTTCGTTGCAATCTGCCCTCAGTCCGTTTTTATCTCGATTTATTAATTAAAACTCACACACACACACAATACCCAGGAGAGGAGAACAGATCAGAGAATAAGAGAGCCGCAGAGCACGAAACCGCTCGCCTATGGGCCACGCTCGTGTGTGTGTGGGGGGTTGTTTTTTTTTTCGGGGGGGGGGGGGAGAGTGAGGAATAATCCCATTTCATTTCATTTTATTCAATCGCTCGTTTAGCCTTTTTTTTTGGCATCGTTAAATTCGCATCGAGTCGCGCAGGAGGAGAGGAGTGTGTGTGTGTGTGTGTGTGTGTGGGGGGGGGGGGGTAATAATAATACTTGCGTTTGATATAGCGCCTTATCACGTCGGTGGGACGTCTGGGAGGGTCTGTATGATATTGATATTAATATTTGACGTGTAGATTAATGTTTGCTCCGGTCGGGAGGAGGAGGGAGGTGAGGGGGGGCGCGCGCGGTGACCGCGGATTTTAAAAAAAAGAGACCGTTAAACGACCGCGGCCCCGAAGGTGCGGATTTGAATGCGACTGAAGAGAAGACCGACCGGAGAGCGCACAGCACAGCTTTCTCTTTTACCAATTATTCCTTACCGGTTGCTGTTTTTTTTCTTCTTCTTCTTCCCCCCTCTCTCACTCGCGCTCTGGGCAGACACTCACTCCCCGCCGGCTCCGAGTTTGCCTCCGCTTCGGCTGACAGAGCGAGGGACGATGGCGACGCCTGGCTGCCTGCCTGCCCGCCTGACTGGCTGTTCCCGCCCTCCGCTTCGATCGCGTCACTTCCGCTCCCTCCGCGCACGCGCGCGCCCCGCCCTCCCTCCCTCCCGCGCCTGCGCACTTGCGATGGGCGCTGTGCGCCGCCATTTGTCCACAGTCCGGGGCGGGAGGTGTCATGGCTGACCTGTGACTCGACTCCCGCTGGGGAAGGTGTGCGAGTGGCGTGGGGACCGGGGAGGGTTTTGGTGATGTTGAGCATATTCAAGGCTGAGACGGATAGATTTCTGATCGCGAAAGGGATGATACGGGGCTCAGGCGGTGGGGGGGGGGCGTCAGGCTATCAGCTGGAGTTAGATTGGAAGGTCGGCCATGATTGAATGGCGGGGTCGGGCTCGAAGGTCCCGCGCGGCCTACTCCTGCTCCGACATGTCACGTCGCCGTTCCCACTTTATTTCCTGGGTGTGGGGGCGAGCGGTAAGCTCCCCCCCCCCCCCCTCCCCGCCCGCGGGGAGCGCTATCCAAAGGCAAGTTGCCGTTCTCTTACCGCACTCTCGGTCACAGGGGTTTTCAGTTCCGAGCCCTCCGCGCGCCCCCCCCCCCACCCCCAACCCCCCAAGACTTTTGAGTTCGCGGTCCAGGATGGAATGGCATTGGCAGCGGCAAAGCGCAGTGAGGCGTTACACTGAGATCCTGTCTGTCTGTCCCTGTCCGGGGCAGAGATTGTTAACCATCCCGTGGCACTATTCGAAAAGATGGTGGGATGTGCATAAGTATTGTGAAACCCCTTTTCGTTGTTTAGATGTGTGGTTACCAGGATATATGAAAAGCATACAGTGGCTGAGATGAATAAATATGGGACCTGAACTCCTCTGATACCTTATAAACTAGTTGAGCTTTGTTGAATCGCCTTATGATTGGCTCAGCCCACTGGCTAAATTAGTTTCTTACTCACTCTTAACTATTAAGACGACAGTTAGTCAGCAGTACCGATCCGAGGCAGACCCAGCTGCTAACGTGACACGCTCAATTTCCCCTTTTGGATTCAACCATTTCTATAGTTTGCAAAGATCGGGAATATTAGGAAAATATTTATATTCCTGTTTCACGTGCTCTGCCTTGCCTGCCCCACCATTGGCAGACAGGCCTTTTGCCACTCTGCCCTCTGGTACTCCATCCTACAGTCCCTCCACTCACCCCCTCCCTTGCCTCCATCAAGACCTTCCTCTTCAACCATGCCTTCGGTCACCCTCCTTTCCCCCCAATCCTGACCCCCAGCTCAGGTCCGAAACATTGATTGTCCAGCACTTTGGGACATCCTCCCGTCATGAAAGGCACTATTCACATATAATTTTGTTTTGAATTTTTATATTAAAATCTTTCTATTGGTATTTTATATATTTATGAGTGACGGTATATTCTGTGGGGAGCTTTGAGGCGTTTCAACATAAGGAGGTATATCAAAAATTATTATTATTTAAATCAAGTGGCCATTTTACGTCTGTGCCTAAAATAGTGAGCTATTCAAACACGGAAGGTGAGCTCTATCATTTCCTTACCTGATGCCCACCTTCCAGCAGATCTTTTTCTAGTCAGATTGATTTTGTACTAAATCACAAGACTCAGCGAGGTTTAGGGTCAAACCTTCACCCCTAAACCAAGTACATCAGCCAGTCAATCATCTTTTAAAAAAATTAAATGATTAAGTTCAGGGTGGCTTCCCTCAAACCTTGAGAACGCATTGATCCTGTGGGTAGTTCATCTTAAAAGGTTAAACAATTAAAGGTAATGCTGCTGAAAGCTTAAGAGGCTTATTTTAGGTTTCTTACATGCCCAGAGATACTGAATGACCCATCAAGTGTTAACCTTAATAATGTGCAGAATTTTTAGTTTAAACTGGTGTCTTGTGAAGCAGCACTGAAACACTATGTCCTGTGCATGACAACACAGGTTTGCAGTTGTCAATATAATTTTATTGCGCACTTCCTATCTTTTATCGCAGGCTATAGCAAACCTCAAATGGAAAAATAAATAACTGGAATCTCAGCAAAGATCAGTTCCCTAATTCCTGGAATTGTTCAACTCCTGATGTCATTCCCTCTCCCAGTCAGCGAGTCAGCCATCATGAGAAAATAGTAACTCCTAAACCAAGTACATGTGCATCAGCCAGTCAATTGTCTTAAAAAAATTAATTATTAAACTCAGGGTGGCTTCACTCAACCCTTGAGAATGCATTAATCTTCTGGGTAGTTAATCTTAAAGGTTAAACAGGCGATCGCATCTCTACAATATGCCCAAAGGGCGATCATTAAACCTCATCTTCTGCCAATTGAAGCAGATAATATGAAGGGCAACTAGGAGTGTATGGAAAATAACAATGGAAGGATATTCTAAGAAGGAAATCATGAGTTGAAAACAATCAAAACACCCACACAGAAACTGTAAAGACATTGCCCTCCAACAATTACCTTATCATGAGCACTGCTTTTCTGAATTAACCACTCAAGACCTCAGAAGAAAAAAGCCACAAAAGAGATTGTAAAATATTTTTTATTAATCAGTACAGTTCAGTTTCAAGTTTTGTTTTAAAAAATGGACATTTCACCAACTTGAGATGCAAATTGCACACAGAATTAGCACCTTAAACTCATTTACTTTAATGCTATCTGGCAGATGATGATCAGAAGAAAAACTTGGAAGGTATTAAAATGAACAAACGAGTCTCTCCAGGGTAGGAAGGAGGAAGAGACTAAAGTCAAACTGTAGCTACCTTACTCGCTCCAACATGAAATTCTATACAACTACACACAATAGAAAGCGGAGGGGGGAAGAAAGGGGAGGGAAGTTACACAATTTATAAGCAAATTGTATGAGAGCAAATGTCAACACCCCTGTGATTTTGGAAGCTTTCCTTTTTTCTACAACAAAAAAAAGGGTCTGACTTAGGCTTAGAGTTACTGTGCAACTCAGCTAATGTGGCACATTTGTGTCCTTGTACCTGCCAGTCTTTGAATAAACCTACAGGCAAAGGCACAGTAAAATGTAGCCAATGGATCTCAATGGTGCCAAGCATTAATTGCAGCAAATGTAAGGAATGGTTCCTGCAACCCTTTACATTGCAGCCACATTAACACTGTTTACCAGTGGAGATTATATACCCCAAACTGTGGTGCTTTGTTTAATACGATCTGCTGCTGAGAATATTTCAGTTCCAATTTTACGACTGTTTACATTTGTTAAATAACATTTATTCTAAGTTGAAACATTTTTATTTAAAAAAGTTGTTCCTTGTAAGAATTATGCTTTATTTAAAAACTCCTGTGCGCATCTTAATGTCCTGCCAAAAAAAATCAGTGCAAAGTTAACAGCAAACCACACTAAACACTAAATATTAACAGCAGTACAGTTTTGCTCAGTTAAACAGAATAAATCAGCTCCCTCAGTGAATCAGGACATATTATCAGAAGCTTTCAATGAATCATTATAACAGTTGAAGGATTTTTAAAAAAAATGACCCAGGTAGTTCATAAAAATTGAACAGAATAATTATACATAAACTCCTTACAGGCAACGCCAAGACCAGGGTATCAGGATTCCAGCCTACATCACGCAAGCTGAAGCATCAGTAACAAAAATAAGTAACTAGTCTCACGGACAACAACTCCCCCATATTTAAAAAAAATAATTTGCTTGTAACTAAGAACAAAATGTACTCACAATAGTTGGTAACACCAACAAGGCCACAGGTTTTTTTATAAAAAAATTATTGCAATAATCAGTTCCCAGAGATGTGCATAAAACTGTAGAAAATGGCTCTGCTGATATTAAAAGTATTATACAAAATTTTACTTTGGACACTAGTTTTAGTATACATCAAGCAAACTAACTCCCTCAAGCATATCCCACCAGTTTAGATTTGATTAATTTACTCAACTCAGTTGGCTTCTACTTAACGATACCACAGCATGTTAAATGTACTACATGCTCCCCAGACTTCCTATCCACTCCTCAGATTTAATCCCTTGACATATATCAAGCATATCTGGGCCAAGTTCACTCTTTGCAAAGGGAAGTTTAGAATAGTGCATTGGCCAGACAAAGAGTACAAAGGATTCCCCCATGCATCCCGAAAACAAACAGATTCACCCAATTTAACTCCATTTCAGACTTGACAAATCCCAGTGTAGCACTACCCACATGCAGGTTAAAAACCTGGGAGAATTTCTTACAGCAAAATTCTCCATGTAGACATCAGAATAAGATCAAACAGTATCTTAATTCAAAATAGACATTTCAATACTAGTGTAAGAATTTAATGTTAACTGTAAAGGACCAGTTGATATTCAGGAGTGTTCATCCGATGTGTGCGACTGCCATTTGAACCTTAAAATTTGGATTTTAATTGAATAAATCAATACCTTTCGGACCTTTAACCAATCCCAATAAATCACAAAACCAAACATGCAGCTGCACTTCGATTATGGTGACTGAATATACCCAGTGGCCACAAGTTGGTCCATTCTCTGCATGCAATGTACACAATGAGACGACTCAGCCAGAAAGCTTTGGTTAACAGACACTATTTATTTCATGGACCGGGCAGGGTAGTACTACCCTCCCATGAAGGCAAGCAACCAGTTAAGATTTATCCCCCAAAATTAACATATTCAGTACAAAACAGGACTTGGGACTTAAAAAGTTACAGATTTAAAATCCTATTCAAGAAGAAATTCTAGACTACATTGTTCTTGTGCCCCTCCCACAAGGAAAAAAAATGGTCAACTTCCGTCGAGTCAAATTCAAGAAAGCATTGTTCAAGGTCATCATTTAACTTGTATCCATCTACAAGAGAAGAAAAAGGCAACCATTCAGAAGCAGTTGGGTTTAATGGCATCTTGCAGGTCCCAGGCTGCCGGCAGGATTTTAAATTCAAGCTCAACCCCAGGAATTCAAAGAGTTTTTAAAAAAAGTTTAACCACCAGTCAGAATCATGTGATGCATTACTTGCCCTTATTCACCCAAAATATTCAGTCACAAAATAATCCACTTTTCCCCTGTAGACTTATCACAAAATGGAATTTTGACTGCTGCGTCGACTTTAGACACATGTGAGAACAACACATTAAAGTACACTCACCCTAGCATTATACGCATCCAATTGGGCATCCAGCTCTTCTGCTGAAAGTTGTTGCCGTGAATTTCTTCCCCCACGGCCGCCTCTGGCGCCTCGATTGCCACCCCGAGATCCGCGTCTACTACCACCGCCCCCAAAACCACGACTTCTGATCATTCCTCTGCTGCTGGGACTAAAATTAATGGAACGGGGAGGTGGGGGGAAAATAAAACAAGCAATTACAAACCAAGTCTTATTGCCCTTGCAAGGGAGCCTTTTACCCATCCCCCCACCCCCCCCCCAAACACACCAACACAATAAACAGCTTAACAAAAGTTACAAGGATAGAAACAATCTTCCTTACAAAACACCGTCAAGTTGTAGACTTACACTGCAACAGGCCGTCTCTGAGCATCGATCTGAGATGTCACCAACTGAATGTTCATTGGTCGTCCTTTTAAAAAAGGAAAAAAAGTTTCACAATCTGTGTAGGAATGTAAAACACACTTTAATTCTACAAACAAAAGTCCAGTTCACAATTGTGCAAGTTAGTGGAAATTTAAAAAATTTGCTTTGAAACAAAACTGACAAACATTGAAGTTCAACCACCCTCAACCACAATACAGGAGAAATTAATTACCATCAAGAGGGACTCCGTTATACTGTTTCATAGCCTTCAATGCATCTGCTTTTCGCTCAAAGTGCACATCTGCTGTCCCCAAACTGCGACCTGATCTATCATAGTGTACAGCTGCCTTTTTAAGTGTTCCAAACTCAGCAAAAAGCTCCTGAAACGAAAACAAATTAGATGCTTAAAGAGGCACAAAGTGGGCAAAAACAAGTTAAGCATGCTATCTTCTGGTATAATTAAAAGTTTAAAGCATATGGTTGTTGCAGAACAGCAGTGTAGTTGCTTACATATAGAGTACGAATTGTGGAAAAACCCAAGTTCTTCCACCTGGCTTTGTATTTCAGCCTCAATTCAAATCACAACTGTTCAAATCTTTTCCACGGCCTTTAGGGAGAACACTTGTTTTCTGTATAAAAATTCTAGTAGGAATAACCGGCCCAGTTTCAGGGACCAAAACACTGCCCTAGCTTTTGATTCTACAAATACCAGCATTTTCAAACATGAAAATTTCAATAACAATAATATTCCTATACAAAGAGCAGAAAACCACCTGGTATGATTTATTGGAATGGCTTACATTGTCAGATTTCACCTACCTGGATATCTGCGTCAGAAACACCAAAATCTAAGTTGGACACCAAAAGTTTTCCACCGGTCTCAACGCCACCCCCACCACCTCCTCCTCCGCCTCCTCCGAAGCCACTGTCGAATAGGTCGTGCTGCCATTTATCTGGAAGTTGTTTTGGCTACAAGAAAACAGAAGGTACACCTCGCTGACTTCCTACATTTTGTTACCCCAAACAGAATTCACACCTCCACCTCAACTGCCCCCCAACCCCCCAAAACTGGATCCCAAAGTGCACTTTAAGCCTGAACGGTATTTGAGGTTATTAGTCCCATTAGAACGTAATTACACTCAATCTTACCTTCGCTTTTAATAACACGCATATTGGTGCGTGCGTTGCTTAGTGCCTGCGCTGGGAGCTCAATTCCGACAACTTTGGCAAATTACGAATATAAAGAGCTCCTAAATGTACGATAAAAAAATCAAATTTAAACATTAAGAGAATCTGCTTTGGCAGTTTACTTAGTGGAAAATTCACTTATTTATCATCCTACCACTGTTTCCACAGCACATCTGGAACTAAAGCCTGGATTTCTTTTATTAGCCACTAGCCAGTACCCAGATACTCTGGTGTCAAACTCCTCAGCTCCTGACGAGATCTTTGTGGTCCATCGGGAACAGCGGCACGCCTCCAATTCTCCCCAAACTGGAAACACTTGGCGTTTTCTTCCTTCTTCGTATGGAGCAAATTCACAAGGAGCATTTATCTCACGCTCCATTCACAGGGGCCCTTAAGTTCAGAGTCTTTTCGGGAGCCCACAAAAAGTTTGGCGCGGTCCTGCGCCCCGTCGATACGTTTCTTTGAAGTCCACCAACTTGGGAGTCCACGAACGTCCTCGGATTTGGGTTATGTGGCAACAACAAGCAGTCTCTTGAGAAATTAAAAGTCTGTTCCATCTCGGGGTGAAAGTCAAGAAAAAGTCACTGCGAAGATTAAACGGCCGTTGCGATGAACAAAGAGTCTCTGAAGTCCGATTGTGAAAGTTTCCGAGTCTGTGTGTGTGTGTGTGTGTGAGAGAGAGAGAGGAGTCTCTCTCTCTCTCTCTCTCTTCTCTCTCCACCAAACAGCTACTTGATCCCACGCTGCTGATGGCGGGCGTCCTCCACCGAGCGCCGCCATCTTCCCTCCTCTATAGCCGGGGGGAGATTTCTGGAGTTGCGTGTGGATGTGTGTGTGTGTGTATATGTATATATATATATAGGGTTTTTTTTTTCTTTTTTCTTTTTCTCTTTCTCTCTCTCTCTCTGTCTCTGTCTCGGGCGAAACTAGAAGCCGGAGTGTTCGGAACCGGAGCCGAATTCGACTTCACAGACAAATATATAAAAAAAATAGATGGTTTCATACGGTTTTTTTTAAAAAAACACTTCACAAGAGAGAACATTTTCTGAGGGCCGCGGCGGGGGGGGAGGGGTGAGGGGAAGGGGTGTGGGGGGAGAGAACGGGAGACGAGGACGCAGATCCTTCCTCGAGGCGACTTCTTTTTCTTCACGGGGGGGGTAAAAAAAGAGAGAGATGTGGGGGTGGGGGGGGGGATATTTCTCCATTTCTCCCCTTTTCTCTTTCTTTCGCTCGTCCTTCGGGCGGAATTTTGCGGGGGGCGAGGAAACCATTCTTCCGCCCGTCCGTCCGTCCTTCCGCTCGGCTCTGGGTCCCCCCCCCCCGCCCCCCCCGGTAATAACGGGGCGAGGGGGTGAGAGGGAGAAGGGCTTTTTTTTAAAAAAAATCCTACCAATTTTTTAAAAACATTCAAATCGACGTATGGCGCCGCCCGGACGGATCGGTTCGACGTTCAAAAACCGTCGTTTCTTTTTTTTATTGGGGAGGGAGGGAGGAGGCGGGGGAGGGGGGGGGGGGAGGTGTTAAAAAAAAATCTTTCATTTCTATAAATATAAATATATATATACGCATATATATATATATAAAAAATAGATAAAAACTTCACTTCACAACCAAAACCCAGAGATCTTTTTTTTTCTCTCTCTCTCGTTCGTTCTCTCGTTCGTTCTCTCTCTTTCTCGCTCGTGTGTGTGTGTGTGTGTGTGTGTGCAAAAAAAAAACAATTTTAGTTTTGACAACGCGGTCGCGTCCTACCCTGCTGTACGGTGCCAGCTGGTTTCTTCCTCGGTTTAATCTCTGTCTGTTGCGCATGGGGCCCGTGCCGAGGGCCCCGACACCACCACCACCACCTCCTCCTCCTCCTCCGCGGCCTCCCAGGCCTCCTCTACCGGCCAGGCCGCCGCCTCGGTTGATGCCGCGGCCCATGCCGCCTCCTCCGCCGCCGAGCCGGTTGCCCCTGCCGCCGCCGCCGCCGCCGCGGCCGATCCCGCCTTTCTGCCGGTTGAGCTTGATGATGTCGTCCAAGGACATGTCCAGTTTGTCGCTCATCGTCGCCTCCTGAAAAAATCTCTCCTCTCCTCAGACAGAAAAAAGAAAACCCCTCACACACACACACAACACCACACACACACAAAAGCGCCTTTGCCTTTTTCTTTCCCCCCCTTTTCTCCACGCGTTAACCTTCCCCGCCTCCCACCGCACAAACACGCACCCACACGCACGCTCCGCCTGCTGCTGCTGCTGCTGCTGCTCTCCCTGACCCACTCGAACTGTTCAACCGCCGCCTTCACAACCGCACAATGAACAGTCGGAATATGGCGGCGGCGGCGAGAAAAAGGGCCCGAGCCGGTGGTGGTGGTGGGGCGGCGTCGGAGGAGGAGGAGGAAAGGGATTGGGGTGGTGGGGGGGGGGGGGGAGGTGAGGGGGGAGGAGCTGAGAGTGCTTCCGGCGATGACGGCGGCTCACTTCCGGTGATAGTGGCGGGAGGCTCGAGGCTCCGCCCACCCCGTGTGCGTCACAGATGACCAGTCAGATGACACATCCTGACAGGTGCCCCTGAACAGCGTAAGGTGGACAACAGCAACAACAACTTGCCCTTATGTCGCTCCCCCCCCCCCCCCACCCCACCGGGTCGCGTCCCAGAGCGCCTGACAGCGGCCGAGCACCACAACGGACCTGGGCGGGGCACAGCGGGAGCCAAACCTGAAGGGTGTGGCCGGTTCCCAGTGTTAGCAATGATAACGTGGACCTTTGAAGTGTCGTCTCACGTGCACGTTCACTGACTAAACCACACAGTCACTACACCTCACATTGAATCCTGTGAAGGGCTTCAAGACTTCCGTCTAACGGGAAAGGTGCTATATCAAATGCAAGGGTTATTATTATACTGGTGGGTGAGTCAGTGACATTGGGAGATATCATAAAGGTCCAGATTCCTTCAGCTTCTGTTTCAGGTCTTGAGGACACCAGTGCAGTGAACTCAGCTCATGATCTGATGGTTGCTATGGATATTTTCTCAGTGTTTTAGTTCATCTTCTTCCATTTTCCCCTCTGCGCACAAAAAGAAACACAGCGCACTAACATTTACACCGCATGTGCAAACATTGCGGCTATTTATCATAAAACTCCCTTCTCTGCAATAACAATGCAGGGGATGTGAATCATTGCCGGTTTCGCTCCCTTATGGACCGGTGAATACTTTTGGGAAGTCTATTCAATCACCTTTCAAGGAAGCACTTGATGAATACAGTATTATTAAAGAATCAGGGTGTGCTAATATGTACAACGCTAAATTGGGTTTTAATTTTTTAATGGCGTTGGTGCGATGAGGAGGAGAAAGTGCAAATCAACTTTCTCATAGTTCTATTACTGGGAGAGTAAACATGATGTCAGAAAACATCAGAATAGTGAAATTATCGTTTGCTACTGGGGAATAATTAGTTGCTCCTTGTTGAGATTGGCCAAAGCATGATCTCCAGCATCCTGAACTGCCAAGGCCCATCTGTTGACAGTTGCTGATCACTAGTTTCTGATTGATTCCCTTTGAGATGCACACATCCTGCCTGTTGTCTTTCACATGCTGTACATTGCTGCAAGCACACATCCTCTTAATCAGCTATTCATAGGACTTGATCACACACCTTCTCTGACTCCCAACTCATTTCCATTTAAATTACCAGTTCTCCTCATTTCTCTTATATCTGATATAAGCATCTGGAGATTGGTAATGTTTTACTTAAAACTGTGAACCAAGGAGAACTGGAGAACACAGATTTTAATTAACCAACCTCCACGGAAAGTGGAAGCAAGATTTTTTTTCTCAACGAGTATAAGTGTCGAACAGATTACAACAAAAGCAGCTCATAGTTAACTCCTTCAGAAAGAATCTGAAAATATCTAATATCGAGTTGGAAATATGATTCAATGTCATAAGTGATTTATGATATTGAAGTATTAAAAATGTTTTTATTCCATTTTTAATCCAATTACACGTAGCAAGCTCACCAGATGTTAAATTATACACACCCGACTTTATTCCAAATCACCCGTCTAAAAAAAAATCAGTTAACCACAACCGATAAATACAACAATTTACCCAAGTGACTAGCAATTTAATGGCCAGATATAGACACAAAAAGAATTTGTGACCTCTAAATTCACTTAAAAAGTTATACCGTTTTTAAGATCACTATATTTCCGTCTTACTTTGTAAGCCCCGTCTATATAAGTTATTGATGATGATCCAGGTTTGTAGCAATCCTGGTAATATTTCATTAAGCGTTACATTAAAAAGCAACGGGTCAGCTTGGCACGATAGGGTCAGGTTGTGGGTTCAAGCAGCACCACGGGCAGGACCCTAAGGTCACAAGTACTCCCAACTCCTAAATGGAGTCCTGTAGCTCAGTGGTTAGAGCACTCTCTTTGCAAGTGAGAGACCCGAGTTCAGTTCCAGGCAGAGGGCGAAACCTCGGGCAAGTTTCCTTACTCCACACACAGCCTAATAATAATCCCTCCAAAAAACAAAAACAATAATAAATTGGTCATGTTCAATCTACGACTGTTTGTGGGCCATCGCTGTGGGCAATTGGCTGCCGCGTTCGCCCACAAATATACAGTCCATTCACTTTACAGTGTGTGTTCTGTGAAGCGCTTTGGGACGTCCTCCCGACGTGAAAAAGCGCTCTATCAAATGCGAGGATTATCATTATTATTATTATTTTTATTATTATTAAGTGTGATACAGCACTACATTGTAAGGGTGAGGTGTTAAACTCAGCTCTTTCTACTCCAACTACTTTTCCAGGTGGAAGTTAAAGATCCCCTAAAACTATCGGAAAAGAGAGGGAGTTTGGCCACACACACACACACACATAAATCCTCTGCACATTTAACTCACTTCAGCGCTTATTTAACGGGTCATTTCAGGGCGTAACTTGGCTCCCAGACCAGACAGAGTGACCCGGTATCACTGACTGACCAGTCAATCACCGCCGGACACAAAGTATCCGCGAGGAAATGTATCGCTTTGTCGGTCGGTATTTATCAATGGGGGAACTGGATATCCGCGCATGTGCGCGGGAAGAGTGGGAGGCGGCCGCTGATTGGCTGGTGGGCTGTCACACACACCCCCCCCTCCCTCCCTCCCTCCCCCCCCACACACTGTCAGAGTAAAGAAGATCAATTAAAATCCCAGATCCTCACTCTCCAGTCTTCATTCATCTCCTGTCCCCGTCTCCTCTCTATCCTGTTCCATTTTCCACTCATTATATATATATATAACATATATATATAACACATATATATATAACACATATATATAACACACATATATATAACACACACATATATAACACACACACACACACATATATATATATAACACACACATATATATAACACACATATATATAACACACACATATATATAACACACACACACATATATATATATATATAACACACATATATATAACACATATATATATATAACACACACACACATATATATATATATATAACACACACACATATATATATATAACACACACATATATTATTATTATACATACATATATTATTATTACACATATATATAACACATATATATATATATAACATATAAATATATATATTTCAACCAATTCGGGAATCGAAAATGACCATCAAAAGCCTGAGCCAGGGTCAACACCACCGCCCGCGGATGGCTTTTCTGAAAAAGGTAAGGATTTTAAGCCCTCAGTTATTTGCAATAACCTGTGTGTGTGTGTGTGTGTGTAAAAAAAAAGCGACGGGTGGGTGGGGGGTGGGGGGTGCAGAGGGATGGATTGCAAACTGCGAACACAAGAACACAAGGCTTTATTTCTCTCTCTCTTTTTCTTTCTTCGTCCCTTGTGAATCGTTTTCAATTCCTGCAGCAATTTTGCTCACCGATTTCACACCCTTTCGTGTGATGGTGGGTTAGAAACGCAGCAGAGACGCAGATAATTGCTGAATAAATAAGATAACGTGGCCGAGTGCTTGTACGGGCATTCTCCTGGTCTCTACGTGTCTATAAATTGTCCGGAATAGAGGTTTTAAAACCACACTTAAAAAAGAGTGGCATTTTTAATACTTTTTTAAATAAAACTTAAGGATATATGTATGTATATATATATATTTGCTACCACAAAAACATATTATACTCTCTCTATGTTATAGATATATATTTGCAGCTATATATATATTCTGTAAAAAAAAATCTTTTCGCATGAGCCTGGTTTAATCCACTCCATGTTTAGAAGAATGTCAATAACCAGAGCTAATCCTGTTTGGAGATTGACTGAGCACCAGGCGGATTAGAGCGAAGAGGAGATAACAACAACAACAACAACAAGATGGTTCCATTTATAGATATAAATAAGTGGCCAAACAGTTGCCACTTCCAACGCAGCGATTCCTGTCGTATTAGTATTTACAAATAGCTATTAGTAATTCAATTGATCAATGAAAACAAAATCGCCCGCTTGACGTTCGCCACTTTTTTTTTAATAAATGTCACCGAGCATCTCTCAGCCTCCTCCACAGATCTGATTCACTCCCGCTGGTGAGCGTAGGAATTCTCAATCCAGACTCTGACACAGCCCAACCCGGCTTCCGACGAGAGGCTGAAAACATCGGTGAGGATACCACACTGATAAGAGCGGGGGAGTCTGCAGACTGGGGGATGAGATATGTTTAGATTTCTCCCACAAAATACACAGTCAAATCACTTTAGAGTATGTCCTTTGAAGCGCTTTGAGATGTCTTGACAACGCGATAAGGTGCTATATCCAATGCAGGGATGTTTAGTTGGTTCCACGTCAAAATAAGTCAGGTCTGTTTTTAAGCAGCTTTCACCGTGACGAGCTAGAGCCGGCATGACCCCCTTCTCTACCTGCCTTCAAAGGGCTTAATCCTCGGGACTGTCAGCAGGTGCAGAGATCTATTCTGGATCACAGCACTTGTGACTTCAAGTAACATGTCGGGTTTGTAGCCCTCACTGAACATGGTTTCTCTTCTACAAGGGAAATAATAGTCAAAACAAATAACAACTACTTGCATTTACATAGTGCCCCTTATGCAGGGTAGCATCCTAGAGCTTTTGACAGTGGTGGAGCTCGGGCATGAGCATGGGTCGCTCCGAGGCGCTACCCCGTGTGAAGGGCACTATATAAATGCAAGTTGTTGTTGTTCATTGGGACAAACTTCTTTTTTTCCTGTTTTGGCCCCAGCCCACAGTTGCCATGTACCGGGGCTGCCGGCAAATCACCTTTTAATATCTTATCACATTGCTTTACTCACTTGTTTCAAGAGCAGTCAGTTTGTGTGTTTTGTGTGTGTGGTAAACTGATATTGATTAGGCCTCCATATCAAAAGAGTTTTCTGTCAATCAGGTCTGCACCATGATGTCTGCCTCATTACTGCTCTCATTTACAGTCTGCCTCAACTCGGTCTATAGAAACAGGCCATTTGCCTCGGAATAAAGAAATAACAATGATCAGGTTGAGAAATATTCAAACTGTGCAAAATATGCTTGGATTTGAGAACTAGATTTCCATGACAAGGTGCATTACCACAAATACATATTCATGTCTATGTTCAAGAGCAGCACCTCTGCAGACAGAATGTGCAGCTGAGGTGGTTGATTTATTCTGAAATTGCCACTTTCTCTGCAGCCAGAGGAGGATTCCTAACAACCCATCCATCATATGTTAGTGATCAAAGATCAGAGCAAGCAGCTCAACCTCACCTTCTTCCCTTCAGTGGGGAGGGGGGCACAGAGGGAGGATAGTCTGAAAAGAGTTCACCATTATGTATAAATACCTTAATTGTTTTGTTAATCCGTTTAATTTTGTTTTCCCTCCGGTTGGAATGCATTTATTCCCCAGTTTTGCATTCCCTTCTTGGAGAGAAAAAGGGGCAAGTGAAAGGCAAAAATATAACTAATGGTGCAAATGTTTTATATTTATATAAAAAAAACTTCCTTCACATAGTGCATTCATTTTACTTTAGTGATAATAGTTTTAATTACCATCTTTGGATTGGCATTTTGTTATCCCTCAAGAGCCAATGATCAGAAAGTCAAAATTGAACAATGCTTTATCAATGGGTGACACAGGAGGGGTCTGTGGGCACAAACTGTCCTATCAACATGTGCTTCAACAGCAGATATATCGATGTTATTCTCTATTACAGCTGCAGCTGTGGTTCTCCAAGTAAGGATAAAGTAGGTGAACCAGTCCATCTATTCTCTCCTGGTCCCACACGTCTGTCTCATTATGTCTCCGGAAAACAGTAGGATGTCAGGAACAGCTTCAAGCTGTTGCTGTTATTGTGGCGATGGTTTCTGAGATCATCCAGATCAATGCCAGTTTGAATTACATAATGGCTCATTAAACAACATCTCAGAAAGGATGTATTTGGGCCTTTGATCTTGTGTAAATTGCACGACGTTGCCTTACTGACAGGCTTGTTAATAGCTAAACTGTATTAAACCATTATCTAACACTACCCTCATAATCACATGGCTCTAATGGGTACCTAAGTGCTGAAGCAATCAGAATTAGACGCTGTAATCTATGGGACTTCATTACTCTGGCCAGTATTGTCACAGCTCACAGTGGGTATAAATAAACCTGTTAAAATATCAAGGGTTTTGTTGTCAGCGGGGTGGGGGGGCTTTACACATGCGGAAACCAATCGCCGTGTTGAAGAGTAACCAAACCAAAAAGAGTACATACAGCCCACCTGGAAATTCCTGAAATCTCAGTTACCGATGTCCTCCTGGTGTGAAAGGCTCTATGTCATCCTGAAACACAACTTAATTGACCGGGTGCCAATGCAAACAGTGTGTTTCTAATGGATCTTAGCCTGTGGGGTTTCATGGCTCACTTCTCTCACACGCCTTCTACTGGCTTTGTCACAGTTTATCCAATAGACAAAAGCACCTCTGGTATTGAAACCATACAATTTCTCGAGGATCAGACCAGACAATATGCCACAGACTCAGCAGATCGAAAAATGACTGCGTGAAACTGGGTTCAAGCGTTTGTCAGAAACCACACTAAGGGTATCATTAAAATGTTTTATTAGCAATTATAAAACAAACACAAGCATAAGCATCACATTAGACCCTACGCATTATCATTACTCGTCGTGCTTAAATGACTACTAAAGCACTATCTTAACAAGATACACTCAATACTAAAATTCTAAGCATAAAAGAAAAACATTATGTGATATATGAGATGTGCCTAAATAATATCTAACTGTGTTGTATGTTGGGTACGTGTTTTAGTAAGTAGGAGAGATACTACCGAGCAGGTAGGGAGTCGTGATGAGGTTCTAAGGCTGGCACAGGAGGTACCTCTTTGGATTGTCTTGGTATGTTGTCTCTTTGCGGTCCACTCCGGCGAGAGCTGGACTTGTCCTCTTTTTCTCTCTTCCCTCAGAGGCGCTCTTCTTCCTCTTCTGCAAAAGAAAATGATACTCCTATTCTATCGTATCCAGCCCGACCTGACTCCATGTCCCTGAAGTTTCAATAATTCATTGTCCTCCTTTCTGCCTCTGTCCGTGTGACTTGCTGATCTCAAGCTTTTCTCGATTTTTAATTGCTGATTTTGTATACCTGCCACACAGATGGCCTCCCGTCCATTCTCCTGGTCCAATTATCCTTATCTTCCCTGGCCATGGGTCGCATTCTAGTGTACTCCTGCCTAGCTCAGTGTCTCTTTACTAGGACTGTGTGTGTGTGTGATGCATGCCACATGGCAGTTTTTATTTCTTCAATTCATTCTACTTAATTCATCTATTCACTACATGATCAATACTAATGATTCTTATACTATAATCCCAACTATTTACAACTGGCTATGAATATTTCTGGAGCTGGAGTGCTGTCTGTGTGCATTTGAATACTTGAGTCAAATGGTAATAAACAAGGCACTTCTTAGACAGTATTCATAACAAACAGTAGCACAAAAATGCATTGACTGATGTCGATTATAACAGAAACTGATCACTGACATTTAGCACAGGGCTGCGTGCAGCAGGAGAGTACAGGACAGGGAGTGTTGTGGAGTGGAGTGACTTTGATGATGTAAATTTCTAATGGGGAGGCTATTATAAGCGCACAATGTTACTGCACTAAAATGAATGCAATATGACTTTTGGTGCCTTTGCCTGCATCGCAACTCAAAGCAAATGCCCACAGAGCCTTTCAGCAGTTCTGGTGAAATCTCAGTGCCGAGAGAATAACTTTCTCATGAGTTTACAGGGAACTTGGTCGTGGTCACAGTTCGGTAGCCAGTATCGCGGCAACACTAGGATTGGACAAAACAGCCAAGCCATAGCAATAGCCTCAATGTTTGTCCCGTGTTCCACATTTAACTGCAACGCCGCAAAGCTGAACGCGTGTATGTTTTGGCTTCGATACATCATCACTGCACTTGGGGATAATGTCATCCTAATTGTGCCTGATCACCATTCAGTGCTGGCAGAATGACAGCAATTACAGGCTGAAACCATGAATAATTCTACCCTCCACAGCAGTTAGTTTCCGCTGGGTGGTAACGATTTGCTGATTCCTTGTATAACTCCAGGCGATTGCCAGCGTTGCTCTTGGTGATGTGAACCTACCTGAATCTTCCTCGATACATTATTTTTGCTCTTCACCTTTTGATTGGGTTTTTCGTGTTGCAGCAAATGCATAAAAGTGTCCTTGAAGTTGATTGACCTTCAGTAACACTTCAGTTTGTACAATCAGCCTCCAGGGAAATGTGGATTGTATGTTTGTTGTCAGCACAGTTCAGCTTTGTTGGTCTCTCCCAAAAACGATTTGTTCTTTATTTTCGGGGGCTTTCAATGGCCTTGTGGATAAAATCACAGCCTAATGTAGCACTGAATCACAGACCAGAAGATCTCAGTCTGTGCTGGTTTCAGCCAGAGTAGCAATTAGGACAACAACGTATTTACTTGATATGTTCATTAAAATGCTGATTCTTTTAAAATCCTTCACATATTCGGTATTACTTAATGCCTTTTTTAAAAAAAAATCCCACCAAGCTTAATATAGCCTTACTTTTAAAGCTTCCCTCTGAACCGATGACCTTTTTCCTCTCCTGTCTCCCCGCGTTTCCTGGCAGATCGAATCTCTGGTGATTGAGATGCAGGATCCTGAAAATGGAATCAAAACTCAAACTCAGAGAGTGATGATCGCCACCATCCCTCACGCCCTGACAGGTAAGAGCAGAGTGCTTCATCGTGCCCCTACACGCCCTACCCCCACAGTGTCATGCTCCGCCACTGTCAAGCTCTTTTGGACACTACTCTGAGTGAGGGGTGCTATGTAAATGCAAGTTGTTGTTTGGTTAAAAATCAGCCAAAGTTTCCCACTCCTGCTGGCTTTCGACCACAAAATACACAGTCAATTCACTTTAGAGTACATCCTGTGAAGCGTTTCACGGGGAGGGGGGAGTTGACCATAAGCATGGTCAAAGAGGAAGGTCTTTAGGTGGGACTTGAAAGAGGGGAGAGAGTGCATATCAAATGCAAGAATTATTAATAAGAGCTGATGCTGTTACCTGCTGCCTGATCTCCCTGCAGGACAAGACTTGCTGGAGTGGCTGATTCAACGCTTGCAGATCGAAGACGAAGGTAAGCGGGAAGACCGAGGATAACACGGGATCACAGCACAAAGGACCATTAAGAAATGTATAAAATACAGGAGACGGATTCCAACCTTGTGGTCACGTTCTTTCTTCTTCCCTTCCTCGCTCTCTCTTTCATTCTTTCTCCGAATACTGATTTGACGTTCAGAGAATACAGAAAGTCAAAACCAACCAATTCTAAGTTTCTCCTGTTTTGAGGAATGTCTTTCTAAATCAAACATTTTGTGTGTTTAGTGTATCCCAGGATGATATCCACATAGTAAGTGTGTAAAATCTAATCGTGTGCGAGTGTATTGTAATATGTATTGTATATTTTGTTTGTTTTGTATATCACACTCTTGCCTCCTCCACAAGTATAGAAAGGCTGACTCTTGCGTCTTATTGAAATGGTTTCTCTAGAATGCCAGAATCTGGGAAATCTGATTGTGAACCTTGGGTATCTCTATCCCCTGCAAGAGCCCAAGAACCTGATCCTGAGGCCAGACAGCTCTCTCTACCGCTTCCAGGTAATTAATTGCATTCCATCCCTGGCCACTTTCTGTGACTTTCTGTGCTGACCTCCCCATTCCAGGCTATTAACTCTCTGCTCTGATGTGAATCATTAATCCAGACACCGTATTTCTGGCCCACACAACAATGGGCGGCCGAGGACACTAACTACGGTAAGCATTTTACTAAGATTTTTTTTTTCTTCCTCGCTATTTATTTTCTTCCTGCCTACAATAAATGCACCAGCTCTAAAAGTAACTTCTAGAGTTATTAACTCATTTATTATTATTATTATTAATAATAAAGTTAACAGATCGAGTTCAGTTCAAACCTGATTGATGTGTTCAATGTTATGCAAAGTTTTGATACGGTTAAATAGGGCGAAACTGGTGGAAATAATACACTCGTTTGAGGTGAAACCAGGAATTGGAAAGGAAGGCGTGTTGGTGTTTGGGAATTACAATAACTGTTAACACTGAATCTATATACTGCACATGTATATTTTCTCTACTTGTTGCGAAACAGTTGCTCGATTTTAATCAAATTCCTGTTCAACAGCAATTTATTTGGCAAAGAGAAATATCCGTAAGAAAGGCATGCTGGAGGAGTACGAGAAGGTAAGGAGACCAAGGTCTCACTTCAAATTATGCTTTTAAATATGAATTAACTCACTTTGGAGATAGAAATAAATGGGAGGGAAGTAAATCAGAGTAGACCGTCAAACCTGTGTGATGCTGAGGCATTGGGAATGGCAATTTGGACAGAAAAGTGCCTGTGGTTAACTGGCGTTGTTTCCCCCCTCCCCCCCCATCTTTACACTCACACACACAAATGTTGTTGTGGGTGCTTACTGGGCACCATTTGTAAAGAGCCTCAATCTCCAACCACAAGTTACATTTACATAGCGCCTTTGACATCGGGAGAACGTCCCATTATCTATCCCCTTATTTTCAAAAGAGTGAGAACTCAGTAACTCGACAGAGGTCCAGGATGGTAAAGGTTCACTTACTCCCTCTTTCTTTCTTTCTTTCTTTCTTTCTTTCTTTCTTTCTTTCTTTCTTTCTTTCTTTCTTTCTTTCTTTCTTTCTTTTTGTTTCTTTTAGGAGAATTATAACCTGCTGAACAAAAAGATCAATCACAAGTGGGACTTTGTCATCATGCAGGCAAAGGAACAGCATCGGTAGGTGCAAAGAATATCAGAGAAAGGGATCCTCATATCGAGAGCATTTCACGTTGGGAACCAGCTGTTATAAACGCTCCTCTCGCCTCTCTCTACCAGGGCATCCAAAGAACGGAGGAAGACTGATCGCATTGTGCTGGATCGCCAGGAGAAGGCCTATTGGCAGGTGCACCGACCCCCAGTGAGTACCCGTCTCGCCATTCTCTGAGCTCTGGTGCTGGTGACGGTCAGATGGCGAACACAAAGATTAGGTCTGTAACTTGACGTTCAGATTTCACTCAGTGCCACAAGGTTTAACACTGTGTTTGTATAACTTTCCAACAGCCAGGAGCGTTGGATGTCCTGGACTACGGCATTAATCGTGCTACAGACCCGAATGAAAACAAGGTAGAGCAGGTGAGACAGATTGAGTCCCTTCCTGACACTCGAGTATCATGTATTTGGCTGTCAATTTCGTCGGAAGTGCAGGATGGAAGCCTTGTGTTAGCCTGCACTGCATTCAGTAGCTGTGTCGCGATTTCATTTATATTTGTTGACGGAATTCTGTGCAGCGTTTGGCATCGATTCCTTGAATTATCGAGTTTTAATTTTCTTTTTCTTCTTTATCCATTCAGACTCATCTTCGTTCATTTTGTGTGTTGTGACTCCCTCTGTCTCAAGATCTACATGAGTCAGAAGACGGGTCCATTTCCATTATGCTGCTCAAAGTTCTATGGTCCCTTCCCATCTTTTACATTTCAGCCCTTTTGTAGCACAGTGAAAATATTTCCTCCCTGACCCTCCCACTCCAAACAAATGATAAAAGACATCCATCCAGCAAAAGAGATAAGACTGACTATAAAAGATAAGCTTTCCAGGGTAATAATCCCCCTTCAATCCACGACTCAATACCTCCTCAATGATCATTCAATCCATGACTGTTTGTGCACAATTGGCTGCTGTGTTTCGCCCACAAAATGCAGTCAATTCGCTTTACCATATATTCTGCGATTTTAAAAAAAACTGTACTCTCTCCTCCAGACGCTTTCTCCCCTCCCTCCGCGTTCCTGAAGGCATTTCGCTCCTTTCCCATTCCAGCACGTGCAACTCCACGGTGCTTTTGCTCCCGGTTTGCACATTTTGTTTCAATGTTAGGGAATTATGTTAACGTTAATTGTTTTGTTTGGTCTTAACCAAAGCTGAGCTCTGCCTCAGTTCCCGGTTGTGTTAATGGGAAATCAAGCAGCACGCTGCCTTGTGGCAAACTCTGGAAGTACCTTGTGTTACCCGTTGGTCCCTGATATCATGACTAGGGGGCAGTGCAGACAAAGAGAAACATTTACAATTTTGTGAAAACTCATCCTAATTAATAGTGATATTTGCATTTGATGAAATACATGTTAATGATACATTTATACAGTAGGTTTTTTTAAAAAATTCCCTGGCAAGATCAGACATCTACGGGAGTTTTGACAAAGGCTTTATGTTGTGTGAAGCTCTTTGAGACATCCTCCTTGATGTGAAAGGAGCTACAGTATATAAACATGCAATGTTGTGGTGTACAGCAGAGTTCTGAATATTCCTTGTCCTGCTGCGCTGATTAGCCCTGTCCTTGTAGAAAGCATGATTGGATCCAGATATAACTAGCGCTGGAAGTACATGTTACAACACAAACTTTTTTTTAGCATTAACTACTTTTGTTACGCCACTTTTCCAACAGAAAATGACATACGATTATTACAGGAGAGAGGTAATTAACATGTTTCCTACTCTACCTACCATGCAAATCTCTTAAGACATTTCTCTGCTAGATACAAATTAATTGAATATTCCTGGTTTTGTATTGAGGGTGATTGTGTTTTTTTGTGTGCATTAGATTATGTACTATCAACAGGCCCTTGTGAGATCGAGAGTGAAGTCTTCCGTCTCGTTGGCAGGGTAGGTCACATGCAACGTTCTGCTGCAGGCCAAAATCCTGTTGGGAATTACTGGGGACCATTGGGGGTAACAACACATGACTGTAATCAAGCCCATTACAGTAATGTGTTGTTACATTGATGTGTTGTTACATACAGTACAGTAATGTGTTATTACATTTCCCCTGAGGGGGAAACCCAACTATGTTTTCAAGAGAGGAACAGAAACTGTGTCCATGATGTTTGACTTGACTTGTGATCTCGCTCTCGCTATTGCTTACTGGGTTACAGATTGTTAGTAATTCAAAATACTCAATGACATAATCTGCAAGCTGAAGTCCAACGCGCCACTGAGAATGGTATGTGGGGAGGGGGTGGGGTTGGGCAGAGAGGAAGTGAAACGAGTGCTGTCTCCTGCCTACTCAATGTGTTGGATATCACAAAGAGAAGCGATGTGGTGCAGAGAGTTATACGACAGTTATACGAGCAACTCTAAGCCACACATCTGTGGGACTCGAGAGATAAGCTAGGACGATAAGCGTGAGGAGATAGCGCTAATTTGTTCAGCCATCTTGGGGAGTTGTGTTCAATCAATATCTTCAAAGCTGTAAACTTCCTCGCCAGGAAGTTAACTTGTTTCAGTTCACAGTCAAAGGCCACAAGATAAAAGGCTAGGTTAAATTATTGATTGTATAAAACATTAAGGCGAAATTACAACAACTTGGATTTCGAAATTAGAAAAAATACTTAAATCTTATTTATAGGGAAGCAAGACGGATATGGTGATTAGTGGGTCATGGATCATGTGGACTAAACCATTGGGGCAGATGTGATGTGTTGAATGGCCTGTGTCTATGCTATAACATTCCACGGTTAGGTTTGACAGTCCTGTTTTGTCTCCCTACAGGATTGTGAAATACAGCGAGCAGTATTTTACTCATGACCCGATCATGTCAGGATGCCTTCCCAGCAATCCTTGGCTCACTGACGATGTAATGTTCTGGGAACTTAACATCCCAATGTAAGTACACAATCAAGAACAGAATCAAGCGTTCACTGGCTCACCTTATTTGGAGGAGTAATGTTCCTGTCGTGGGGAGGGACGGAATCTACCTAACTCATCTGTTTGTTTTTTCTAATGTATCACAGGATCGACCAACCGACCAAGCTGCGAGTGGAGCGGTGGACATTCAGCTTCCCTGAGCTGATTAGAGACCCCAGAGGCCGCCAGGACTTGCAGCTGTTCCTAAAGAAAGAATTCAGTGGTATGTCCGAGCGAGAGAGGTCCTAGCGAGGGCTCTGGATCTTGGCCTCGGTGCCTTTTTCTGCCTGAATTTTTTTTAACTAAACTGAGGAGTAGCACTAAAAGAGGATAAGTATTTGGTGCTATTCGTCACTGTTCCGTGTTGTGTTTATCAGGTGAGAACTTGGCTTTCTGGGAAGCCTGTGAAGATCTAAAGTACGGAGACCAGTCAAAGGTCAAGGAGAAAGCTGAGGAGATTTACAAGTGAGTTCACATACAGTGTCGGCTCACAATTTGCTACAGCCCACGAGGTAAACATTGCCTTGTGTGACACTGAGTTACACAGAGCAGGAGAGTTCCATGTTTGATCCCTATCTGTGCTGAGTTAGCTCACCTCAGTCAGAGCAGTGGTGAGAGCCAAAATTGGCCTCAGTGTTCCTGGGATGGGAGGAAGAAAATAAACATAGACAGGGGTTCCTTGTCCTGATTACTACCTGTTACTCTCCCCTTTCCCAGTTGGCTTAGGCACTGGGAGCCAGATTGAGATCTACCCCAAACTTTCTGTCGTTTACAGCCAGAAGAAAGAGGGATTCCTTCAGCCCATCAGCCTGGGATAGATTCTAGCCCATACAGTGGGTGGTTTAGGCTCAGTGCTAACCCCCAAAGCCTCAACCCGTCCCCACTTTAATCTCAAAATGGTTTGGTTTCAGAACTTTCCTGGCGCCTGGAGCCAGACGCTGGATCAACATCGATGGAAAGACCATGGAGATCACAGTGAAAGGTCTGCAACACCCACACCGCTATGTGCTGGATTCCGCGCAGACTCACATATACATGTTGATGAAAAAGGTAACTATCGTGTGTAGGATTCACCACCGTTAGCATTTACTTTCACCAGTAATAACACAACGAACGATCAGCGTCTGATAGACACCCAAATGAGAGGAGGAGAGATAATGACAGAATCCAAAGAGAATTTGTCATTCAACTTCCGAGACAGAACCCAGACCCGAGCGAGACCTGAACACTCACATCCACTGTCCACTATCAGACAGCAGCTTTATACAATGCTTTAAATTTAACCAAATCCTTCCTGAATAATATGGCTCATTAACGGAACATGTTCAGGTTTGGCCCAGAATAGCAACCCTCCAATCAACAACAAATTACATTTTTTTAAAAAATCAATTAAAAAAAAATAACATGTGTACTGGGCCTTTCACGTCAGGAGGACTTCCCATTACAACATCAAGCTGTTTTTTTTTAAAAGAAAGTCCTGGACACTGGCCTCGATCACTCTTCCTGCTAACCTGTTCCAGCTGTCGGTCACTGGCAATGGTTGAATGGAAAATCACTGTTTCTCTTTGGGGCTCTGGCTGTGTTTAATGTGGCTTACTGATTCATTGTTTTGCTTTGCAGGACTCATATCCTCGCTATCTGAAATCTCCCATTTACAAGGAAACGCAGGCGAAAGCCCTGATCCCCGATCAGACAAAGCAAAAAAGGTGGATATCTAAAGCAAATCCCACTCCTGTGATCATTCCCTTTAATCCAGATTCATTTGGGACACTGTGTCCTTTTGACAATCCGAGTTGTTTAGGTCTGACATCACCCCACTCTCCATGGTGTGGCCACAAAACAGAATTTCCACAAAGCACTTATGGGCGCATTCCGCGGCCCAGCCCTTTCCTGGTCTGTCACGTTGCTCCCACAACCTGTGAAAGGCCACAGATGTACGATAAGTCTTATTTAGTAGAACCCCTTGTTGCCCACAAAATACAGCCACTCCGCTTTACAGTATATCCTGTGAAGCCCTTGGAGACGTCTCAACGATGCTATAAGGTATTATATCAAATGCAAGCAATATTATTATATTAACAGACAAACTAGTTTCCAGAAAACATGATCAGTATGAACGGGAACCCAGGCTGATTCTCTCCCTCCCTAATAATCCAGACCAACTGAGCACCGACCTCGGCCCCACCTGAGATCAGCTAACATGGCACTTAACAGGCATCAAACCTGGCGCAGTTGCTCTGTATGGTTCAGTATCGGACGTGGCACTGATCTGTTGGGGTTGGGAGGGAATAGTACCTTACTTTTACGTGCAAGCTCTAATATTTTGCAATCCTAACCTTGACCAAACCAGGTCCATTTGGAAACTAATAGACTTATTTATGGGCCGTGTGTATGTTTTCAATAGCTTCCCGTTCATGAAGCGACACAGACGCTCCAGCCCCAGCCCTGTGCTCCTGAGGCAGTTGGAGGAGGAGGCCAGAGCAAGAGCGGCAGCCAGCGGCCCCAAGATCCTCGACATAACCCAGGTTATGAGCAAACTGGACCGCAGGAATCAACTGAAACCGGAGCCTCCCAAAGAGGAGCCTCCAAAACAATAGGAGTGTCGGAATTCTCCCCCCGAACAATCCAGATCAGGGATCACATAATTAATACTCAGGGAAACCATTCAATACATCAGTTACAGTGAGATCTCATTCAACACAGATAACTTAGACCTAGTGCTCAATGTGGGTGTGTGGCTGTGTATGTACATCTGCACAAGCATGTTTTTTTGTGTGTGTGTGTGTATGTGTGAATGTTTGAGTCAGCTCTCAGAAATCCAAGTCACGACCCCTTCACCAAGCGAACCAGTCACGCATTTCTCTCCATCTATGAACACATAGTGAGGCAGAGGGGGAGGCGGGGAGAGAAGGGCTATGCTCTTTATAAAACTGGATGTTCACTCTTCTGGCTAATATGCATAATTAATACAGGGAAATGTGATGTGGGTCACACTAACCAGAGGCACAGTGTCAGTGTGCGCTTACCTACCCAATGTTGTCTGGAACTAATTAGAGAGAGAGCTTGTGGGATAAAGTGACAGTATCTGAAGTGACTGACTGTGTTACATGCAAACTATGCAAACACACAACACTGTCGTCTTGGATCAATACCGTGACATTCTGAAATGTAAAATAGTCTCAGTGTTGTGTGAAAGTTTATATGACCTAAAGTAACCAAGTATAAAAACTATTTTCTATTGCCCGGGCAAATGAAAGAACTTTAAAAGAAAATCCCCGTTTAAAACAGTTGTTGTTGTACCTGGGTTTTACAAAGACTCTCAACATTCACTCTCACTTCTTAAAGGGGAAGTAAATACTGTTCAAAGTCCAAATACAGAAATAAAATGATAAATAGTGATATAAACCACTTCTGTCACTAAACTTTGTAGTAAATCATCATGAAACTCTTTGAGGCGCTTTGACGATTTAATAAGGCAGTATATCAAATCCAATTTTTTAAAAACTGTCTCACAACATAGCAGTCAAATACATCTATTTATATATAATTTAACATAGCTTGCAGTTACAATAATGTGAATAATTATCATTTGCGAACCATAGAGCTATTTAAACATCTATTTATTTGATCAGATCATTTGTTTTGTTTGTACACTGTTCACTCTGTATTACTACCATATTTGTGTAAAACTATGCAGATACCAGGTGTTATAACACTTATCAAGTAATGATTTTGTAATCTCTGGTTTGCAGTTTTCTGTGTGCTGTAGTCAAATGTGTAATGTTTTCCATTCTGCTTATTCCAAAGCATTTTTTTGTTATTTTTACCAACGGTTTATGTTAGTTGGCTTCCATTTCTTTGTTAGTATTGCATCATGAGGAGCTGTGCTGTAGCCACAATCACCTGGACTGAAAACAACCTTTTGCTCACAAAATACAGTCAATTCACTTTACAGTATATTCTGGGAAGTGCTTGACAATCCCTTTCAAATCATATGATTATGTGGTTGGGGTGGCGGGAGGAACCAAAAATACATTCCATTAGACTGGAACTCTGTGAAGGTGTTAACAGCCAGTTTTCAAAATGATGTATTTTTGTTGCAGTTTCTGTGTCAGTTACTGATAGCCACACGAATAAAGTAAGTACATCGATCATTGCACATCTGCTTTGCGTGCGTCTTGTGTTTCATCTTCTGTTAATCGGCAGGTTATTTATTTTTATTGCCGTCACTGTTTCCCCTGCATATCTGTGGCATATTTGTATATAAAATTATGACAGGGTTCAACAAGGTGGGCATAAATACTCTGTTGGCGAGTCCACAAATATATATAAATATATATATATAAATATATATAAGATAAAGGTAAGCAGGTCTAAAGGGGGTTTAGATGGGAGGTTTTTACATAGAGGGTGGTAAGGAAATCATTATCAGAAGCTGTAGTTGAAGTGAAAAGCATCAGTGTATTTAAGAGGAAACTCAATACATACATGAGGGAGAAGGGTATGGAGGGGGTAGAGAGAAGGGATTACAATGGGTGGAGGCTCGTGTGGAGTATAAACACGAGCATGCACTAGCTTGGTCGAATGGCCTGTTTCAGTCCTGTACAGTCTATGAAATTCTATGCACAACTGTGTGTCTGCCTATGTTATGAGTGACAATAATTGTCACGCTGTACAGTTTAAGTTTTATTTTATATCAAATCTTCCTGCTATGGCATTAATCCTCACGGTAGGATGATCTCATTGTTCATAGTTCTCTGACTAATATGTACAGTATATAGATCAAAGCCTCCACTTGCCTGGACTGGACAAACAGCTTTTAAGAAGTTCTGAAGAACAAAGTAATTGGCTGTGTTGCAAGCAGCAAACAGCACAGATCCTGTAATACACACACACACGGTGCTCGCACCAGTGCCAGCAAGTCCTCACCTGACAGAGTAGTGTGAAAGTCACAAGGCGAATGAAAGCTTCAATAGTTTGTTACAGTTTTCGCTTTTCCTGCCATATGAAACCTATTTTCTTTTTGTGCAGATATGTAGGTTCACCGCGCCTCTTCCTCACCTGACTGTGTACACAGGCTTATGTGTCCCATCTTCTCCCCCAAGCCCACTCTTATCTTACGCTGCCACCAGTGACCTGCCCTACTTCACCCCTGGATATGTCCCACTACCAAACGGCAGCAGCTGGCCCTCGGCCATCAGCGTAGCCATAGACAGCACCCCGGCGCTGGAGAGGAAATGGGAGCTAAGTAACTCTGTTTCTAACCAGTCTTCCTCAGTCGCTGAGAGCACCGAGATGTCTGTCGGGTCCGAGATGAGCGCTATCAGTGGGGTGTCAGTGGCCACGCAAGCCAAGACCACTCAGAAGTCCAAAGTGACCCTGTCCTTCAGCAGGTTGTTGAAGCGAGGATACGCCAATTCACCTGTCTTCGCAACCCTGTCGCCCAAGTGCCCATCACTGAACCACAGAAAGATCCAGCCTGTGTTTGGTGAGGAGAAACGACAGGAGCAAAACCCACGGAGAGTGTCTACGTAAGCCCCCAGTCTCTTTTCACTGCTCTGGAGGTTAACATGGTGCATTGATAGTTTGATGGTTGTTGGCATTTGAAAAGTCCAAAAAACTCACTCGCAGTTTTTAGTTAAGTCCTGCTCTTATTTAATTTCATTACTGTTTTATTTCTCCCTCTCCTGAAGACGTTTTGTCTTCTCTTTCCTTTTACTGGGGAGTTTGCTGGGCATCTCCCAGGACTTGACCAAAGTGGTCATTGTTCATGTGTGATCAATCCCTGCCAGTGAGAGTCACTATGCACTGTGTCCATGAGTGATGTAGTTACAAAACAACAAGTACCAATCTGCAGTCACACTCACGTTGGGTGTTAAGAGTAGATTGCAGAACCCCAAATGTGAAATCACAAGAGGTGCAGATGCAGAAGCGGAAGGCCTTTCAGTTCAATAGATCCAATTGTTTGTGCTCAGAGAGATGTCAAGTTAAGATAGGGAGATCAGATATAGCACTAAGCATACACATCAGCCAAAACCACAGAGAAACAGGATAAGCGTGGGTTTAAGCATCATCTCTGCTTCTTTTTTTCCTCTTTTTAATTTTTTTTGATTCTTTTCGTGGCGCTGCAGAAGAAAGCCCACTTTCTAACGACGAGGGAAGGAGGGAGGGAGGGAAGGAGAGAGGGGGAATACTGAGGTTAGCAGTTTGCATTAGCTGAGTCCCTGAGCGAGTCATCTGTCCAGTATAATCAAACAGGGAGTGCAGAGATTTGGAGCATGATGTAAATTAAAGGAAGAAGAAATCCAATGAGATTGCAGTTTGTTTGTGTTTTGGGTTGTTGTAATCTCACTTTTTTTTGTTATTATTATTTTTGATCTCTTTCCCCTTCAGGTTTTTTCAAATAAAAGTAGACATTCCATCCGAGTGCAGAATTTACCCCATCGACTCGGAGGACGAGGAAGAAGACTGTCACAGTCACAGGGAGTCTGTGAAGGAGGTCATCTGTCCTTGGGAAAAGCTCTCTGAGGAGACTAAAGCAGGGTGAGAGGGAGGGATTTCAATGTGGTTGGATTGTGAGATGTTTACAAGTATTGGAACCGCCTTAACTCAACTGTTTACAAAACAGCTCTTCTGCAATGTTAGAAAATACTACTGAGGAAGAAACCCAGCAACCATTAAGTCACTTCCTTTGTGACATCCCTCACTATTTCACTATTTCTCCATTTGATTACTGGGATTTGTCCAGGGGAAAAAATATCATGGAAACCTGCGTAACTTAAAAATGAGGGTGTAAGACCAAGGGATTGGTGAGGTGCATTGAGAGTGGAGAGAGTTGAATTACATAATAAAATCTGGGTTTACTCATCCCCCGAGAAGCATTTTGCACACAAGTTGTTGTTTACATTAGAGAAAACAAAACGTGTAAGCATGATGATGCTGGACAGTTTGTGAAGAACTGTTTCAGCTAGTTTTAAATAGAATAAAATGTAATTCCCTTTCTCACCTGACAATGAGTTCTAGAGAGTGTGAATGGAAGAAAATCTTTGCCGTTTTTTGCATCCGTAAGAAGTAAAAACTTTATAGAAATTTGGTTAACGCCAGTTCTTCAAACTAGTCTGTTATCGTATGTAATTAATTATTTTTACTTTTGTAAGGAACAGTTATCAACAAAATATTCTTAGCAGGTGACCAGTTTATGCTATTCCAATGGCGGAAACGAGGGGAGGTAATGTGAAACTGTAAATTGAGGGTATCACACAAGAAGAATATTGACTTACGTATGAGTTTCATTCCTTATTGTGATTGTTTCGATAACTAAGCCGAGTGACCACAGCGCTATGATAATAATGACCAAGTATAGAATGCAAACCTGTGCTCTTATACTTCTATAATCTTTTCTGATTCTGTAACTGTGTTGTACAAGTGCCTGAACAGAAGCAGTAATTATTCACTGAATAGCTTAGTGATTTTGTAATCTTTCAATTAGTGAATCATACCTCCTCAATGTCTCTCCGAGCCATGATTCATTCCTGTGTTGAATTAAAAAGTCCATTCTTAAAATGCTTGTTATTTGCCGTCTTTCTTCCTGTGGGATAGAAGCATTTACTCCTGAGGCACGTCAGTCACTAAGGCTCAGATTGTCCTGTGCAGAAGTAAAAGAAAATAAACAATAGCTTAACACAGCAATCATAAGACAAAACTTTAATCGCCGCCATTTGCTAGTTGAACATGCTTGGGCACTAATCAAACCCGACCTCCAGTAATCTTAGAACACCTTGAAATTTAATCTGAGACATTGCCAGAACAGCCTCCTCTCACTTTCAGGAAGAGCCACAATTCAATTATTTTTCAGGCCGGAAACTGAAACAAATGGAATAGCTTGAATCTAAGACGCTTGATACGTTTTGACAACAAAACGACAACTTGCATTTATTATAGTCATTCATGCAAGTTAACATGTTGGAGTGGCAGAGCCAGGAAGGCAAAGCCTTAAATGGATAGGGTGGTCCCAGCTGGACAAGCAGCAGGAAGCTTGCCAGACAGTACTTGCAATGGCAAGCTATGGAGTTTTAACTGGTTAAACTCCAGCAGATACCTTGTTCCTGCGCACACTCTGGGGTCCCCGAGCCTTGGCTCTTGCTAACGTGTGGCTAAAACAGTACTTTTTCAGAATTAGGTAAGCAGGGTGCATCCCTTCAGGGAGAGAGAGAGAGAGAGTGCAATTTATTTTGAACACATGGAAATTTCCAAGTAGAGGTGACATATATATGTGGACCTCTGTCTGGCTGGGATGCTCTTAAGTATTGTAATGGGTTTAATAAGTTTCAGACATCGCACTGACAAAAAAATACAAGGCCATGAGTTAGCATGAGGATGCCTGATGTACTGTTTTGGACATTTGACACAATATCTAGGTAAGCATTCGAACAAGAATTCCTTCTAGATTTAATTTCCCCTTCAAATTAACAGGATGTAGCCTAGACATGTTTTCTATTATTTCATTACTTTTGGGGTTTGAAAAAACACAGTTTTTTCTGAAGTAGCCACCCAACCACCCACCTACGCTCTCTATCTTACGGTTTACGTACATTTCTCATACATTACATTTTCACCTGTCACACCCGAGTTACGGCATCCTCAGAAGCCTGCTTTTTAAAAAAAATTATTTCTAATTTAGCAAGTGAATAATTCATAGCCTTCACACCTCTTACACTGCTGCCACAGAGAGAAAGACAAGTTTTAAGCATATGGTAGGAATCACAAGTTTCATCATTTGGACAGAAATGTATTGTTACGTTTTTGAATTTGTGTTTCATAGAAATAACATTTTCACTGCTTCCCCTCCTAATCTATTTTATTCTACTACTTTCGTCTCAGCCAAGATGTTGAAAACAGCCTTTTCTGCTTGATTATTCTATGTAAGTACACAGAGTATAATCTTTTCTTAAGATTCATGGGTTTATATTATTTTATTTCAAATAAAAATGCAGAAAGTAAACCTTTAGAGGAGTTGACTTAATTACCAGCATAACACTACTTATAAAACATGTCTCTCTTAAATTGCTGCACGGTTTTCTACTGGTCCAGTTATGCAACTAGAAAATTTTGGATGTGGCCATTTCCAGCAAGTAATCTCATAGATTCCCACTGGCCCTGTTTTGTTTTAAGAACTAAAGAGTACAACGTCCTGGGGATAAAGTTACCTGAATTCCAAACATTTCCATAAAAAAAAATGAAATAATAAATATTGGATGTCCTCCCGACGTAAAAGGCACTATACAAATGTAACAATAACTTGCATTGAAATAGGGTTCCTCATGCAGTTTAGTGTCCCACAGCGCTTAATTAAATATAAATATAGTTTGTTAAAATAAGGATGTTAAAATAACGGAGTCGAATAAAGGTAAGCTTTTTTTAAAATAAAACCTTATATTTTGTACTCATTCGATGTAAGATATAAAAAAAATGCTGCAACTCAGAAAGTTCTCTAACATGCTTTACTGGATTCTAAGGAAATGTGAGGCAAATCAATTAAAATGTTCCTCTAAATTGCTCCATTTGTATGTGTTTTTATGATGAGACGCTTATCAGTTTTGCATTGTTGAAAGGGAGGGAGATTTGTCCTGTGGAGGGAGATTTTAAACCGAGATCCTAGCTGCCTAATCAGGTGGACATTAAACAGGAGACAGTTTCTCCCGGTATTTTGGCCAACAATTCCCCAGATAAATTGATCATTAATTTCTGTTTGTTGGACACTGCTGTGTCAAATTGGCCGCCCCATTTGCAGTCCACAAAATGTACAATTTACAGTATATTCTGTGAAGCACTTTGAGACGTCTAGGAGACTTGAAAAGCGCGATATCAAATGCAAGGCTTATTATTATTATTAACTCGAAGATGTGATAAGGCGCTATTTTAATCTAACTTGTGTTTTTCTTTAAATCTTTTTTTGAGAGAGATTCAATCTCATGTCTTTAAAACATCAAATGCAGATCTGACACTGACACCGGTAACAGTTAGTGCGGAAAAACCTTTTTGGCTGATCAATCTCATTCAACTAAGATGTGGACAACAATCTGTCTTAGTTCAATATTTCTTCTCTGTAAGTATACCTTCTGTTTTACACTTATAACTCATATCTCTTTTATACATATTAATGATGGCATTTTTCATCAAAATAAGCATATGCAGAGCAAGCAACTCAGGGATTAGAGTCCAACTCAGCAAAGACCTGTTCTTGTTTAAGTGCTCCGGGATGCCATCCCACGCAAAGGGCACTATATAAATGCAAGTTGTTTGCTGTTGTTGTACAAACTTAATCACATATTTCTTTTGCAGGATTAGAAACGTGCCGTTAAAATATGTCAAACCCAGAGAACCCTGAAATTTGCTGTGCTTTTCAGTAAATATTTGAACACAATCAATTCCCACGAGTTTCCTGACCCGAACATATTCTCACCTCCTGTTATGTAGATTTTCTTTTTTAAAGAAAGAATGTAAGCATTGCTGGATATACACAGCAGGTTCATCAGTGTCAGAAACTAAGATAGGTTAACGTTACGGGTGCGACCTTCATCAGATCCAAGTCCTTCTACAACTCAGTTAGTCTCTAAACCAACTTTGAACACAAAGAGCCCTGACGATGATTTGAAAAAAGGAGTATATTTGATTCTGAATTACAGAGCTAAGTTCTGACAAACAGTCAGTCAATCTAGTCAGCCTGCTGTTTATTGTCACCATTTGGTTACACTTTATGTTTGCATAATCTTCTGCTTTTTGTTTATCTCCAGATAATTGTAAATTATTGCAGTCCGGTGTTTAAACAATGTGGCAAATGAACATCTGAATATCTAAATATTATGTTTTCATTGTTTCAGATCACATTATAAATACAACAGAGTTAAAGAACGGTAAGAATTTTTAATGTTAATCCTTTTGTACTTGCACTATAAATAATATAATAATAATGCTTGCATTTGATGCAAAATGGTAGGAAGTAGGATATTGATAGCGCAATCGCCAGCTACTGATGTTACACTCTGGTACACTGTAACAAATTCTAATAATAGTACAATTCATGCATTTCATATAGAGCTTTACCCTGTAATTGAGACGTCTCAAAGCGCTTCACAGGATATACTGTAAAGTGGATTAACTGAATGAGTGAGTGCTACGGACAAGTCCGCGCCACTATTTAAATCTAATTTGTGTTTTTGTTTCTCACAACAGGAGTGACTTTCAACAAGCCTGAGATGAAATTGACTGACCCGAAAAAAGCAGAAAAGATTGCACCAAATGGCAGATTTACCTTAATGTGTTCAGTAAAAAATTCAGACAATTCCTGGACAATCACCTAAAATATTATATTTATTTTATAAAGGAGATGCTAGGGAATATCTGCTAAGTAATGTAACATCTAACAAAGAACAAATCAAGTATAGTATAGAATCTGCTAAGGCTTCCCACTCTGGATACTATATGTGTGCTGTGCGTATAGGAAATGAAACCAAGGAAAGCGGTACAAGATATATATCAGTTACAGGTAATGTGAAATGTAAAATGTCTGTAACTAGCAACATGTTTACATCCAAAGTGTTTCGCACTAACTGCACAATTGTACTTTCTTGTGTAAATTCAGAGAATTACATTATAAAACAAATGTTATGACCAAACTGAAAGATAACTCCATCCCTGATATGCAGAAAAAGTTAAAAAATGGGAAATAAATTGAGAAGCCCATAAATTAAGCCTGTCTTCATTGGAGACAGGGGTGATATTCCACATGGCAGTAAATTCAAACACATTTGCAGATAATCCCATTTTAAAAGTAACTATCAAACTGTGCTGCTAACCCTCAATGGAATGACACCCCCCTTTTATAGGAATGGTCTTATTGAATATACTGTGCCAAGCAGAGTGAATGTCATTTCTGAGAACTAATGGGAATTGGATTTATGATTTTTTAATGAACAAAAACAACAATTTGCATTGTTATAACAGTGAGAGAGAGGGAGAAAATGGTCTGTCTGTAACTAGAACAAGATGGAAATATGTAAGAGCTGAAAGACCATTTATTTTCTATTTTCAATCATTACACTTGACTTTAACCTTCCTCTTTTAGGGCAACTACAGAGACCTGAACTCAGGACACGTGTGGCTGCAGGCTCAGCTGACCTAATATGTGAAGCATCTCATGAAATTCTTCCTCTAAAATTCATATTCTATCAAAATGGCACACGACTCAGTGACGCGACAATTAAGGATAAACAATTTGCAGTGCACAGATTGCCGGGGGTGACGCACGATAGAGCCACAAACTACAGCTGTACTGTAGAAAGTGACGACTTAAACAGTAAATCACCGCAGAGCGAAATGGTCCAGATCATTGCTCATGGTAAATCAGCTTGTCATTCCTTATTTGCTCAATCCAGAGATTAAACTATGGCTTCAATTTTTCAAGTGTGTTGGCCTAAAACATGTGAATGATACAGAAAAATACAAATGTAATGCCAAGTGGAAAAATACATTGAAAACCACAACACAGGTGACAGTGGCAGGTAAGATTACTGGTAATTTCACTCATCTGGCACAGATCTGCTGCATTTTCCTCGTCTTCTCTGCTCCACAATTGGCAGCTGTGCTTTCAGCCACTACACCCCAAATCTCTGGAACTCCTTGCCTCAATCCCTCTGTCTTGCCCCTTTTTTGCTAGTCTTCAAATCACACCTGAAGACTTTCCTCTTTGACTGTGCCTTTGGTGACATCTCCTTCCATCCAGCTTGGCATAAACCCAGTGGAGCCTTACAAGGTCTAGGGTGATGGGGGTGCGGAGGCAGGTATGGGCGAAGACAGGGGTGACAGAATTTTGAATCATTTGAAACTCGTTAATAGTGAGGCTGGGGAGATCGGCGAGGAGGGCATTGGGGAAATCAAAACATACACAGATACGTAGATGGGAAGGAACAAAAACAAGTCCAAAGGCTCATCAAGTTCTCTTCCTGGGGACCCCCCTATCCTTACTTCACCACCCTCACAATATACACCAACACACTTCTCCTGCCCTCTCTGACCCCTAAGGCCAATATAGGGAAAAGATTTTACCTGGAAAATATCAAGGGCAGTGAAGTGACCTCAAGAAGAGGGTTGTGCCATCACCAGCATCAGTGGGTTTACTCACCAGCAGCAATAGCTCGTTGGTATTTATTAAATATCATAGGCCTGTAGAAGATTGCAGCAGGAAGTTTTAAATTATACAATACTATGGTTGTGTCACAGCAAGCTGAACATGCCTTATTACTTTCTTTTACAGACTCAAACCACATGCAACATCACCAATGACGTACACTTTACTTATTCTGCTTTTACCATCTGTGGCAACAGCAGCTTCAATTAACTGAATGGTGATGAGACAGTGGAAGAGATTTTGCAATCAGTATATTTATGGTGGTATCAGCTTAGCTCAGTTAGTATCACTCTCTTCTCTGTGTCAGAAGGTGGTGGGTTCAAGCCCCACGTTGGGACTTTGAACTCACATAGTCAAGGCTGGCACTTCAATACAGCAATGAAACAATGAATTGTCAGAAACAGAGGTCCTGCATATTGACTGTATATTCTCAATAAACAGTTAATAAGAACCAAATCTTCCTTTTTCTATACTTTCTCTCTCTCTCTCACAGACAATCACATTACATAAAGAAATTGCAAGTTTCAATTTCCATTTCCTGACACTGATCCATATTCAAATTCATTTCCCACTCCTTGACTTTATCAAACAATATTACTGGAGTTCATATCATCTGTATCCTTTATCCTTTAGGATATCCAAAGACAAATTCATTTCAAAGTCTAAAAATTAGCATTGTGTGAAAAGCCTATCATTGGTGAGCGTGCCAAACACGTTTCACCCACAAAGTATACGGTCAATTCACTTTACAGTATATTCTGTGAAGCGCTTTGAGACGTCTCAAAGATGTGATAAGGCGCTATATCAAATGCAAGAATTATTATTATGTTTCCCACCTATAGACTTTTCACTCATCCAAAACTCCGCAGCTCGTGTACTCTCATGCACCAGGCTCCGGGACCCCATCACTCCCATCCTCGCCCGACTCCATCTGCTCTCCATCCCCCAGAGGATCGAGTGCAAGATCCTCACCTTTAAGGCCATCCATGGCCTTGTCCCCACCGATCTCTCTGACCTGCTGACTCCCTTCCAAACTGTCCGCGCTCTCCCTTCAGCGGGCTCTGGCCTGCTCCATATCTCCTGCCCGACCCACTCTATCATCGGTGACCTTCAGACTCTCTGCCTCCACACTCTGGAACTCCATTCCACGGTCCCTTCGCCTCGCTTCCTCCCTCGCCTCCTTCAAGGCCAGTCTCAAGACCCTTCTCTTCGACCGTGCCTTTGGTCTCCCTCCCACCTTTCCGCCTTCCCTCATCCCTACAACGACAACGACAACAAGATTACATTTGTATAGCGCCTTTCACGTCGGGAGGATGTCCCAAGGTGCTGAACATTGTACAGCATTTCAGACACGAGCTGGGGTCAGGGGGGGAGAAGAGGGGAGGGGAAGGGGGGTGGCTGATGGCATGGTCTAAGACGAGGGTCTTGAAGGAGGCTATGGAGGGAATAAGGTGGAGTAATTGGGCGATGGAATTCCAGAGGTTGGGGGCAGAGTGGCTGAAGGCTCTCCCGCCAAAGGTGGGGAGGGTGGGGAGGGGGATGTGGAGCAGGCCGGAGCCGGCTGAGTGGAGGGAGCGGGTGGGTTGGTAGGGGGTTAGGAGATCGCAGAGGTAGGGTGGGGCGGGGCCATGGAGGACTTTGTAAGACCTTTCCTGTTGACCGCGCCTTTGGTCACCTTCCTCCCCCTCCCCCGGCTTGGCCCTGGGATCCGTCCGGCTTGGAGGGCGCTATATAAATCCAAGTTGTTGTTGTTGCTTGTAAGTGAGGACCAGGATCTTGAACTGGATCCTCTGAAGAATAGGGAGCCAGTGGAGTTGGGCAAGAATGGGGGAAATGGGGGTCATGGAGTTTGGTGCGGGAGAGGACACGGGCTGCAGAGTTCTGGATTATCTGCAGCCTGTGGAGGGAGGAGTTGGGAAGGCCGACAAGCAGAGCGTTTGCATAGTTGAGCCTGGAGGTGATGAAGGCATGAACAAGAGTTTCAGCGGCCTGAGCGGTGAGGCAGTGGCGGAGTCGGACGATGTTACGGAAGTGAGGGAAGGCAGAGCGGGTCATGGCCTGGATGTGGGGAAGAAAAGATAATTGGGGCTCGAACAAGACACCCAGGTTCCTGACTGCTGGTGAGTTGTAGTGAGCAACCATGGAGGGTGATGTTGCCAGAGCCTGAGGTGCTGAGGCGCTGGCGCGAGGCAATCAGGAGGGCCTCAGTCTTGTTCACATTCAACTGTAGGAAATTTGCCCTCATCCAGGACTTGGTGTCCGACAGACAGTCTGTCAGGACAGCAGTGGTCCTGGAGTTGAGGGTGGAGGCAGAAAGATAGAGTTGGGTATCATCCACATACATATGGAACACCCCTCCCCTATACTTGGGCCCCGACACCTAACTGTTCAGCGCTTTGGAACGTCCTCCCGATGTGAAGGGCGCTCTATAAATGTAATTTTGTTGTTGTTGTTGTAAACTGCAGAATGCTTTCTGTAGTTGCTGAAATAAATATCACTTAACCACCAGGGGGAACATCGATTACACAGAACGTTACACTACAATACAAAATAACATTTGTTAAGCGCCTTTCACGTCGGGAGGACGTTCCAAGGCACTGAAACTGGCCTGGAATGCAAACTGGACATTTTTTGGTCAGCTGGGTGTCTTGGCATAATTCAGCTCAACAGGACCGCAGTGCACATATAATGTAAACCTGAACAATTTCTGAGAATGTTAAAAGTCCTTCCCCGCATTCGGTGCCTGACCAGACTTCTTCTTTTCTTCACGTTTGCCACACTCAGCAGCCGCTCCAGCTGTTGGCAAACTGGGCAGCAGCCGAGGGCGGGAGGTTGTACTCTCAGCCCGGCCGGTCGCTGTGGTTAGTGGGGAGGTCGGGGACAGAGGAAGAGGTCTCCCCATCTTCCAAATGGACTGACCAAGATTCTCACCTTCATATTGTGTGGGTTTCGCCCACACAATATACAGGCAATTCACTTTACAGTGTATTCTGTTAAGTGCTTTGAGATGTGTGACGTGATACGGCGTTCCATCAAATGCAAGGATTCTTATTATTATAAATCGCTCCATGCCCCAGCACCTCCCTATCTCTAACCTTCTCCAACGCCCTCTGCTCGGGATAACTCAGGCCTGAAGCACATCTCCCGGCCCCTCCACCCCACCATCGGTGGCTGACCCTTCAGTTACTACACCAGTAACTTCTGGAACTGCCTCTACCCACTGTCTCACTGTCTCATAGCCATTCCCTTTAAACAAAAGGACAAATTTATTCAACTTAATGAATGACACAGAAGAGCATTTAAGTACAGAGCAACACGATCATATCAAGCACGCAAAGTAAATTCCCCCTCCAGCCCGACCACTGTCTTTTCCATTTTTCCACCTGTGTATTTCCATTTGTTCAGCTTATGATCTTTTGAGTGGAACACATAAACATGCAAGCTTTGCCTGTGAAGTGATAGGGTGGGTCGGCTTGCAATTGAAACTCTACGTTTATGTTATGAAATACGGTGTTTTGCTCTGCTGTTTTTTGAGAGAGATTCAATCTCACTTCCTTAAAAAAATCAGATGCCGACACTGTCGATCCACTGACACCGGTAACAGTTAGTGCGGAAAAACCCTTTTTGGCTGATCAATCTCATTCAACCAAGATGTGGACAACAATCTGTCTTAGTTCAATATTTCTTCTCTGTAAGTATACCTTCTGTTTTACACTTATTACACATATCTCTTTTCCACATGTTAATGATGGCATTTTTCATCAAAATAAGCATATGCAGAGCAAGCAACTCAGGGATTAGAGTCCAACTCAGCAAAGACCTGTTCTTGTTTAAGTGCTCCGGGATGCCATCCCACGCAAAGGGCACTATATAAATGCAAGTTGTTTGCTGTTGTTGTACAAACTTAATCACATATTTCTTTTGCAGGATTAGAAACGTGCCGTTAAAATATGTCAAACCCAGAGAACCCTGAAATTTGCTGTGCTTTTCAGTAAATATTTGAACACAATCAATTCCCATTAGTTTCCTGACCCGAACATATTCTCACCTCCTGTTATGTAGATTTTCTTTTTTAAAGAAAGAATGTAAGCATTGCTGGATATACACAGCAGGTTCATCAGTGTCAGAAACTAAGATAGGTTAACGTTACGGGTGCGACCTTCATCAGATCCAAGTCCCTCTACAACTCAGTTAGTCTCTAAACCAACTTTGAACACAATGATTTGACGATGATTTGAAAAAAGGAGTATATTTGATTCTGAATTACAGAGCTAAGTTCTGACAAACAATCAGTCAATCTAGTCAGCCTGCTGTTTATTGTCACCATTTGGTTACACTTTATGTTTGCATAATCTTCTGCTTTTTGTTTATCTCCAGATAATTGTACGATTATTGCAGTCCGGTGTTTAAACAATGTGGCAAATGAACATCTGAATATCTAAATATTATGTTTTCATTGTTTCAGATCACATTATAAATACAACAGAGTTAAAGAACGGTAAGAATTTTAATGTTAAACCTTTTGTACTTGCACTATAAATAATATAATAATAATCCTTGCATTTGATATAGTGCCTTATCACGTCTTCGAGGTGTATCAAAGCGCTTCATAGAATACAGTCTAAAGTGAATTGACTGTGTGTTTTGTGGGCGAAATGTCACTTTGGGGAATAATTCAAGAACATAGTGAAACACGGCAGCCAATTGTACAAAGTAATGTGCCACAAACAGCCATGGAATGAGCCATCAATTTTATTTGGGGGATTGTTGGCCAGGACACCAGGAGAGAGAAACTCCCTCCTCTTTTCGAATAGTGCCATGGAATCTTTAATGTGCACTTGAACAGCCAGTCAGTCGGTGAGTCAGTCAGTCAGTGAGTGAGTGAGTGCTACAGACAAGTCCGCGCCACTATTTAAATCTAATTTGTGTTTTTGTTTCTCACAACAGGAGCGACTTTCAACAAGCCTGAGATAAAATTGACTGACCCGAAAAAAGCAGAAAAGATTGCACTAAATAGCAGATTTACCTTAATGTGTTCAGTATTAATTCAGACAATTCATGGACAATCACCTAAAATATTATATTCGTTTTATAAAGGAGATGCTAGGGAATATCTGCTAAGTAATGTAACATCTAACAAAGAACAATGCAACTATAGTGTAGAATCTGCTAAGGCTTCCCATTCTGGATACTATATGTGTGCTGTGCGCATAGGAAATGAAACCAAGGAAAGCGGTACAAGATATATATCAGTTACAGGTAATGTGAAATGTAAAATGTCTGTAACTAGCAACATGTTTACATCCAAAGTGTTTCGCTCTAACTGCACAATTGTACTTTCTTGTGTAAATTCAGAGAATTACATTATAAAACAAATGTTTTGACAAAACTGAAAGATAACTCCATCCCTGATATGCAGAAAAAGTTAAAAAATGGGAAATAAATTGAGAAGCCCATAAATTAAGCCTGTCTTCATTGGAGACAGGGGTGATATTCCACATGGCAGTAAATTCAACCACGTTTGCAGATAATCCCATTTTAAAAGTAACTATCAAACTGTGCTGCTAACCCTCAATGGAATGACATCCCCTTTTATAGGCCTGGTCTTATTGTAGGTATTAAGACTCCTCTAGGGAAGAGTGATCACAATATGATTGAATTCTGCATTAAGTTAGAGAGGGATATAGTTAAATCCGAGGCAAGTATTCTGAATTTAAATAAGGCTAATTTTGTAGGTATGAGGAAAGATTTAGGTAAAATAGACTGGAGAATAAGATTAAGAGGTAAAAATGTAGACCAACAGTGGCAAATATTTAAGGATGTAGTGCATAATTGTCAGCAGTCGCATATGCCCTTGCAGAATAAGAGTACCACAGGGAAAGCAAGTCATCCGTGGCTAACTAGAGCTGTTAGGGAAAGCATCAAATTAAAAGAAAAAGCCTATAAAACTGCCAAGAAAAGCAGCAAATCTGAAGATTGGGAGAGTTTTAGAAACCAGCAAAAAAAACCTAAAAAACTCATTAAGAGCGAGAAAAAGGAGTATGAGGGCAAGCTCGCTAGGAACATTAAATCAGATTATAAAGGTTTTTACAAATATGTTAAGAGGAATAGGCTGTGAGCGTAAATGTAGGTCCACTTCAGTCAGAGACAAGAGAAGTTGTAATGGGGGATAGGACATGGCAGAGTCCCTAAATGGGTACTTTGCCCTGGTGAGACCACACCTGGAATACTGTGTACAGTTTTGGTCTCCTTATTTAAGGATGTACTTGCCTTGGAGGGGGTGCAGCGTAGATTTACTAGGACCAGGGATGAAGGTGATGAGTTATGAGGATAGGCTGACCAATTTGGGCCTATATTCTCTAGAATATAGAAGAATTAGAGGGGATCTTATAGAAACCTGTAAGATCATCAAAGGGCATGATAGAGTAGACAGTGGGAGATTATTTCCCCCGGTTGGAGAAACTAAAACCAGGGGTCACAACCTTAAAATCAGAGGCGGCCCTTTCCCACTAAGTTGAGGAAGAACTTCTTCACTCAAAGGGCGGTGAATGTATGGAACTCACTACCCCAAAGGGCTGTTGACACTCAGTCCTTGAACATATTCAAGACTGAGATAGATCCATTTCTTATTGCAAAAGGGATTAAGGGATATGGGGATAAGGCAGGGTTATGGTATTAGCTGGCGTTAGATAAGAAGATCAGCCATGATTGAATGGCGGGGCAGGCTTGAAGGGCTGAATGGCCTACTCCTGCTCCTACACGTTATGTTACTGAATATACTGTGCCAAGCAGAGTGAATGTCATTTCTGAGAACTAATGGGAATTGAATTTATGATTTTTTAATGAACAAAAACAACAATTTGCATTGTTGTAACAGAGAGAGAGAGAAAACGGTCTGTCTAGAACAAGATGGAAATATGTAAAAGCTGAAAGACCGTTTATTTTCTATTACACTTGACCTTAACTTCCTCTTTTAGGACAACTGCAGAGACCTGTACTCAAGATAAATCCAACACAGCTGGTTAAAGGAGACTCATCTAACCTAACATGTGAAGCATCTTATGAAATTCCTTCTCTAAAATTCATATTCTATCAAAATGGTGAGCGACTCGGTGACAAGATAATTAAGGATAAACAATTTGCAGTGTACAGATTGCAGGAGGTGACACACGATGGAGCCACAAACTACAGCTGTACTGTAGAAAGTGACGACTCAAACAGTAAATCACCGAAGAGCGAAATGGTCCAGATCATTACTCATGGTAAGTAAGCTTGTCATTCCTTATTTGTTTTGTTCAGAGATTGAATTATGGCTTCAAGTTTTCAAGTGTGTTGGCCTAAAACAGTGAATGATACAGAAAAATACAAGTGTAATGCCAAGTGGATGAATACATTGAAAACCGCCACAACACATGCGACTGTGGCAGGTAAGATTAATGGTAACTTTAACGTGATTTGTGAGTATAGCACCCGAAAAAGGCCTAAAAATATGATTGTAGCAGTTTAAAGAGCATCACTATCTTTGATAGAAATATAGATAAAGGAAGGCAATTGGTGTCAGCAATAGTTGCAGCACAGCTGAGTTTCAGACCATTCCCCTTCAGTCACGTGCTCAGGAAGTTGCTTTGGGCAACTTTTGCCATTTTTTCAATCCTTAAATTCTACCACTTTTTGCAGTTATGATCAACTTTTAAATAATATTCAAGGTTATGCTTGCTTTCCATACGATGCTTGAATTTCAACGTGATTTGTTTTTTTCTTCCAAAATACTTTCGTTGCTCACCGATATTTGTAACTGATAAGTAGCTGACAACTGGTCCCTGACCGGAGCTGCCATCCTCCACCTCCGCTACATCACCCACCTCAAGGGTGGGAGTTAAAAGTGGGTCCGAGAGAAGGCCTTTGAGGGATGGGATAGTTGAATAATTCTACATGCGCTCCGAGACACCGTCTAGCATGAAGGACGCTATACAAAGCAAGGTGGTGTTGTTGTAGAAAATAATGCCTACAAAATAGTTGTGGATTTGAGACATGAGCAGAGATGCTGGTTACATGAACCCAACAATGTGAAAGGTGCTATATCACATGCAAGGATTATTATTAACAATTATTATTGTTAAAACTGGTGCAGTTCCTCCTGATGTGTTAAGAGGATTCATGTCCGGTGATGAAATAGAACATTGTATTGTTGGCCAATATAGGGAAGTCTTTGTTCTGACTCGCTCCATTGACTAACAAATTGTGTAACAGGAAAAAATGCTTCTGTTTCATTTAATCTACAAAAAAGGTCCAACAGTATTTTAATTTCAGTTCCAGTGTCCAATCCAGTGCTGAACTTCAAAAACTCTTCGGTGGTACAGCTCGGAAGAAACGCGACACTGTTTTGCAATTTAAGCAGTGGAACTCCTCCAATCAATTTCACATTATTCCTACAATCAAAATCCTTCTCAACAGTTACATCCAACACGCAAGACGCTGTTTTTAACGTATCCATAATTGACTTGGCACGCAGCGGGGAGTACAAATGCAAAGCTGATAACAGATTCTCAAAGACAGGAAAATACAGCAATGGAATCAACTTGACAGTGATAGGTATGAAATTATTGATGCATAAGATATTTGAACTGTTTGATTTTTCAACAAAAAATCAACAACACAATTACTGCTGCAGTAGGCAGCAAACACTCTCTCGTATGCGTAAAAAGAACCCAGTGCTGCATCAAGCTTGACTTACTAAGGCTAAAATTTATACCAAGTAATTATCTACTTGCTATGACTACTGAACTAGTAAACTTTATCTTGTCTTAATCATAAGACCATTGTCTTGTAATTTAAGATCAGGCAGAATTTTGGAACTTTTAAGTCATCCTTTGGATGAAAGAGGAAGTTCAATATTCAAGACTGCAATAAACATTTTACAATCTATAATCAGCAGTTTGAGGCCTTTTACAATCTGTTGTTATTAGTCATTCGAGTGCAAATAACTTTCTTTCCCGCCATCGCAAAATGGTGTATTTGCTGGTTGGTGCAAAAATAATTTTCTTTTTCCCCTTCTGAGAATTTTAACTCACGGTCTAGGCCATTGGAGTCCAAACTGTGGCTCCTAGAAGTGGCCCAGGCGCCAACAGGAAGCTCCCCCACCCCAAACATTCCCACAAGTCCATGTTCGATCGTTAGTGTATAATGTTAATCAAGAAATATTCAGTCAAGAATATTTATTTTGTTAGTCATCCATGCAGACTTCTCCATTCCATTCGTGGAATGGTTGGCCACCTAGGTTGAGACTCCAATACAATGCTGGGGGTATGCTGTATTGTTATTTTACAAGCAACATTTAAAATGATGTGACTTTAAATGTAGCATGATGTCTATGCATGGTTTAATTTCTGCTCTAAAAATAAATGTTACATTTTCATTTACAGTTCCTGTAACCACTCCGAAACTGACGGTCAACCAAGACTCCTTAAGGATTACAAAAGGACAAGAAGTAATCCTGTATTGTCATTCAATCAATGGAACATCTCCTATCACATATGACTTGTTCTTGAATAACATATGCCTCCAATCCATTACTGAGCATCATGGAAACCGCTCAACTTTTCATGTGTTGATCAATGAAACTAAGGACATCGGGGAGTACAAGTGCAAAGCTACCAATTTGAATTGCAAATACAGCAATGGAATCAACTTCACAGTTGAAGGTATGTTCCTTTACGGTCAGGATTGTTCCCATGAATTGGAAAAATTGCTAAGTAAAACTACTGCAATAAATTTTCCTTCTGCTGTGGGGCAGCAGGTACGGCGGGTTGTGCCGAAGGAAGAGAACAAAGGATTAGATAGAACCAGGTCAGCAAGAGAGGAGGTAACAAGTCCAACTGTAAATCAACAGCGTTCATATTTCTGATAATATGTGGAAGTTAAATGAATGACACATAATTATTGTTGTTTTATATTATTTGTTTTGTTCCTTGGCCTGCTCACTTATTATGTCCAATTCCTGTATCTGTTTGTAAACACTTCCATGTTCTATGTAGTTTTGTAATTGGTCTTTAAGGCCAGTGTAAAGGTACGTCCCACTTCAATGTGAATCTAATGTGCCACAAAACACATATAGCAATATAGTGAATAGCGATGATAACTCCAATCAGGTTAGCTCTCGATCTCAGCCATGTACTTCAATATGTATTATTATCAGTATCACAAGAAGGTGCAGACCAGAGAACATGCCTTGGTCATAAGGGAACCTTCTTCCTATGTTGCTTCAATGCATCTCCTCACAGCATTGTTGAAGGGCAGAGGAAGGATAGTTAAACAGGAGAGTGTGATCCTGGGAACCCCAACGAAATAAAAGAGGATAATACTTTTTTTCAATTTGTTGGCTATTAATACATCCACAAATACACAAATTAACATCATATAACTGTAACCTTGGCTTGAAAAAGAGGCAAATTAAATATAACACTCTACCTGCAGCAGCTGGGTGGGTGTCACGACACATGTGGAAACCCATCATCATGCTTAAGAATATTCAAACCAAACAGAGTTGTCCGCACGCCAACCTACATATGGAAATTCCCATGTTTGGAATGGAATGCATGTATTTTCGTCACTAAAGTGATACAATAACAGTCTATCAGTAAGCAAAGGAGAAATTTATCATTTTTCACCCCAATGCTACAAAACTGTAAAGCATATGGAATCTATTGGTTTGATTGATCAGCTCTCCAAGACTATACAACACGAAGGGTGCTACATAACAACAACAACAAGACATTTGTATAGCGCCTTTCACGTCGGGAGGACGTCCCAAGGCGTTGTGGTTGTTACTATAAATGTAGTTGTTGTTTATTGTCTAACATTTGTTATTGTTGAATGCCTAAACATTCTCATCAAATATTCAGTCTTCCGAAAAGTAGCTGTAGATAATCTGTTGGTGTAGTAGGTGGAAGAACATTAATTATTAAAATATCTGAAGTAAAAGCTTCCTTTTCTGGTTCTAGACTCTCAGGCTAATGGATCAAACTACAACAGAGTACTTTATGTATTAGTAGGAATAATCATCATCACCATCATCATCATCATCGTATGCTATATAACTAAACATCACCACAAGAAGACAGGTGAGTTTTTTTTACACAATTACATTAATTGTTTGTCATTTGAAGTATTTTGCTAATTTATTTAAACATTTGCCTTTTTTGTCCCCTTCCACAAAAAAATTCTGTGAACCAGGAAGTAAGATAGGATTTCTAATTCAATAAGGCACAAGACATTAACAAGAAACCAAGATTTTCAACTCTTTTCCCTTACTCTCTAATATGTTATTTATGGGGAAAATATTTTCAATTAAGTAAAAGGAGCAATACACTAAGCATAATTGTCTGTTATTGCAAACACGTAGTAGTGCTGGTATAACTATCACCATTAAATGATGCTCACTTTTTAAAAAAATACAAATTCTTCCACTGAAGCTGTCATAAATGAAATAGGTATGTGAGAATATCCAAGATTCAGCTCACTGTATCATCATCCACTAAGTAATTTATTGAGAGCAGGAACAATAACATACTTAGTCATTCAAACTAAATATTGTGAGCAATATCATATTGCTAAATCGATCCCAGCTGTGTCTATTTTTAGTCAATGAGAATTTGGGATTCTATTAAAAATCACTGTACTTGCAAGCCACTTTACAAACATTATACGTGATCATTTGTGTTATATCTGTAGCAAAGTGAACCCAAAACAGAATGCAAGCAAACTGTAGTTTCTGTAGGTTCTTAAATTAAAAACTTACAGAAAACCAGCTTCAAAATTGAGGCTGTACTTTAAGAATTTTCTCAAATTCTGGATATTCCAAAATATTACTACTAAGTAGAGTAAATTTAGATCCAGGTGGAAATTCTCCCCACAAGTTGCTTATCCGTGGGGCAGCCCATAATCTAACAATCATTTTCACAACATTTTGGAGCTCTCAGATATTGTGAAATCTTGGGTTCCCCCTCTGAAAAAAATAAAGACCGGAAACATAATAGCTTTACAATATCTAAGCTTTACAATTACTTTATAATATTTGTATCCTGATTCTAGAACCTGAAGACATAAGCATGACACACGATTATTATACTGTGCAAGAACCAGAAAGTCTCGGTAAGAAATCTAACAAGCGAATGATTTTTAGTTTCTCATGGTCATAGCTTCCATTGAAATAATTTCTTTGCTGCTGCATAAAGGTGCAAGGGTATGTATGTTAATGAATATATTGCAAGCTGTTAGAAGAAAATGGTTTTGAAATAACTGCATTTCCTGCAAGTTGGAGGATTCTTATTCTGGTCTCATTATTCTGTTTTCTAGCTGCGAATCCATCGAAGCAAATTTGAAAAGAAAAAAATAAATCACAAACATTTGGTGAATTTTACCATACACTTACAGTAAAAAAAAAGTGTAGCCCTATTGTTTAGGTTTCCACATGAAGAATGGCTCTTGGAAAGACAGTAAAGGATTGTTGGTAGCTGTGAAGTATTCCAGTATGGATCATAGATTTCACAAATGTTTTCCAGAAAGAAAAACAAAATTAGTATTGGGACATTGTATCTTGACTCCTTGTTTCAGTGATGCTTTCACTCATTTGATTTCAATTATGTTTTCAGATGCAACCCAATCTGTTCAATACACATCAGTCGTAATAACAGGTAATAATCACCATTAAGTATAAGAATATTCAAAATCAGAATGAGAGAAGGGCATTGAACCTGTTTAGTCAATAAGCCATGTACAATCTGCAATTGTTTATCAGCATTCAGAAGCAATTGAGACAAAGCTCTTGAGTAACCAATCCTGCTTAAATGATCAAAGCTAATCAATCCTGATCAATTTCATTCCCTTGGTCACAACTGGCATGTACAGAATCAGCAAAACCACTCATTGCGTATTTCCAGGTTTGTTCAACAATATGCATTTATATGGCACATTCAAGCGGGGTGACGTGTTGGAACGCTTAAAACAATGGTCTAGGCTAAAATATGCTTCCAGCGGATCTGAATGGGAATCCAATGCTGTATCTCTAATTCTAATAAGCCTTAGTGCAATTTATTATATAAACTATCAGTCCTAGGGTGAACTATCAGTGACCAAACCAAAAAATGATTCAGCACACTGGTGGTTCAACTGTATTTTGTAATACAAAATTAAACAAGTGCTACTTTACCAAAGCAATTCTTGCACTGTTATATATTTTCAGGGAGTAAAAATGATTGTGAGGGGATCTACAGTAACATCAGACCAACAAATAAAGGTAATAGCATAGCATTCCTTTCTTCTTTCTAATAAGTAAATGAATTGGAGGAGGGGATATCAATTAATTTTGTCATTTCACAACAGTTGTATTGCTCCACTATGTTAATAATAATAATAATAATAATCCTTGCATTTGATATAGCGCTTTTCACGTCAGGAGGACGTCCCAAAGCGCTTCACAGAACACACTGTAAAGTGAATTGACTGTATATTTGTGAGCGAACGCGGCAGCCAATTGCGCACAGCAATGTCCCACAAACAGTCGTAGATTGAAAATGACCAATTTAATTATTGTTTTGGGTTTTTGAAGGGATTATTATTAGGCGTTAAGAGGGTAATTTGTTTCTCATGTTGATCTCACTCCAAAATCTACAAAAGTTGGCAATGCGCCTGCCGATTAAAATATAGAAATGTAATAAAACCCATTGCGTTAACCACCAAATTGGATAAACATTTCAGTGAGGCTGATTTGAACACTAACTCTATTCCCACTCACACCTTGCAGAGAGTTCTGCCTTCAGGATTTGGCTGTGGCTCATTTAATGAGTTTGGTCAACACTTAACCACTCTGCATATCAGCTTGGAGCGATTGATAGCACGTTGTGCATTTAAGTCCTGTTGCCCTGTAAAACACCACAAAATAGTAATTGGCAAGTAGTCACAGGAAGTTATTTGAAGTAAACCCTCATTTTGGATGTTATTTTCAGTTAATTTAAGCTTTGCATGATGTTGACTATGATGGGAAACTCTCTACCAGGGTGGAAGGGACATGAGTAGGCTATTCAGCACCTTGAGCCTCTTCCGCCATCCTATTAGATCATGGCTAATCTGTACCTCAACTCCAAAAACTCACCTTTGCCCCATATCCCTTGATAACCTTACCTAACAAACATCTATAGGAACATAGGAGTGGGGTCTTGAGGCTGAGAAATTTTGGGAAGGAGATCAAGATTGTGGGGACATAGTAAAACACAGCTTCACTGAATAGTTTTTTTTGATGTAAAGCAATACTTGAGAATAATTGGCTTACATTTTTTAGTTCGCCCCAGAAGGGATACAGAGGTCATTTATAGTGAAATCAAGAAACCAGGTAAGAATCTCATTACGCTGATACATTTTAGGTCTACATACTTGCAATTCAGGCAATATATTTTCAATGCCTATTATGTTTTATTTCTTAAAAATACATTTTGCTTAAACATTCATTTTTCTAATATTTTAGGTCTCTGAATTTGTAATTCTCAAACTGTTTCAAGCATATTAAATGCATCATGTGCATTGTAAATAACCCCACTTGAGGTAATGGATCCTAAAACAACGGCCACTTGTCACCAACTACAGTAAAAATCATGTTCTCCCCCTTCAGAATCTTAACAATTTCTACCTTTCCCTCTCAATCCCTATTTACCAGTGGGAAAATCCCCAATTTAGCCGCCCTCTCTTCTTACAAATATTGCCTCATACCCGCTAACATCCTAATGAACCTGTTCTGCATTTATGACATCCTTCACTGTTATCTTCAGCATCACAGGCTGGAGATTTAATCAGCCCATAGCGTCAGCCGTTTCCCTAGATCTTACTGAAATCTTCTGGTTAAACGCATGTAAACCAGATTTATTACCCAATAAATGATTGTGCTCCCATTGTGTACTTTGCAGGTGCCTCTGCTGATGGTGATAGCTCAAGTAGTGTAAGTGAAACAAATGACTTAAGTTTTAAACTTTTGAACCGTTCATAATAACTGGTAGTTGTTATGACAGACTAAGGAGTTATCATCTGGATAACAATACATTTGAGACATTTTAAACCTAAACAAACGAATTTGCCTGCAAAATACAGCCACTATACTTTACCGTAAATCCTTTACAATCAAATGTGAGGAATATTATTATTATTCTAAGTGCACGAATGATAGATGAATCTGAGAAAGATATAACTGATGTTTTATATTGGCAGGATGAAGATAATTCGGTTCAATATATTCAACTTGATATTAAAGCTCTTTGCGGAGAACCTGCACAGAAACAAGAAAGTATGTTTATTTGAAAAAGAAGTGAGGGTAAAACTCTCATAAGTCGACTTGTATTTTATGAATTTTATTGATTTCATTTTGAACATCTTGGTGAACTGCTTTAAAGCAAATGGGTGAGATCAGAACCCAAGCCTGAACCAAATTCCGTTCATAGCGTTTTTCTTATTTGGTTTGCTTTAAGAAGAGGATATTGTTTTAAGAACCAATAATAAATTTTGTATATAAAGTAAGCAAGCAATATCTCTGGAACAAAATAAAAAAAAAACAGGCAGAACGGTGGCTCTGTGTTACAGAAAAATAAGACAAAGTCAGTTCTCACAATTCCCCAATTTGTATGTTCCTAATATGAGCCATGCCATCAAGATGTGTGGAAAAGCAGTAAAGAAAGACTAAGACACATTTCCCATGGGGTAGATAACTGCAAGGCAAGTGTTTTGAACTTGATCTCACTCACCTTGGAGCTGGTTGAAAAGCAGTACTGGCACCTGGGAACAGGTTGCTTGCCTGTCCTCTCAACCATGGAATGGAAAAAAAATGTGCACATAGAAAATAACGTTATGGGATATAGTACATAGGTAGCTCGGGACATGTGCATGCGATTGCCAAGAAGGCGAACTAGATGGACCATGGTCTTTTTTTCGTCTAACATTTCTTATGTTCTTACATGACGTAGAAAGGAATAAAAGAGCACAGAAAGCTAACTGTAAAATATGCGAATATGAACCAGATTTTTAATTAAAAAACAGATTTTATTCAGTAATGTTATGCCAGATGCTTATTGTAGTGCTTGAAGTTCATTAGGTTTTAATTTAGGGAAACGGTAGAGAAAAGAAGCAAATAGACAATGAAGATGATTTAGACTTCATCATACTTGGCTAAGAAGATTATTTTATGCAATGACTAGAAAAAAAACAATCCTGAACCGTGAAAAACTACTATATCAAAACTATGTGTATCTCTTTAATAATGTTTGAAGATTGTGTTTTTTTAAAGATATTGTAGTTTCTTTAAACAAATTCCATAATAAAACAAAAGACTGCTTGCAGATTATTTCTAGAGATGCAGATTATTATATGACTGAACTAAATTAAGAACAATAAGTGTGAAAGTTTACTTCTTCAAAAAAGTGTCATATAAATATCTTTTAACCAGCTAAGTGACTTAAGTAGTAGTGACAAGTTAAGCCAGGGTTGAGTTATCAGGAATTTACTGTATTTATGTATGCCTAACTCGCCACTCCAAATAAGTCGCTCCTTTCCCTTGGAGTGACGAGTTATCAGAAGTTTACTGTAGTTCACACCAATAGTTTTACAGCAAAACAACAATTTGCATTTATATAGTGCCTTTCACACGGGTTAATGGCTGACCTCTTATTACAAGTAAACAACACAGGTGAAGCCACAGAGGGTAAAGAGTGTGGTTTTAGCTGAATGAGTTTGAACAAATTCTAAACAGCAAGTTCTAAATTAGGTCAACGAAGTCAATCATTCCAGTCTCCTCAGAATAGCAACTTACACTCTTGGTTGATAGACCACCAAATAGATTGAAGTCTGCTGTTGTCTGTGAAGTAAAGTACTGTTAAACCCAAACTGTTTTTTTCCTTTTCAAACTTCATTAGTATATACGATATGTTTTGCAGTTTCTGTTTACCTCATTCCAGATTCAAAACATTTTGTTATTCATTCTTTGTTTCTGGAGAACAATGCAAGACCGAAAAAAATTGTTCCAACATCATTTTATGGTAGAACCTCGTTCTATCATAATTGCAAAGATACAGCAGCAGTAACATCTTAAATCACTTCAAAAAATATCATTGATAGTAAAATATGAATTAAATTCAGATCTGAAATAATAGAGATGGAAATCAAATGTTGTTGAAAATAATGTTGCAAATCTGATTTTAAAAAAAGTTTTAAGAGCAGTTTTCACTGTTGATTAGATGATTTTCAGGATTACATATTTAAATTCATACTTGGTCTGGTAATCATAATTCACTGATCATTAATTCCATGTAGTAGTGGGGCACGTGATTATACAACCAATTCCTACATGCAGTGCAAGATCTGCACAGAATCAATAACATAGAACATTGAGGTAGTCAGCAAAAGTATACACAAACAGCAACACAACTCAGCTTATATGAGCATGCAATTATTGACCCAGCAGGCCAGTACCACTTACTCAGCTCTGTTCCAAAAGTTTACCTGCTCAGTATTAATTTCACCCCCACCGTTAACAAGTGCACATTCATATTTCTTCAGGCAACACACACACAAATATGAAACTAATGTGAACTATTTATCGATGGTCAATTTTCAAGACTCCTGAATGTACTTGGTGAGAAATTCTATTACTTCTGAGATGTGCATCGTTTCCTTCATTGTAGTATCACGGTTCCTTAGCTGTACTAAGCCACTTTCTAAAGTGCTTTCGTTGATGACAATGGTGAAAATCACACCCATCTCATCATACCTGCAATCAAAGGAACAAGAAACTTTGAAACAGCAGACAAAAGAGTCGATAGAAAGACAGTTCTTAAATACGCAGACTGCAGCCCGCTAAGCAGAGGAAGCGAGCAGGATGGTAGGGGGTTAGGAGGTCGCAGAGGTGGAGGGGAGCAAGACCATGGAGGATTTTGAAGGTGAGGACCAGGATCTTGAACTGTATCCTCTGTGTGATGGGAAGCCAATGGAGTCGGGTGAGGATGAATGATAGGGTCACGGAACCTTTGACAGGAGAGATCATTCTGGATGATCTGCAGCCTATGGAGGGAGGAGTTGGGGAGGCCGACAAGTTTGCAAAGACAAGCCTCGATGTAATGAAAATATGTATGACGGCCTGCGGTGTGAGACAGTGGCAGAGCCAGGCAATGTTGTGGGGGTGGGGGAAGGCAGAGCGGGTCATGACACAGATGTGGAGTAGTAAGGATAGTTGAGGGTCAAACAAGACCCTAAGGTTCCGGACTGGCTTAGCAAGATGCAGTGTGCAACCATGGATGGCGAAGCTGTCAGCGCCTGAGGTGTGGAGGGAGCCAATCATGAGAGCCTTGGTCATATCAACATTCAACTGAAGAAAGTTAGCTCTCATCCAGGACTTGATGTCTGACGGACATTCTGTCAGGACAGCAGTGGGTCCTGGAGTCAAGGGTGGAGGCAGAGAGGTACAGTTGGGTGTCATCCGTATACATGTGGAAGTTGACCCCATGTCTGTGGATGATGTTACCAAGAGGCAGCATATAGATGTTGAAGAGGAGGGGTCTGAAATTAGAGTTCAGTCTTCAACTGAAGCTATTCTGATTGAATTTACAGGTGCTACATGTGGGAAAGGAAGCATAAGTGCAGCATTAACCACATATTTTTTCATAAACACATTAACTTAAAAGCGCTCATTTCTGAGAAAGTTTTCAAGTTCATCTGCATTTCCTGCCATAACCACGTTTCAAATAACAAACTTACATTAGTAGTCCATGGTTTCTCTACAAACTGCAAAATATTTTCTTAAATAGTCACTACATATTATATTTGAGTGTACTGCATATTGAAATAATTTTCTGAAATTAATTTCTGTATATTTTTTCCATCCTCCAATGGCTTGGTTAGAAAGTTTGCAATAAGAAACTATATTGACGCCTGATCTATTCTGAGGTTGCTGATATCATCTATGTCAGCAGTAGGAGTGCTACAGTTGACCTCATCAGCCCTGACATAAGGTTGCAACTAATTGGCTGCCTGTGTTTTTCAGCAAGTTGAAAATATTTGCTTTCAATTATTCCTCAATTGCTGACGAAAGAAGAATGAGTTAGGGTCACATCCGTGTGCAAAGCGGAAAGTGATCTCAGTGGCGACGTGAGCGCTCAGAGGTAAGCCATTTTTTTAGAACCGGAAACCAGATATATCGCACTTCTGGTTGGCAAAGTCTCATGGGAGTCTTGCACTCTCAGCAGGAAAGCACAATATCAAAGAACAACAACAACAAGATTTCATTTATAGAGCGCCTTTCACATCGGGAGGACGTCCCAAGGCGCTGGACAGTTGGGTCGGGACCCGAGCCTTGGGGGGAAATGGTCAGGGTGAGGGGAGGGAAGGGAGGGAGCGAGGAGGGGGTAGAGAGTCGAGAGGGGAGCAGAGTTTGGTGCGGACGAGAATGTGGGCGGCAGAGTTTTGAATAATTTGAATAATTGAACAAACTAGAGAAGAAAGCATTCTCAATTCTCAAAAAATTGTGGCCAAACATAAATATCTGATCCCATTATTAAAGCTCAATCAAAGCTACCCAATAAAATTATAACTTCAAATCTATGTCTTACTTTGTGAACAGCTGTTCCATTGATACTTGCGCAGTTTCCAGATAGCCAGGCCACGTATTGATTCTTTTTTCCAACATCTGTCGGAATAGCCCCTCACATACCTACACAACAATGTGAAGTGTACAATATTATTCACATATTAATCATATAAATGTAAATCATATAACAAAATAGGTTACTTTCATAGTTTTGCAACAAATATTTCAGATAAAATATGGTATCTACAGAACTGTTCATGCGCATCTCATTGTAACCTGAATCACAAGATATAATTTGACTTGTTCATAGACAAGTACAGTCTATAAGGAAATATGGTTTGATTAAAAAAAACTCAGAATCATCAAGCTTCAGTGACTGAATCGGAAACTGGTGAAATATTTTTTAAAAAATCAAAAATACAGCAAGACAACAACTCGCATTTATACAACTGTTTCAACAGTTAAAGGTCACATCATAAATGTAGTGCACAGATAGCAGTGAAATGTGAAATTTACGAATGTTGACCAAAGCATATTTAACAGGTTTTTGAAGGCAGAGTGAGAGTGCAGTAATTTTTTTGACTTATAATCTGCTGTGTGCAATTGGCTAATGTGTTTCGCCCACAACATATACAGTGAATTTGGCTCCATAACTCTGTCTGTCCAGCGCCTTGGGACATGCTCCCGACGTGAAAGGCGCTATACAAATTTTGTTGTTGTTCTGTGAAGCGCTTTGAAGACATGTCAACAACGTGATAAGGCGTTATATCAAATGCAAGGATTATTAAAATAGCACAATTTTATAACATGAGACATACTTGACGCAGTTCTCCTGTGGATCCCCTCCCTACGTCCAAAGCCACTTTAATTGGCACAAGAAACGGATGCAGCTTTAGAACCTAAAAATAGATCAATCAGAATGTGTCACAAAGCCACGGCTTTAGTTGTCATTTCAGTATAAAAAGTATCCATATCATTTGAAGGCTAAAAAGCAGAAGATTCTAATTGTACAACAACTTTTAAAATGTCTTACAGATTTCACAAAGAAGCTACCAGTCTTTGTTTTTTTAAACAGTTTTCTGCAGTGCAAATATAGAAATAAGCAAACATGACATGGTTTCGCATTTAAAACAATAGTTTCCAAAAACTCACTTGCTTTTGGTTACAACTACATTTTGAATCAATTTGTTCAGACAAGTGCAGTGAATCAGTCAAATAAGCCATCACTCCTCGATCTAGATTCCCACTCACTGACAAAACATGTGGAACGACAGTCTTCCTGCCATCTCGGCCCTATTTGAAACAAATACATTGCATAGCACTTAATAGCAGTTAGCATTACAACTCTTGAATTACAAATTAACAAAGTTGGCACTCATACTTGTAACTCTGATTTGCTCCCCAGATGTTTGAGCACAACTTCCTTTTCTTCCAAACTTAGAAGTGTTTCAATTGGTTCCTTTCCCCATGGAAAGCTGAAATACAATGCAGTTCCTTTAATTCCATTTTCGTCCTGGAAATCATTGGCTGTAAAGCTGGATGGATGTCTGGCAAACTACAAGACAATGAAATGAATTAGTTACAGAGTAAAGTTTGGAAGATACAACAGAACGGGTGGTACTGTTCATCCTGTCTTTTTCCAAATCTTTATTTCCCTCGTTCTTCAATTTTGACAGTTTTTTTTTTCCTTTTTATATATTTTCACGTTTTTCTTACTTAATTTTAAAATCATTTTTTTACCAGTCTTATTCAACACAGAAAAACTCAGTCAAGGGACATTGGTGGTTCAGCGAAACAGTAAACTGAACACTAAAAGTTAATATTCAAACTTAAGATTGTTTACAAAATTATTAAAAATTACATGCGACCAAGTAAATAGCCATGAGCAAATAGAACTGTTTGAAGCTAAATTGCTGTTTGATTAGTGAAGACAAAAAACTCCTTACCTTCCTCCACCAGAGTAACCGCTGACGCACCCAGTAGTCTCGCCACTGTCCTGAAGTTCGAGGAGAGCTGAACCATACAAGTGATGCCACTTCCACTTCTCCTGTTCTTTAAAATGATGGGGAATTTAAAAATGCAGGGCGACCAAATTAATATGCTAGAAAAGCTCTAAGGCCTTTGCACAAATATGCTTTTCTCACTCAAATTTTCTTCATAAAATATTCATTAAAATCAGAGGGAACAAAAGAATAGCAATTAAGTTCAAATTTGCACTTTCAAATGAGCACCAGTAAAAAAAACTGGATTGAACTCTTAAGGTTCCTGAGATAATGCCCTATTAATATTGCTTTTGAATAAAAAGCTTCAAATCCCTATTTTTAATGTTTTGTGACAGGTGATTGTAGTAAGTTTTTNGTATATCAAGTTGGCCAACTTACCTGACAGCACTGCTTGTAGTTTCATGTTCAGTTGCAACAGGTTGATAACACACACCGACCTCAGCTAAACCAAAAGGTAGCTTCTCGTTTACAAGGTTCAATGACTTTGCATACAGCTGGAATGCTCCTGCGATGGGTACACAAATAGATGTACACTTCAAATTAAAAAAAACTCAAATACTGTACATGGTGTCCTTCTAAAAATAAATCCACCTAAAAATGGTGACGTGCTTCTCTAAAATTTTATTTGGTAAACAGCAGAAGTCAGACATTTTTAAAAACTAATCCTTGTATTTGATATAGCATTTTCATGTCAGGACATCCCAAACCGCTTCAGAGGATTCACAGTGGAATAACTGTGTATTTTAAAGGCGAACGTGTCCGGCAATTTACCACAGCACAGCAATGTCTCACAAATAGCCATGAAGTTAATGATCAATTTCAACTTAAGGATTATTGGCTAGAGCACTAGGAAAAACTTAGCTGAGTGTTGTAAATGCCACCCTTCATTTGAACCCACAAGCGCTTACCAACTAAGCCAGGTTCACGGTCAGTATTCGCATTTGAGCTGCCACAAATTACCTTCGATAGCCAACATCCTACCAAACTGAGGAACAGCACTTTTGTTTGAGTTCCTTTTTTCTCTGTCTGCCCACTCGTTAAATTTGGGGGGCTTTCTTGCCCTTTGTACATCAATCTCCAGATATGTGGGTGGGTTGGCAAATAAGTCTTGAGTGTCACAGATGTAGAACAAAGTCTCGGAGTGAATCCACCTTTTTTAAAAAAAAAATAAGATTCCCCTGTTTTGTGGAATATCAGCCTGGTGACACTTACGGCTCTGAGTCAAAGGTTGTGATTTGAGTATTGCGATGGGACTTTGACTGATGCTATCAGAAGGATGGGGGCAGCCTGATACCCACAGAACTGTCCCCAAGCAGCAGTTAGAGCTCTCAAGAGGAGAAAATGGAGATAACCGTTTAACCATAATTGTAGAACTATTGTAAATCCAAGTCCCTCACCTCCACTCTGCTTTTGGATTGATAACCCAGCGTTAAAAAAAGAACTAGGTTTTCTCAATTGAATAATTACAAAATTATTTCAAAATTCCTGCTCCCAATTTTCTCATTTAAGTTATGTAAAACATAACCAGATCTAGATGTTTGAAACAATTATTACTCAGAATACTGGCAGGTGCTACTGAGAACTGAAATTAATAGCTCAGCACTGCCACCAACTGGCACTTTGTTTGCAAGTTAGGTTTTTTTAAATTTCCGTTATTTGCCTCATTCCCATCAATGTTCCTCCACCGAAGCACAACCAAGATTTGTAAACTGTCATTTGAGGAAAAGGTAGGAAACACTACATCTTACCGTTCCATAGATTGTATAAAATGGAACGATCAGAAGCTGGGAGAACTGGGATGGTACAGGAGGTTCAAAAAAAACAATTCTGGAGGCGAGCAGCGGATGAACAAAAAGGCGTATAATAAAGGGACGGAAAGATATATTACCTTCCAGAAGATTGGAACGTAATATTGCACTCTTCTTCAATAATTCTTCTAGTGAGGCAATTGTCTCTTTCATACTGAGGTTCTTGTTGCGCAAGATTGCTCTCAATACTTCAGTCTCTACTAATGTCATTGTCTTATCCTCTGAATTTAGAGAGCCTATCATGTGTTGAGGCGTCTCAATCCCAAATACACGCTCTTTAGACAACACCATTGAGTCCCACCACTTTGTGATCAAGTTCTTCTTCAGTTCCATTCCCAAAGGGCCATAGCTGTAACTGCCATTGAGAAGAGCTTCTTGTGTAATTATATCCTCAATTATAAAACGTCTACTCTGGCAAAGGCTAATCAGCACATCTGTAAATCCAGAAGGGTTAAATGTACTCTTGGTGTATTTTTTTGACTGGTACCAATTTACAAAGATCTGCCAATCATGTTTCAACACCATGTTTGAGGTCTTCAACTGTTTCAAGACTGACCAAACAGAATGCTTCCTAACGATCAATGGCATGGCAGTTTGCAGGTAGTAAATGATTCTGGCAGAAGGATTCACAAAGGTGAAAATAAACATCTAAGTGATTTGGTATAGTTGGTACAAAGTTTTCTTACATCAGTTGCTGTGTTAATGATGTGAAAGATCTGCAGTAAAACACAGAACACGTGAATGTAAGTAACAGTTGGTTTCAATTCAATGAAGCCAGGCATGGGAGTGAGAGGAAGGCTTGGGAGGGAGAGGAAGGCTTGGGAGGGAGGGAGGGAGGGAGGGGAGTGAGAGGAAGGCTTGGGAGGGAGTGAGGGAGGGGAGTGAGAGGAAGGCTTGGGAGGGAGGGGGGAGTGAGAGGAAGGCTTGGGAGGGAGGGGAGTGAGAGGAAGGCTTGGGAGGGAGGAGGGGAGTGAGAGGAAGGCTTGGAGGGAGGGAGGGAGGGGGGAGTGAGAGGAAGGCTTGGGAGGGAGGGGAGTGAGAGGAAGGCTTGGGAGGGAGGGAGGGGAGTGAGAGGAAGGCTTGGGAGGGGGAGGGGAGTGAGAGGAAGGCTTGGGAGGGAGGGAGGGGAGTGAGAGGAAGCCTTGGGAGGGAGGGAGGAGAGTGAGAGGAAGGCTTGGGAGGGAGGGGAGTGAGAGGAAGGCTTGGGAGGGAGGGAGGGGAGTGAGAGGAAGGCTTGGGAGGGAGGGAGGGGAGTGAGAGGAAGACTTGGGAGGGAGGGAGGGGAGTGAGAGGAAGGCTTGGGAGGGAGGGGAGTGAGAGGAAGACTTGGGAGGGAGGGGAGTGAGAGGAAGGCTTGGGAGAGAGGGGAGTGAGAGGAAGGCTTGGGAGGGAGGGAGGGGAGTGAGAGGAAGGCTTGGGAGGGAGGGAGGGGAGTGAGAGGAAGGCTTGGGAGGGAGGGAGGGGAGTGAGAGGAAGGCTTGGGAGGGAGGGAGGGGAGTGAGAGGAAGGCTTGGGAGGGAGGGAGGGGAGTGAGAGGAAGGCTTGGGAGGGAGGGAGGGGAGTGAGAGGAAGGCTTGGGAGGGAGGGGAGTGAGAGGAAGGCTTGGGAGGGAGGGAGGGAGGGAGGGGAGTGAGAGGAAGGCTTGGGAGGGAGGGAGGGGAGTGAGAGGAAGGCTTGGGAGTGAGGGAGGGGAGTGAGAGGGACGGAGGGGAGTGAGAGGGACGGAGGGGAGTGAGGGAGGGGAGGGGAGTGTGAGGGACGGAGGGGAGTGAGGGAGGGGAGTGTGAGGGACGGAGGGGAGAAGAGGCAGGGAAGCGAGAGAAGAGTCCTAACCTGAGAACGAGCTGCCGCCCATACCCCCGGATGAGGATGAGATACTCAACAATAAGCGCGGGGGGGGATCGCGGGCCTCCTGTCGCGGCTCCGAAAATACCGTTTTTTTTAAAAAAAAAGCCGTTTAAACCCCTCGCTCGCGCCGCCTTCCGTCAACTCGAATACGTCACTTCCCGTCACCGGCGCATTGCCACCCGTCGCCATCTTGGTAAAGGAGACAAGCTGCCGCTCTCACTGCCGGCCATGTTTGTAAAGGTGCGAACCGCCTCGCCAGGTTGTGGGTTTCAAGCTCTGCGTCAGGACTTGACTGATGCCCCCCCCCCCCAAGTGGTTGATTGGAGTGCTGCATTATCCAAGGTACTGGCCATTCATTCTCTTCCAAGCTATTTATATATATATATGGGACTTTGATATATATATATATATATATATATATAATTTATATGTACATGGGACTTCCCATCACACAGAGGATACAGTTCAAGATCTTCACAGCCCTCCATGCTCTTGCTCCCCCTCTACCTCTCCGACCTCCTAACCCCCTCCCACCCCACTATCGGCGGGCCTTCCGCCTCTCTGCGCCCACCCTCTAGAATTCCACCCTGCAGTCCCTCCATCTCGCCCCCTCCCAGACCCTCCTCTTCGACCGCGCTTTCAATCTCCCTGCTTCCCCCCCCCCACCCTCAAGTTTTCCCATAATATTCATATTTCTGTTAAAAGATGTTTCCTATTCCAATTTAAATGTTTTATAACAATTCACGTTGTTCTGTAATACCAGATTATATTTTATTTTTTGGGTGAGATAATTGCTTCATGGACATAAAGATTGTTTATTTTCACACTGCCTGTGGAAAATTGATTATAAAAGATGCATGGCCAAAATATACTTTGTTCAGCCCAGGACATAGCATACCAGGTGCTGTCCATGAAATGATGAAGCAAATTGCCCTGAATCCAACACTCATGACCTGCAAATAGTATTACACTGGACAGCAGCAATCACATGTGAAGCACCGAAGAGATGATGAATATCATGGGCATATCAATCAACTGCAAGGGTCACTGGCTCATACACTGCCATATTTCCTTGCCCATCAGTTTTTTTTAATATAAAAAGCCTCACAACTAGTGTTTATAGAGCACCCTTCATATAGGATAACACAAGAGCACTGTATACAGCGACATGGTCAGACACTAAGCAAGGGATAGGGGGAATGTGACCTTAGGCAGTCAAAGAGGTAGGTTTTAAGGTGGGATTTAAAGACAGGTAGACTTTAACCGGGATAGAGACTGGCAGCTCAAGATTAGGGGCATTCATTTCCTTTATGCAGTAATCATTATCTGGATTAAGTGATCTGCAGTCAACTCAAATTCAGCTGTAATCTTATCCAAGTTCATCTAAATATGCTCTCAAAACCAACTGGTGGAGAATATGGATACTGCTCCGTCTACTGGTCAAATAGTAAACAGCTAGTGTTCCTATGTTAACTCTCTCCAGCGACCTCACAAATACAAAGTATAAAGTAAAAGCAGCAACACAATAATTCAGTTTTAAAGTTTTATTTAAAATGACACATTGGCAGTTACATACAGAACTCCAAGACTTGTATCAAACTTCCTTACAGGAATGACATGCATCTTCATGTATGCTGTGGTACTTTTGTGTAAGTAACTTGTAATAATATTAACCTGCCATTTCTAATAGAAAACACTAACAAAAAAAGTTCCAAGGAATGTAAAGTAACAAAAAATTAAATAGTGGGGAAAGTGCACCAATCCTACTGCTGCACTGCAGTCTTTGCTGAATTATCAATGGTTTCTATTAAACTTTCCCATCCTCTCCTCAAAAAAAATTACAGTACAAGTCAGAAGAGAATGAAAAATAATTCAAAAACACCTAGTTCAATAAGTTACTTCTGCAATGCTGCATATGCTGCTGGCATGGGATATCCAGTCTGCCCCTGAAAACCCATCCCCATCAATGGTGGGGGCGCATATTGATACTGTGCTCCCACGGCCAGCTGCTGACCCACACCATTGGTTTGCAGGGAGCTAGGACCAGAACTTCCAAATTGCTGAACTTTATTACTGGCTGCCTTGAAGCCATTCTGATTTTGACTGGCAAATGCTGCAGTTCCCTGGGTCAAAGATGCGTAGCTAGAATTTCCAAACCGAGTTCCATAGCTTCCAGGTGCACCAAAGGAATTCTGACCAGACGGGTTGTAAGTTTGTGAACTAAAGGTCCCATTCTCCCGCTTTCCTAGTCCATAACCCCTGTCCATGCTGTCCCTATTTCTAAAACCATTATAACCCCCACCCCTGGAACCAGAGAATCTGTCTCTTCTGTCATCGCGGCGATCATCTTTATAGCCACCACCCCTACCCCTGGAACGACCTGTTTAAAGAAATTTTAGAAACTATTAGTACAAGAACTTCAGAGTTCTAACATTGGGCTTTGGGGGAAAAGTCTACAAACTCAAATTTTGTAAAGTGTTTGGCTATATGCAACAAGATTCAGGTCATTATTAGTAAACTGTTGAATTTGTAATCAATTAAGTCTGTGCAGTTTTCTGCCCAAAACTCAGTTTACTTCTGTAGTTGCAAAAAGCTTCTAAAATCTACGTCTGTTGCCCAAGTACATATAGTTACCTGAACCTCTGTCTTCTACCATCTGGATTAGTTTTGGGTTGATAGCCTGATTAGCCTCACGAAGCACAGAGATAAGGTCGTTTGCTTGCTTTATGTTGCCAGGAGTAAAGAACGTATAAGCTGTGCCCGTTTTGGAACTCCGGGCAGTTCGTCCAATGCGGTGGATATAGTCTTCAGACGAGTTAGGGTAGTCATAATTGATGACAAATTTCACATCTTCCACATCTGTAAAGTGTTGTGTGGCAAAAAAGCAGGTGCAAGTTATGCACACAACAGTCAGAGCAGAAATACAAATTAGCAAATGAGCAATTAGCTGTAGCATCAGAACTGTAAAGCAATTGTTAAAAAAATTAACCCTTCATCTCAATCCTGTGGGAATACTACTGTGGGAAGAGAAAAACAATGCACACTCCCCTTAACACAAAACCCCCAAATCTTAGAGAGATACTTTGATATCTTACCAGCGGGAGTATGCATTCACTAGTCCATTCCCAAGTCAGCGAACTCCCCACATGTTATCAAGTGACATCCGGATGCTTCTACACAGTTGGGCCACTTTGTATATTGTCGCCTCTTCATGTGCCATTCAGGACCTTAGAACATCAGGCAAGGTCCTTCCTACACATTCATGAGAAGCTCAGGATTCAGGCCACACTGCACGTCTTGCCAAGACCAAAATAGACTACAATTAATAGGGCCCAATGGAAACCTATACCCCAATGCCTCCCTATTCAAATAAGTTTCCCCTTTGACACATCTTGTCTAGGCAAGCACTTCTGAGAAGCCAGTGTACACTTGAGAAAATGTCTCTCTTTGGCAGATCCCAACATGACTAAGATACAGTTAGGTGAGGGAGGAATTCCAAGGGCACTTATTACTCTGTGGTTATCAGTACTCTCTAAAGCTACAAACCATCTATATTCCACTAACTTGTGCGAGTACTCACCCAATTTCTTATTGATGCAGTGTTAATGCTGCTCTTAAAGCATTACAAAATGAACAGCCACTTGTTGGCACTCCACTGGTTTGATAAACTCACTACAACTTTGGGGGGTGGAGAGGAAGAAAAAAACCCAACCCAGGTCAAAAATACTAAGGGGAAGAACAAGCAACTGCAACCTTTTCGTGCCCAAGTGGAAGTGCTTCATATTGTCCAGGGAGAAAGATTTTAGGGTGTCGGGTCAATGCTGGCCATTTTTGCCATTTGATTGTTACTGACACACAATGCTCTCTGCATTTGACTGGGTAGCTGCCAGCCGACCAGATTGATTAGTCCTCTTTCCCCCTGTCGAGTCCTCGAACTGTCATGCCTAGGCCCTGCCACAAAGACTGCACCTTTTACACAAAAGACAACTTAGAAAAATACATAAAAACATTAAAGAAAGCAATTACATACTTTCTTTAAATCTGGAAAAAGTGCATAAAAAAGTAGAATTAGCATCACTGACCTAAACCTCTGGATGCAACATCAGTAGCAATAAGGATTGGTGCTTTGCCCGACCGGAATTCTGCAAAAACATTCAAGATCATTGTTCAGGTAAAGGTTTAACACAAGAACAACAGGTAAAGAAGGTATGAAAAGAGCACTACGTACCATTGAGAACCCAGTCACGCTCTGGTTGACTCTTGTCACCATGAATACACATCGCTGGCCACCTACAAAAAAAATTGTACATATGCATCATTAATCTATATGGTTTCACCAGTTGTTCAACTTCAATTTCACCCAGTTCACTTGCAGGCCATGTGCCACTATCAAAGCAAGAGGAAATCCTAGCTCTCTAGTTCGCTGTTGTACTGTGACCTCAGAATGCCCAAGTGACACAGCCAATGCCACAATGGTTGCCGGCAAAGATGCTTTTTGTAGCTTATGACTTTTCTTAATGGTTCGAAGTCTCAAAAGACTCAGGTCTCCTGACCAAAAGCCAATCATATTAATTAGCATTTCAAGAAGCTTGGACAGGCACAAAATGAAATGATCTGAGGTGTTCAAAACTGTCTATTACAAATAGAACATTTGACAGTTCTCCACCTAGTCATTTGTGGTACAATCTTCCTTTCGAATTAAGATTCAAGAACAAAGCAATGTAGAAGTAATTGTAATAAATGTCTATACATTTGATCACTTTTTAGCTTCTTACCCATCTCTCCTCATTCGCCTGGTAAGTTCATCACATCGCCGCTTGGTCTCCACAAAGATTATGGTTTTGTTTTCCTTTTCACTCATTATTTCTTCCATTAACCTCAGCAACCTAAATTCAGTTAAAATTAATGACATTGAATTAATTGAAAATAACTAACTTGCATCAGACTAGCAAATCCAGTAGCACTCGCCTCAGAGGGTTTATGTTTAAACCCCACATCAGGACTTTGAATAATCCTGTAGGTGCACTGCATTGTTGGGTGGTGGGTACATCAGGTAAGACGTTAAACTAAGTTTCTGTTTATTTAGATGAACACATATACCTTGCCACTACGTGAAAAGGGAACTACTGGTCAACAATTCCCAATTTAAAAATAAATCAGTTGTTCCTTACGAGTCAGTGTACAAATTGCATCCTCAACTACAGACTTAAGTGGCAAAAGTTCCACATGAAACCACTAGGACCAAGTTTCCTCTACTAAAGCCAAATTATTCAAGCAAAATGGAGCACTAATCCATTTAAATGCATTACTTGGTTATTTTAGTTAAGTGCCAAATTAATTCAGGCCAGCTAGTTGGAGCTGTACACACAGCTACATTCTTAGATCAAGAGACAACATGCACACTGTGAATGAAGGAGTCTTTACAAGATAAGGAATCCATTAGGAACTCACTTGTCATCCTTCTCAAACTCTTGGCATACATCAACTATTTGCAGGATGTTGTGATTGGCACTAAGTTCTAATGCCCCAATGTTAATTTGCACATATTCCTTCAGGAAGTCTTCAGCCAGTTGTCTAACTTCTTTGGGCCAGGTTGCACTCCACATCAAGGTCTGTCGATCCGGCTAAAAGAGGAAAAAAAGCAAAGCCCATTGGATTATTTTTTTTTAATAAATGGAACAGGAATTCTTTTAAAATCAGCCTAACCGTAACTAGTTATCCCAGCAACACCAGGCTAATGTTAACTAATTAACAATGAACCTGCATTTCCTCTTAACCTTGACTGTGTGCTCTATAGTGACACCCTAGGTCAATTACTGAATTGCAGAAGGACATTTTCTGCAACAGTTGTAACCACACCACGGAGACTAGTTTCAAAATGGATCCAACAGCATGTAATCCTATTCAGTGACATTTTGAAATTCTCATTAAACAATCTGCAGTAAGTCCCCCTCAAAAAATCCTATTAAAATTCAGTCAAATCACCGGATGTGTTGATCCTTTAACTGCATTTAAATTTGGTATAAAACATGAATGTTCTCACTTTCCTTTGGGGGAAAAAAATCCCAAACTACAATTATACTAATATTAAGCACTTACCCTAATTTGGTCAACAATTTTCCTGATCTGTGGTTCAAAGCCCATGTCAAGCATTCTGTCTGCCTCATCGAGTACTAGGTATGTGCATCTCCTTAGATTGGTCTTGCCAGCTTCCAGGAAGTCTATTAGTCGGCCAGGGGTTGCAATACAGACTTCCACACCTGAAGAAAGAGAGGACCGTTTAATCCAAGGCCCAGTCTATAACTGGCAAAAACAATCAGAAAAACAGTTGACAATAATACAATACCTCTTTCAAGGTCCCGAATCTGTGGGCCTTTCGGAGCTCCTCCATAAATACAAGTGGATTTTAGACGCGAGACTCTGCCGTAATCATTTGCCACATGCTGCACTTGCTGGGCCAGCTCTCTGGTTGGTGCCAGGACAAGGCACTAGAGGATGTGAAATGGCATTTTTAGTTTAGATACAAACTTCTTACTTATTACTAATTATTAAATACAAATAAAGAAAAGGATGCAACTTACAATGGGACCATCGCCACGTTCCAGGAAAGGCTGATGATTTATGTGAACAATGGCTGGCAACAAGTACTGCAAAAGAGAAGTTCACAATGAAGCAGGGTGAACATTGTTCAGAGAAATTTAACACAAATAATCAATGCCGTTAAACATTTACAGCCAGAACAAATAACCTTGTATGTAGTAGTCACACATTTAATTAGGTTTGTTCCAGGCACTAATCAAATAGACCACATTTTGGTGCCACTTCAAGTTAAGGCAAATATACTTACAGCAAGTGTTTTACCAGATCCAGTCTGTGCAATGCCAACCATATCTTTTCCACTAAGTGCAACTGGCCAACCCTGAGCCTGAATAGCAGTGGGTTCAACAAAATTCTGTTGCATTAGAACATCCAATACATACGCTGTGGGTGAAAGAACAATACTGGTTTTAAAAAATGAAAGACTGACAAAATAGCTCTGTTTAAATTCTCAGAACAGTTACCCCTAATATTGTGAAATAGTGCAATAATTTAAACAAAATCCAATTTGTGGTGTATACTTACATGGAAAACTTGCTTCAGTGAAGTTGAAGATTGGCTTAGGACAACCAAGTCCCTTCACTGTTACTTCCTTGGTTCTTCTGTACTGCTCAACTTCTTGCTAAATGAAATAAAGTAAAATTACAGTTAGCCAATACAAGTCAAAAGGCTTAAATGCAGCCTTAATTGGAAATCGAAATGAAAACCTCTACTAAACTTGGAAAAAAATTCTATTCAAATACACAAGATCTCCCCAGTGTAATATTGATCTATTTCAGCATCTTCCTTCGAAGCAGACGATCAGAGACAATGAAATTCCCTCCATCTTAAAACTAAAAAAAATTCTGCATCCACACCTGGCTTCCTGAAGCCATGGAGCAGGTTGGTCCTGAAAATGGCATCTTCATAAACTTCCAATAAGAAGGAACCAAACTCCATGAGAGCACATAAAATTTTACGAGGGCCTCTTTTATCTATCGATAACCAGTTCTATTCTTAGTTGAGCAATGCCAATGATTCATTGGTATTACCGCACACATCAATAGCTGACTCATCAGATAGTACCGCAAGTAGGCTTCCTCCACTTATGACTCCAAACCTAGTCACTCCCGCAAGAGCACACTTTGCTCGCTTCAAACAAAAAAGTTGCCAGTTACCCACTTCGTTAACCAGAGAGGTTCCCGTTTTGCCCTCAGCCATTCCCCATCAGTGACTCCGCCGCCCCCCCCCCCCCCCCACCCCGGAGGGGCCGGGATGCCGAGGCCACTCACCGGTGTGCGGTTCACCACGCCAGCGTGCTCCACGTAGAAGTTCTTCTCGAATTTCGGCAGCTCCTCGAGGTCCCACTTGCGTTTCCTCAGCTTCTCCCCCGGCTGCCCGAACTTCTTGCCGGGAGGAGGCGCGTTTCTGCTCCCACCGAAGCGAGGTCCGCCGAACCTGAGATGGAATAAATAATGCATTTCACAGCGCGAATCCCTTCGGAGGGCGGGTGGCGCAGCCTTACATCATACCGTGCCCGTGCACAACCCTCATCAGGTGACTGTTAAACACTCGCCACCACCACTTCCTTCTCTCCTCCCTCCCTCCCGGCCATTTTAGACGCGGCAACGAGACAAACCCCGCGACACAATACCGAATGTAGACGTATTATGGTGGTGGTGGGGAGGAGGGGGGGAGAGGAAAGGGGTGACATTACATAAGATAAAGGACGAAAAAAAATACTGTTATACGTCAAGTATAAAAGGAGAGCGAGAGGGGAAGGGGGCGGGCGGGAATCTTTTGACGAAATTAAAAGGAAATAAAATCTTTTGATGTTTAGTTTTTTTTAAAAAAAATGCCGAAGCTTCTCGATCAGTTCCCTCGCGATCATTTTTTTGTTGTCCCCCCCCCCCCCCCCACTCCACTCCCCTCCCCATCTACCTTTCTTTCTTCATCGCCGCCGAGAGGCGGGCGGACAATGAACGCCGGCCGGCTTTCAGCGACCGCATGGCGGTTCATTTCCTCTCAGCCGGCATTTGCCTTTCTCCCATCAAAACGGAACCGGCTTTTTTTTCCCCCCCCACTTCCCTCATCCTTCCTCTCTCTCTCTCTCTCTACACGCACACATTTATTTATTCATTTGTCTATCTATCTACCTCTCCCTCCCTCCACGTCCTCTTCTCGCTCCTCAAGAAAAAAAAAGCCCAAGTCCTCCCCCCCCCCACCACCACACCCCGAAATATATACGTTCAAAACCTCGTTTATGCATTTTTCCCGACGAAACTCACCCGCCACGGTCGCGGCCACGGTCCCCTCTGTCGTTCCCGTATCCAGGCATTCCTGTTGCTGTCGCGGTGAGAGTCGTTAGCGGTTGTTGAACGCGACGCCGGGTTGGGCGAAAATGCCGGTTCCTTGTCAGCCTTCAGCGCGAGCCGGCGAAAGAGGAAGGCTGCCGGCGCCGGAACTCCTTTAAACCACCCCACCACCCACCCCCGGCCAGCCGGCGTATCCCTCCGCGAACCAACGCTGCGCACCAAGCGCCCCAGCCCGCCACGGCGCCTCCCCGCCCCGCGCCCGCCGCCTCATTCGATCGCGGCGGCGGCCGCAACGAGTCCGATACGCGTCGGTTCCGGGCGCCCCGAACCCCGGTTTCTGCGTTTGAATGTCATCGGAACTATTTTGACGCGCGAGGACAGATGCGTGGCCATACAAGGCGGTGAAAAGGCTTTTTTTTTTCCTTGACGACCGGGTGACGTCAATCAAACTATGATGGTGGTGGTGGGGGGGCGATTGTTGGTAAAAAACCGTCATTTCTCCCCCACCCCCCCCACCCAACCCTCCTCCGGGGGAATAAATAAAAATGGGGGTTGACGTTGTAACGATGTGAACGGGGGTGAAGGGAAATTTTTTAAAAAATTGAAAATTATTTTGAATTTTTTTTAAAAAAAACGATGGTCCGCCGTTGCGTAACATCCGGGTGTGGTCGGTTGGCGGCGTCACGGCGCGAGCCAATGGCGGGCGGGCGACGGTTTAAATGGTCGGAGGCCGTTGGGAGCGAGTCCTGAGGGGAGAGAGAGAGAGAGGGAGAGGGGAGAGAGAGAGAGAGAGAGGGGGGGGGAAAAAAAGAAAGAATAACATGAGGGGACGCGGGACCGATCGCAGTCGGAGAGTCTTTCTGAAGTGACATGGAACCTCAGGGAGAGCGAGGTTGGTGGTCGTGACGACTGTCTTTGCTCCCAGCGGTGACTCCATCCTCCCACAGCCCCCACACCCCCCCACCACCACCACCATCACCACCCACACCCCTCACACAGCGCTTGTCAAGTCCCCAACTTGTGTGGGGTGGGGTGGGGTGGCGCCCGGGGCTGTCTCTCTCCCTGGGTTTTGATTTCGATCCCAATCGCCCGATCCTCGGGGGGTAAACAGTGCAGAAGACACTCGATAGCGAAGCAGCGATCGCGTCCCGACCCCCTCCCTCCCCCCCCCCCCCCCCCTCCCCCCCCCTCCCAAAGTTGTGGGGACATTGTCAAGGTAACCAGAAGCTGCGGACTGCAGTTGAAGGATAATAGTGGGTTTGTTTGGAGGGTATTTTTTTATTTAACTTCACTCTCTGCTTTTTTGTTTACGCGGTTCGTGCTGCGTTGTGTCCCCTTTGTTTATGTCTGTCCCCCCCCCCCCCCCCCCCCCCAGAAGCAGCTGGTGACGCGGTGCCTCCTCGCCCCCCTTTCCTGACGACCCCCCCCCCCCCCCTCCCCCCGCCGCCCCTTTTACTTTTCGATGTGCTCTCCTGTCGTTCGGGAATTCGGAGTGTGTTATGTTATGTTGGTGTTAAACCGAAAATCTCTCCGGTCAGTAGAGACGAGTCCCTCTGCACTTCGATTCGACTTCGAGCTCCGACTGTCCACCACCCGAAAAGGGGCTCAGCCCCACGGTTTGTACTTGTGTGTGTGTGTGTGTGAGGGGAAAGCGTTTAAAGGTTTCCTTTGCTCCTTTTCCATCATATTAATATATACGTCTCATTTCCAGCCTTTCGCCCACCGCCCGCCCGCACGTTATTTTCTGGCCGTGTGTTTTAATCAGCTGCGGGTTGACAGGAGGTATAACAATAGTTCGAAGCTTTCACAAAGTCTGCTTTTTTTTTTCCCCCCTTTTCAAAAAAACCCCCCCCCCCCCACCGCCCACCCCCGAAGACTGTCAATGTGCCATCGGGACGGACAGCTGTGGCTGATGACATGGGCGTCTCCTGACAGCCCGCGGGGTACATGCATCAGAGGGAATGACACATGAAAAGTCACTGCGCTCTTGAGTAATACGTCGTTGGAATACAGCCAAGTTCCTGTAACATGATAAATAGGGGGAAAAAAAACCCTGCTGGAGGGACTGACTCTTCTTGCATTGCGTCTTCAAAATGCTTGGACTTTCCCCAAGACATTCCCTGGCGTGGTGCTGTCCCCGTGAAGTACCGTGTGGGGATACAGCCACGAGGATAATAATAATCCTCGCATTTGATATCGCGCTTTTCACGTCGGGAGGACGTCCCAAAGCGCTTCGCAGAACACACTGTCAAGTGAATCGACTGTATATTTGTGGGCGAACCCGGCAGCCAATTGCGCACAGCAATGCCACACACCCTCACTCAACGGCTGTTACCTCGTACAGATAGATGTCCTCTCGCAATGACTTCACCAGATACTTTCCAGTAATTCTCTAGAATTAGCATGCCCCCGGGCTGACTCAAGTATCTTTGTGCCAGGCAAAGGTTCATGTTGATGGGGTTATTCCTGTCCTGACTTTGCCATCTTCCCCCCCACCCAAAACTAAATGCAACTCAAATTTCTTTCTGTGGGATTCGCTTGGCCTAAAGTTGATCCTCCTGTCTGGTCTACGTTTTAATTACTGTACTTTAAATTACTGCGTGTGCAAAGTGAATGATTATATTAGGCCCCATAGTTTCTAATAGTCTCTGACACACGCCAGCTAAAAGGGCTTTGTACAGTTCCTAAGTATATTCTATATCCTTTGATTTTTCAGGACTTTCATTTTGGGTTGCAGGGAGGGCAAATCTATTCTCCAGAGTAAGATTCTGCTCTGAACACTTATTCGAATACTAGGCAAAACCAAGTAATTGCAGGAAGCTTCAATTTTCTAATATTTTTAAAAAGAGAATTAAATCTAAATGCTCTGTTGTGTATTTTAGATATATTATATATATTTTTTTGATTTGTCTTGTCCTGTTCTTGCAGTCCATAAACTTGCCAGCAGGTTTTCAGAAATTTCTGATAACTCAGTGCATGAAACTGAAACAGGAAATTGCTTCAATGTACTGTCATTCGTTCTTTCAATATGAAATGACAACCTTTTCACTTCACTTTTTTAAAAAAGATGGATTAGAAAGTGCTGGTGTAAGCATGCCACTGGATATGTTAAATATTCTATGTTCCAGACTTCACTTTCCTTCCTAGCATTTAAGTATCATCTCCAGATCAAAGGTCATTGCTTGCTCTCCTCTCTCCAGATTGGGTTGCTGTTGCCAATGATCTTCTTAGCAAGTGCCACATTAGCCTAGAGGTGACCAGGCTGTCTGATTGTGATGCCAGTGCGTTTGTTGCTCTTTATGAAGCTATTCTTGGTGAAAGGGTCCCAGGTAAGCAAGTGAGTGACTATGAAGAAAATCCACCTTAATTAGGCATTTCAGATGTTTACCACACTTTGCGTGTTAATTAGAAGTTGCATGTAAAGTTTTGTATCTATTACAGATTACATAGCGGCTCCCAAGAGTCAGGAAGATGATGCCCACAATGTGCAGGCGGTGATAGATTCATTGGCATTGGATTATTTGCAAATCAGTTTACCGCATATAACAGGTCAGTAACAAACAATGCAACCATCTCTTTACAGCTATTAACAGGAAATATTTGACCTTATTGTTTCAGAACTAAATTTATGGTAACTCTCATCTGTAATAATCCTTGCATGTGAGCACCTTATCACATTGTCAAAGTCTCAAAGTGCTTCATTGGATTTGATTTACTACATAGATTAATGGTGGAGTCTTGTATTTTGATTTTCCTCCTCTTTCCTCACCCACATCAGGAGAGAACATTGTACGAGGTGATAAAGAAAGCATTCAGAATCTGTTGGAAATCTTTGATGGTTTGTTAGAATATCTCACCGAGCAAATCAGTGAGGCCTCCTCCCAGCCTGGCAATGGTAAGTAATTGTTGTTTATGAAACGGTTTATATAATTTAGGTTGAACGCCTTTCATGGCAAGATTTGATCACAATGACCTAGAGATTACTTACAATTTTTATATAAAAATAGTGCGTGTGTAACAGAGGCCTGGAGTGGTGATGGAACTAGACCCCCCCCAGAAAGTTAACATTCCAAAATAAATGAGTTCTTTGTTACAGCTGAAAACCAAAGAAACATGTTTTTGAACTATAAACAGAAAAGGCTCAGCTGCTCAGCTGATAAACATCTGAAAGATGAATCACACCCTGAGCATTAACATTTGATTGGAAAATTTGAACTTCACATCAGAATAACTGTCCCCTGTGAGCCGAGGCAACCTAAGTGCTTATGCACTTGCCATTCACTACCCTCAGATTTGCTTTTCCTTCAAGATCAGGTTTTGACCAGTTCAGTTTGAATGTAAGTCAAGTGTAAACCTCATCACTTCCAGATATCTTCATAATTTCCTCCTATGTGTCCAGAATATGACCTATAACATTTCTTTGTGGAGCATACAATCTTTCTAAAACATGTTATCCCATATCTACCACATAGAGCAATAAGATGTGCAAGGTATAACGCTTTTATTTCCAACTGTTTACCAAAATAAGTCAAAATAATTACGATCACTGAAGGTTTTCTCTAATCCACACACTGCGTTTGTGAACAGTGGATGAGGACTTTCTATCCAAAGAAGGACTATCTATCATTCGAGGAGTTCTTCAGAAGGAGCTCAGAGACCAACATGACGAGAGGGTGCCTGAAGCAAGAGAATCCTCATCAAATGAGTTGAGTGTATTTTCTGGATTTATTGAGTGCAACTACATGTGCAACTAGGAAATGCCAAGTGGGAATAGATTTGGTTGGGTACTACCCTTCTCCCCAAATAAATACAATTACAGATTCATTTTGAAATCTGCATGAAAATGTATAACTGGATCAGAATATTGGTCATTGTCCTACTGATATTGAAAGCTGTTTTTGCAATTCCAGGACTTGTACCTCTCTAAGCTCCAACAAGGATAGGGGTGGATCTGAATCCACTGGGGAGCTAATCCGCCTTGGAGAATCTGCGTGTACATTTAGCCGCAGAAAAGACATAGGTAATTGCTTCTAAATGGTTTGGGGGTTTGTTTAAAAAGGATTGGGTTTTTCCATAATGTAGTTAATATAGATTTTAATCTGTTTAAATGTTTCCTGTATATTTTTAGATGTTTCTGTATGTACCCATAATGGAGCTGTGCAAACTGATGGTGAGCTGGATGTCACGTGGACCCAGAGGAGGAATGATGACATTTGCTCTTTGCCCCTTTGTAATGATACTGTATCAGGCTCAAGGCTAGAAGACATGCAAATTCAAGGAAGTGAGTGTGTGTGTTTGTTGAGGTGGGAAATGTACCTTTACCCAAAAGACTCCTTTACCCAATGTTACACTAGAATGTTATCAATTTAGTAGAAGCAGTAATAGTTTCTTTTTAACAGTAATGAACTTGTATTTTGATAGAGCCCGTCTAAAGGGACTGTGCTTGTGTAAGCAAATGTAGCTGCCATTTTACATTCAAAATAATTATGTGAAAACTTTATTTTCTTCTGTTTGAAATTGAGTAGCTAAAGGGTTTTTAGTGTTCTTTGGGTGCGATGACTTCAATGCCATGGCACTGGTATTTCTATCAGATGAAATCAGAAATAGCTCTTGCTTATATCTAGGGCAGTGATTAAATGTGATTATTGTAAGCCATGCCCTTAGAAACAGCTGATCTAACGATCTTGCATGGCTGTAAGACCGCTCCACATATGGCTCATTCAACATCACAAAAATAGACTTAATAAAATGTTGTGTTTTTAGGATCTGCCACCTTCGTAACTCCCAGAAATCTTTCCACGAGACCCAATGCCCTGCAGCTCGGGGAACCCATTCGCTCTGCTATTCCCTTGCAGTCACCTTACCGCCTGGCAGAACACAGGACTGCAGCCGAAGCCCCAACTTTGCCTGAGCCTCGTCAACAAAGAGAAAGTCCAACTTCAATGGTCAGTCATTCGAACCAGCCTAGCTCCCATCGAGGAAGTCCACGTCTGGCAGGAAGGCAGAATGCGGACACATCCACTGTCTGCAATGTGAGTAGAATAAAATAAACTTTATCCTTACAATTACTTCAAATCTTTTTGAAGCCAGTTTTCACACTTATTTTCCAAAATGCAGATTACTTTTCATAAGTGGAAAGAAAACTATTTAAGTGAACAGTTTTCAAAAATTAGTTCAGTACACATGAGACGTTAAAGCTTCATGATTTCTTTTCTCTTACGGTTTGCTTTCTTAAAGGAGATTGTTTAGAGGGTTTATAAGCTATTTAACAAATTGTTTCACTAATGATTTAAATTCTATTCTCTCAAGTTTCTAGAGCGGTCTGCCAATGTTCCTGCTAATGGGATTCCTTCAAGATTGTCCCCAGGTAAGAATTCTTTATCTGCCCTATTGTAGGTACAAGATGTGTAACTCCTCTGCAAAATGGGATCCTCATCCCTATTATTTTACATTAAATTTACAACAAACTACATTGTAAATGTTGTCTTATTACTGGTGACCAAGTTCAGGGACTGTAACTGTTCCTATATGTGAGAGAAGCTGAGATTTTGTGCTGTATGTCTCTATACCTTGTTTCAGTGTGTGTATCTTTGGCAGATTTGATGCAAGAAGGATCACAGCAGGACTATGAATCCGCAGTACATGAGATTGAGCGTCAGCAAGTCATACGGAGTCCCACCAGGAATGCCACAGTATGTGTTGTTCCCGTTGCTTTTCAGGTTAATAGTGTATGATTAGCAAAGAGACTTTTTAATCTTTCAAAATCAACATGGCCTTTTTCTTTTGTGCAGAAGCGAGTTGCATTTCAAATTGAGCCAGACATCAAGTTCATGACTGCCCAGAGTAATGCTGAGCGGTGTGACGCTGAGGAAGGCAGATCGATTGATCAGTACAAGGTGTCTAGAACGCTGGGCTCAGAGAGGAGTTTCCGGAGTGATCCTGAAACCTCATTACTGTAGGTTTATCTCTTTGCATATTCACAGATTATGACAGAATATTGTCAAAATTGGCATTAAAACAAGGTAGAATAAGCTTAAATCACTATTATTTTCACCTTTGAGATCTGGGTTCAATCCAACCAAGATTCATGAGAGAAGATCTTTCTGTTTTTAGTGGAATTGAGTTTGTTTGTCTGTTCTCAGTTCCTACAAAAGTGTTTCAATTTGTGGCAAAGTGGTGCTAAATTGTCCCTTGGAGATTGATGACTTGTAATGCTTGATATGTGGGATGGAAATACTTTATTTGTATTCGGGGGTGGGGTGGTCATTGAGTATATTTGGGGTGGGAGCAGGGTGTGGGGGAACTTGGTTCTGTGCCAGCCTGACTGTCTCATACGGCATCATTGTGACCATTTTAGAAAAGCAGACTTGCTTTTTAATGTGAATAATGTCCCCAACAGAAAAAGGATGTGACCAACATCTCTTTTATTGTAGTGATCATAATCATCACATCGATGCATTTGAAAACACCCCACTGAGTCACAGAAGAGCAAAGAATCTTTTGGCCGAGCAGGAACTGCACGAGTTCTCCGAAAAACTTTCTCGAAGGCTGAATCAGCTAGATTTGGTGAGAAATGGTCCCATGTGAATCTGATATTCAAATGTTTGAGACAATTGTGGTTCTATCATAGGAGGGAACAGGTTACCTATGTTGGTAATCCCCAAATCCCTTCCTTCACCTACTCATTCTTTCCCTATAATTGAACCTCCTTTATCTGTTACCTCTAAGATTGACCACTAGGTAGCAGTGAAAGCTTCAATCGCAGCAGGCGTGTGGAAACTAGTCTCCCCCTCCCCCCCCATTATTTCTCTTCCCACAGAAGCCAGTTGTGGCCATTACTCCTGGCTGTGATGACATCCTCACTACAGAAAATCCAAAATTTAAATGTACCAGAGCTTAAAGTAACCTCACTATGACACTGCAGTATCCAGAAGGATTACATGGGCGTGTGGGTTTGCTACAGGGGAGTGGCTGCCTTCAGAGCACTGTACCTATTGATTGACTTGCTGTTGGCAGATACTGAAACAAGCTCTGGGTGAAAAATATGAAGCATCTAATTTAAAGGATGAAGATAAACTGTCTCAACACAGTGACAGCATTACAGAGTATCGAAGAGTCCAGCGCCTGCCAGGTAATGGAGCCCATTAATAAAATCTTAAGCCTGTTACAGTTGTTTGCTTTACTCTTGCCTCACCTGAATATTTAGTTGGCTACTGTTCATCAGACTCAACCAAGCAGATGTGTTTTATGTTTGACTGCCAGATAGAGAATCAACCAGAGGGGGCCAGGGTGGGTGGGGAGGGAAGCGCACCCAAACCTGTTCCTGCTGGGATGTGGCTATTTAACGAGCTAATGATCAAGAGGGCTGATTATAACAGACATTTCTTGGTTGCAGCCTTTGCAGCTCACTCTATACCAGCTGCTGTTCCTTATTCTATCCGGATTACATGACTGGTGATAACTAAAGTTCAGTGCAAATAATGTGACGTTTTAGTTGACATGCAGGCCATTGGCATGTCTTAAAGTGTGACAGAGAACAGAAACAGCTGCTGTATATCATTTTTTCCTGACTTGGTAAGGACCAGACTGAGCTGTGATTTCCCATCCCCCACGTTCCTGGCCGCTGTATGGCCTCCTGAAACTTACTGTCTAGTTTCCCCCATGAGGATGACTAGTGTTTGGGGAAGCACTGGTATTTTTGTGCCCATGAAATGAGTATTTGTTCTGGAGAATAAAATTGGAGAGGAAGTGAAATGGTTTTCTGATAGCCTTTTTTTAAATTAAAAGTTACTCCACATCTGAAGAAGCCATCGCGTGCTCGCTCGCTCTCGCCATCGCCACCTCGGTCCTCAGTTCGGGCCGAGTGTGAAGATGCTGTGAATGGAGAAACCAGTGGGGGACAACTGAGGAGAATCCATAAGGATCTCCAGCAGGAACTTGATCTTCAAAAGATGAAAGTGAAGGTAAACGATTGAATTGTGATCAAAGTACAAAGTTTTCTGTTATTTCATTAGGAAAATTGTAGGTGCATCGGAGCTGTGTGTGTGGCTGAAATGTAATTTAAAACCCTGGTGTTTGTGCAGATGGTTAGCCAATTGTACATGGAGGAGCTGGAGGATTACAAAACCAAAGAGAGATCTCAACTCAGTGAAGAAAAAGAAAAAGCTAAGAAAACGGTATGTCCCACCTGTCACTATCAGAACTGCTCCTTTTTCAGGGATCTTTAAGTACATCTGATCATTTGCACACATTGCAGCCGAGCTGACCAGTGTTGAGTATCTCATAACTATTCTATTCTTGTTCCTCCTTTAAGGCCTGACCTGTCCGAAGCTCGGGTGCAGACCCCATTGTCAAGTAACTTGGGACATCCTCCTGACATGAAAGGCTCTATACTAATCCAATTTGTTGTTGTGAAAGATGCTATTTAAATCTATTACTTGTTGTTCTGAAGGAACGAGAATATAAAGAAAATATCTTCAAAGAAGCTTTGAGAACGCCACACGCTAGAAGAGTTTATTGTGCAAAAGGCATGCCACGAAAACCAAAGCACAACCAATGGTCACCAGGAGGCGCGGTGACGCCGCGGAAAGCAACACCAAGTAAGGTTCCCAAAGCTGAAGATTTTTGTGAATTTTACAGAAATATGTGACTTTTGGAGTTCCTGGAAGTAACCAGAAATAGTTTGAGTATAAATGCAGTTGAATTTTCTAAAGTTAGCAATCAAAATCCATTGTGTTTCAGAAATAAGGGGGTATTTTCTAATCCATTTTTAGTTTAAAATGCATGCAGTTATTTCCCTCTTTACTCTCTCTGCTGATGATTCTGAGGCTAGTGATGGGGTGCTGTCTAATTTGGAGAATTGCTTTTGTGATCTTACTGGTCTAGAAGACTCCATCGCAGCGAGTACTGCTGCAGGGGAGAGAAAGAATCGTCAGGTATTCTTAATGCAGTAGTTTAACTTGAAATATGATTTCTGCTTCAAAAAGAACCACTAGTTTTATTTTGATTGTACGTGTGCATGTGTGTGTGCTCACAGCAGCTGTCAGTAACTGGTATCATTGAGGTTTTATTGAGGAATAAAATTCTCTGAATCATTTATTGGCTTTCAAAGGAGTTGAGGAAGGCTCTTAAATGGGAGGAATTGATCTTTGAATTGTGGCCTTTTTACTGTCTGTAAAATGTCAGTCAGTTGTATTGTGCATGGATTGTTGCTGCCATCCAGTTATGTTAGCTCATTTCAGAGAACTAGTCTCCCTATCTGATATTTGGTATGTCTTCAAATTACAGCAGTTTGTTTTGTGTTGAGTCCAAAGCTTGAACCTTGTGGAGTAACTCATGTGGGCTTTTACACTGTTTTTATTTGCAGTGAAGATCAAAGACAATGACCTGCTACCTCTCCTACTGGATGAGTTCCCCTATCTGCAGATCTCCCCCCATACCATGAATAGGATGTGGAAACAGCAGTTCAGACAGATCGAACAGTTAACCAGGTCAACGGGTGAACAGAACCGCACACAAACCAAGCTGCAGTCGGAAGTAAGTAGCTCTGAGGCTCAGGCTGGATTGGAGTTTCTGCATTTCCTTTCTCCACACCCTGGGTCCCAGTAGCACTGTGTTAATCTCAGTCTGTCCCCAAATCCTTTAACACGCACTTACGTGGCTTTCAATATCAATTGCCAGGAAAATAGCTGAGTTCAAAGAATATATTCATATTAGGCACCTGTATGACCAGGACCTAACGAAGCTAGATTTATTAACTATATATTTCCTCTCTAGATTGAAGATGCTCAGAGAAAACATGACCTCTTGGTTCAGATAATTAAAAAGGAACGGGAGCACAATCAGCGACTGGTAAGATTCGAATTCAAGATCCTCATCCTCACCTACAAGGCCATTCACGGCCTTGCTCCCTCCTACCTCTCTGACCTACTATCCCCTACCTTCCTGCCCGTACCCTCCCCTCCGTTCCTCTGGCTCCGGTCTGCTCCACATCGGTGGCCGGGCCTTCAGCCTCTCAGCCCCTAGGCACTGGAACTCTATCCCCCAGTGCCTTCGCCGCTTCCTCCCTTTCCTCCTTCAAGGCCGGTCTCAAGACCTTTCTCTTTGACCGTACCTTCAGCTCCCCTCTCGACTCTCTACCCCCTCCTCGCTCCCTCCCTTCCCTCACCCTGACCATCTCTCCCCTGCTCGGGTCCTGACCCAACTGTACAGCGCCTTGGGACGTCCTCCCGACATGAAAGGCGCTCTATAAGTGGAATCTTGTTGTTGTTGATTCCACTGGAATAAAATCTCTTTGGTTTCTTTTACTTGGTTCTGATTTATGGTGTTTCTTAATGGGATTGTTTTCCAATAACTGCAAGTGCATCACACTACCCCACAGGGAGCCTCATGCACTCCCTCTGACAAAATCCGAGTGGGGTCGTTGCATTTCGACTGGAATTCTAATGGGATTTCTTGTTAAATTACATTAATACTGTGAATTGGGAACCCCATTGCCTGGATCATTTCTGCACATTCACACAAGTATCTTCAGATAACTTATTGACTTATTGGATACTATTGTCCTGCTTTGCTGCAGAAAGACTTCAAAGAACGCGTCCAGCAACAGAAATTTGCACAGAACAAGGTGAAGGAGCAAAGGCAGCAAGTGGCTCGTGCGAAGAAATATTACAGTGATTACCACGTGCAGCTTCGGGCTAAAATGATGCGAGCGAAAACTCGAGAAGAGCGGGTAAGGATGGGGTTGATCAATGTCCACCACCACACTGCAACTATAACTTTCAATTGTACTGATGGCCAACTGGTCATCAAACTGATTAAATATTTTATGACTAGTGTAATCACTTCAGGTAATTGCAATTCTAAGCATCACTGAAGAATTGACTCTTGAAATATGAATGCAAACGTTTGTTTGAGCAACCAGTCTTAACTGTAAGGCTCACTTTTCTTTAACCTGCAGGTTTTCAAAAATCTGTTTGAGGAAGGACTAGAGCTGCAGAAGCACAGATTGCATGAACTAAAGATGTACGCTAAAGAGAAACGCGAGGAACAGAAAAAACGGCAACGGGAAGAACTGGAATCTATGGAGAACTACTATAAAGATCAGGTAATAAAAATCAGTTGGAGACCTTGTAATTGTGACGCTTGGCTCATTGGCATAGAGCTGCAAACAGTTTCTTGTATTTCAAATGCCATTGGAACAGTGTTGAACTGTGCAGTTTGTATGCAGAAAGGATTTCCGTAGCACGTGTGGGCAATCTGAATATGACACAGGCTCTCAAGCTTGTGCTGCTTAGGGTGTTTGTAGGAGACAGCAGCCGGCCATAGCTGCCCTTTGCTTCCTACCCAAAGAACTTGTTTTTCTAAGGTGACCTCATTCACCAAAGGGCCAATCTGAAGCATTTCTCCGCATGTGTTTAGCTAAGACTCGGGTTCAACAACCGTCTCCTAATCCTACATCCATTCCTGCCTTATACTGGGTTATAACACAAAAGGGAAGAAATATCTTAATTACAAATGGTACATGTACCCTCATTGGTGTGACTTTAAAATCAGTAAAATTTGGTATTCGTCAGGTTTAATGAAACCACAGCCACTTTTCAGCGTGCAAGATTGACCGACTCCTGCAATCAAACCAGCGACTATGATCGTGACCTGAGAAAATATTTTAAATTCGGTGCAGTTCTAAAAGTCTAAATGCATCTGTTTTGTTTTAAATCTTAGTTTTTGATGCTGGCTGAAACGGTAGCTCAGGAGCGACACAAAGTCCAAATCAGGGAGACTGCACAAACTAAGGTAATATTCAGCTTTCTTGCCTTCTGTGTACATGCTGTCAACTGTGTACATTTAACAAACTGTTATGCAGCTCCTTTCACCTCAGTAGGACACCCCTGTATATACTAATGGTGTCCAATTTACCCAATGACTATGTTAGTTACCTACGTGAGGTGACCTTCTTTCAAATTCCCTTCAATAATCTGCATTTCCTTTTCCATAGAGGAAAATTAAAATAATGTGTTTGTAATACCACAAAGGAAATACAATAGGATATTCTGACTGACTTTCATATTTTAAACAAATTGTTTCTCAGCCACTGGATGTGGCTTAGTAACCTTATTGAATGATCCAGGTTTTATTTGTACAAACTCGGAATGAAAGCTTGACTTAATTGTATTTGGAATTTACGACTACAATCTTATTTTAAGTGAAGTATTGGCTCAGTAATCTCCACCATTATTTCAAACAATGTCTCAAATGTGAATTACCTGGCTTTAAACTTACGCTCTTGTGATGTTTTCAGGCACTCCAGAAGATGAAGAAAGAACTGCGTGTAAAGATGGAGAAAGAGATCCGCGAGCTTCAGGCAATGATAACACAGGATGATGATGATGCATACTTCAGAGAACTGGAGGCTGAGAGACAGCAGCGACGAGTACAGATGGCTTCATTCCAGTTCAGCAAAACTCAGTCTTTTTAAACATTTGACCAAACAGTGCTTTGGTTAAGCAGAGTTGGAAACGGCTGGTGTTAGCTTTTTATTTAAATGCCTTAAATAACTCTGTTAAATAACCTTTCAAAAACCACACAGTGAAGGAGCAGACCTGCAATGGGAAGTGAAGCATATTCGTGTAAGCCATTAATGCAGGGTGTAAATTTATTGCTTGGCATTGGTTCAATATTTTCTTCAACCTAAGACATTCAAAAATAATCAAACTACAGCTGCTATATTGTCCTTTTCATTCATCAAACTGAATGTGTCCACTGAGCTCGTTTAAACCTCTATTTTAAGGTTTATATAAATACAAAATGTGACCAGAGGTTATGACACTACAATCCTTGCAGCGTTGGTTTGGTAACAGGGAACATGCAACTTCTGCAACGAATCCTAAATGTCTTTATTCCATGTTTTTTTTTAAAAAAACACTTCCAATATAGCTTCCTATTTGCAAGCACAATGTGACTGTTTTAATGTCAGAAGTTGATTTTAGAGCCTAATACAATGCAGTTCATTTTTTAATCCTTAAGTGGATATTGTATATACAAATTAATGATTTTGTTTGGTATCAAGTTGTAATAATTTAACCATGATGTGGGTTCCTAAAATGATCATGTTTTTTAAAAAACTAATTTAACTTATTAAATTTGTTTTGAAACATATACACCCATTTGTTGACAAAACAAGACTTCCTTTATCAAGCTGCACTGCAAAAGGAAAAATATATAGGTGCCATTTGCCAAGACTTCCAGGCTAAGATTTAGAAGGGGAAAATAAATCAAAATAATCTTCGTACAGATTAAAATCTAGCTAATGATACAGATCAGATTTTTTGGGGAGTGGTAATCCTACATTAGTGAGAGAATTTCCCCCCACCCCATACAACAATTTACTGCACAAATGGAGAACTGAGTGAAGGTTTTAACGCTCACCACATTGAAAGGCATCATTCTCATCAGTTCTATGAGATGGTCTAGTCTTGCGAGACAAACTATTACCGAACATCAGGCCGATTTACTAACGAGACAAAATTAAGCACCAGAGACTGAAAAGAAAAAGCAACTCATGTAAACAACCTGAAACTATTGAGCAGTTAAGAGAAGGCAGACATTGGCTGAATTGTTTATGCTGTGAGGGTGCAAACAGCATACACTTTATTGCTGATTCTGTATGGGTACATACATAAGTTTGTTTCCATACAGGTTTTTTTATTTTTTTATTAAAGCTCATGTAACAGCGGGGAGGTGAAATACAATGTGTTAACGCTAAAACACTCTGTAATAAATACAAATAAAATGGGGAAGGGGAAGAGAACTCTAAAAACAAAATAAAATATAGGGTTTTTAGAACTGGGAAGAAAAGCCAAGGGTTAATTGTAAACTAATTACATCTATATAAAAAAAAGATTTTGACAACCGGTAGACAATATTCTATTGACCAAAAAGTGTTATATACAGTGAACTGCGCCTGTCAGCTATAACATTCTGTTTTTTACAGCCTATTTCAAGTCTGTGAAGCAATGGGAGCAAGCTGGAAGCTATCAGCCCTATGATGAGGCATGCTTGTTGTTACAAGAGCAACACGTCAACGAATGCAGCCATTTTAAATGCACCATTGATAAAACGCAGGCATAGTGTTATGGATGGTTTAACAGACCACGTGTGCATTGGACATTTATTAGGACAATGTATTTTTTTTAAAAAAAACTGTCCCATTAAGAACTCTGTTCTGATAATGAGATGTTACAGCTGTCAACTTTTTTGAGGAGAGGGTTAACAGACCAAACAGAACTTAAAATCCTAAAGTGTGCAAAAAGCGGTTAAAAAAAATAAGTCAAGATACAATTAACTTAAAAATTGTAATAATCACAGTATTAGCCCCAGGTTTCACACCTTACCCAAGACTGTACAAAGCACCATTGCAGGACATTTTCCCATTGGATGATGCTCTTGCAATTGACAGGCAGCAGTGCAGGGCCAAAAACACAACTAAGATTGCTTCTCAACAGGTGCTCTCCGGTCAGAAATACTAACATCTGACAAGAATGTCAACAGGTTATAAATATATTAAAACTCATGTGGATGTAAAAGATCTGCAGAGTATTTCCTATCATTAAACTTACAAGAAAACGTACAATGAGCTCAAACAAAAACAACCTGGGGCCTTGTGCTGCTTCAATTATCAATAAGTCATAATTCATCTATGGATAGAAAAACATAGCTCAGGGCCACTCTTCAAGTTTTACATTTTATATTTTAAAAAAAAAAGGTGGTTAGTGGCTATACAACGATTGTCTCAGCCTGGCCGAACTAAACAGAGGTGAATGTGTGTGTCTGATTGAATGCTGGGAATTCATGGCAGGAGAAACTGCTATTCGCACTGTTGCCACTTTTAATGTACAATAAAGGGAGTACTTATTCCTCGATGCCAAAGTAAAAGGGAGAAACTGAGACCGCCCAGGTAGTTGCTTGGCTAGTAAAACACAGTTCATATAAAGGTTTCTCAGTCTAGGTGGGAGGAGAGAAAAGTGGTTATGGCTGACTTGGCTGAATTAAAGTGGAATGTCTCTCCTGTGATCTTTTAAAAAAAAGAACAAAGGCTGGACTGCCAGACATATTCAAGTAAGGAACACACCAGGAAGAACATTTACAAAATAAAACAATTCAGCCAATTTTCCATTTTAGAATCTTGTGGAATATTTTACAAGAACTTTTATTAACGACTGTACATCGACAGTTCTATGCTTCAAATCCAAATGAATAACCAGTAAGGAAAAGGTGCTAGTGTGATACAGTCACGTCAGCCCAACAATAGCGTGTTCTACCGATTGCTTCAGTCTAGGTCATGATGCATGGGATATTAATTATTAGCGTAGAGTAGATGGGATTAAGAAAGATACTATAGTACTTGCAGTAGTAGTCTTTTTTTAAAAAGAAAGTCAGAAATCTATCGAGAACACTGCTAACTGGTCAATCATAAGAAGCCAGCAGTCTGTCATTTCCAGATATTAGTTTAGCAGCTGAATCGCAGTCTCTTGGCAAAGGACAGGCGACCATTTCCTCAAAGTTCCCTAATCATCCGATTCCTCTCACTGTCCTCTTTAAGTAAGGGAAAGACATCCTATATATTCCAAGCACTGCTGGAACCTTGGCTGAAGAGAGCCCTCACTGGCAGGCACGTACAGAAGTCGCATGATTCCACAAACCAGTCACTCCACAGCAAATCCACAAGTCTCTTCAATGGCTGTTAGCAGCTTCTCATAGAGTTTTTCATAAGTCTCATATGGAGGAATGTCAATTCGATTAAAACTGGGTATAAAAGGAAGAGAGGCATTTTACTGCTAGTTACTTTACAAGCTATTAATCACACCACAGCTGCTAATCCTCAACTGCCTTACACAATTGTGCATAATGCTGTTTTCCAGAACTCCTTCAGTACACTGCCTATTAATAATAATCCTTGCATTTGATATTGAGTGTAACATCCATTTAGCTCTCCATTACCTCTGCTGGTCAGATCAACTCCAGTATCTTTTTACTCCAGGGTAATAATGTTGGTGTCTTGTTCACGACAGAGAACAAGTGGAAACTACTTACTTAATGATAGAAAATTATTCATGACAGGTTAAGGGTGTCTGTAGTTCTGCTGATGAATTTCTGCAGATTCCAGTACACATTAGTGAGATAGGTTAGGAATGGGAGTAGATCATTCAAACCTTTCCTCCATAATAGAGCAGATCGATTTCAAGATCCTAACTCTCAGTTTCAAAGCACTTCACGCCCTGGCACCCCCCCCCACCTCTCCGATCTGCTCACACCCCATTACTCTCCAATCTCTGCTCAGCAAGTTCGGGTCTTTTGCATTTCTCACCCCCCTCCGCCGTTGGCAGCTGTGTTTTCAGCCACTATTTATTTAACAGCAATTTTAACACTTTCCCGTTTTCTTAAATGTTAAAAATAACTTTCAGACAATCGTGTGTAATGCTAAAACATCAAGTGGAAAAATAAATAAAAATCAACGTACCAGGTGTGTGCTTTGGGCAGGTTGTTGGTGCTCGCGTCAATCTGGTGGATAGTGAAGAGCCTCGGGCCGGCCGCACCTATAGAGCAACGGATGTCACAAAGATTAATACACTTAACACTGAGCAACAACCATCATAAAAGATAAAATGATCTTGCCCCCTCCTACCTCTCTGACCTGCTGACTCCCTACCAAACTGCCCACTCCCTCCGTTCAGCGGGCTCCGGCCTGCTCCAAGTCTCCCGCCCGACCCATCCAACCACCGGTGACCTGGCTTTCAGCCTCTCTTACCCCACTCTGGAACTGCATCCCACGGTCCTTTCACCTCGCTTCCTCCCTTGCTTCCTTCAAGGCCGGTCTCACACCTGACTGTTCAGCGCTTTAGGAAGTCCTCCCGACGTGAAAGGCGCTCTAAAAATTTCATTTTGTTGTTGTTGCTAGTTTTGCAATTTTTTAAATTACACTTTTGCTTCAGTATAATCTAACTGATCTTGAGTGAGAAGTTTCTATCCCCTCACACGCACAAAGAGATACTCTATTCGGGTTCCATTCTCTTGCGTGGTACTGCACGGTGCCATCTATAGACGTACTCACCTTGCAATGCTTTAAAGCCCTGCAGAGGCACGCGAGAGGATCCAGTCACAAACTGAAGCAATCGAGCTCGCCTTTCCTCGTCGAAAGACTCCACTGCCTTCCAGAACCACTTAACAATATTACTGTCTGCTGTACAGTGTTTTAACCTAGTGTTTGCTTTCCAGTCACTGATATCAATCTTCCCAAGGCCGCAGATAATTAGCTGGTAAATATCAATAAAAATCAAGTCAACAGATTGAATAATAATTATCCTCACAAGTTATTATAGGCCCCCCGAGTCTGCTCCGCCATTTTATTATATCATGGCAGCTCTACATTTGTAATTGGTGAACCTGACGTTAATGCTGTGAATGTTACACTTCATACAGATGTTTTTCACTGTAATAAACAGATAAATAACCGTCATAAAAAACACTCCTCACCTCCAACTCCTTCTCATCGAATGTCTTCAGCAAGTGCTGTGGAATCACCTCATTGAATCCTTTCTGTAGAGCCAGAAACTGGGCCTCAATACCTCGCAGAAACCGCCAGTTCACGTAGAGCCTGCAATAGTGTTTGTGGGTGAGTGACACTAAAATGTAATTGTTGGGTAATCTCAGTGGGGCAAGGATAGCCGGTGACTCAACGAAAGAAACACAATAGACAGGGATTCAGACATGATCAGAAAACAAAGCTCTTTCCTGGAGTGTTTTTTTAAAAAAAAACAGCTCAGCCATAGAGGAGATGAAATAATTAAATAGAGATCACAGGAGACAGCAAGTCCAAGACAAAGGAAGCAGTACAGAATGGAAGCTAAGAGATAGCAGCTGCTGGCTGCACTCAGAGCTTTGAATGACGTAAATATGAAGAAACCAATTTACATCAAAGTTATGGAGGAGATCAAACAGTCACCCTATCAACGCAGTCGGAGTCTCTTACCGGACATATTCTTTCTTGGTCTCCTCTGTTACAGGGATACTTTTCCCATTTGGTTTCAGTTCATGTTGGATGATTTCTCCATAGGCATTGTGCTCTACACAGAAAGTGTGGTCTAAGACTCCTGTAATATCATTTTCACTGCAGGGAAAGATGAGCAGCATTAACAATCCCATTCCTCAGCAATTTTCTCCCAAAGAATATCTGCAGTTTTAAATCGTGTTCATCAATTGATAGAAAACTGCATTTTAAGATTTAAATTCTATTGAATCAATTACAACAAAGAACTATGGAGTCACTTCGAAATGTAGAGAGTTCTGTAGACAAATGTGGCAGCTATTCTGCACCAGCAAGATAATGTTTACTGATGGTGAGGAACTGCACTTTAATGTAGTCCATGGGACCAAATTAAGGAATGTGCCAAGCCTCTCTAGTCACATCTGTTAAAAGGAGATTGCATCCTGGAACAGATTGCTGCAGTTTCCTGAGATGCATTTCAAACATTCAGTCTTTTCTCTCCACTTGAATTGTAGTCAGAAGTAAAACTGCAACGTCTAAAGCAACAACAAACACTGAAACCTTTCTCCATGAGAACAACCTAAGAGGATAGTGGTGCTGAAACAGCAGCTACGTACAGGATCCAGACTAAGCTGTTGTGCAGATCTGGGTCAACAGACTCCATGTCGTCCAGTGTGATCGACTTTCCCAGCAGCTGCTTGTAGAAGGGCAACGTGAAGCCGCCATCAATGTAGTGACCGTGAAATACAGCCATACCCATTATCCGACCAACAAAATGGAAATAAGACAAGTGCTCCTGTGTGAAGAGAAACAAAAAGTCCAGATAAGTCCTCAGTGATCCAACACATTCTACAACAACTTGCATTTATACAGAGCCAGGCGGCTCAACCCCGCACCCTCTCTCGTCTGTCAGTGTGACGGTCTGTGCCACAGGAACTGCTCTCTCATCGGAAGTTACCGTTCACTGACATGTCCTCCCTTCTCCTCACTTCTCCAGCGAGCTCTAGGATGGCGCATATAATAATGAACCAAGTGCCCGTCCCTTGTTGTAGCATTAATGACTTGATCTACCGTCAACTGCTTGTCGCACCACAAAATCTAACGGACCTGCTCCATTCATCTCTCGCGTTTCACTGAGGGTTAAGATTTAATGTACAATCTCATCCAGCAGCAGTTGGCCATTCCAAACAGGCTAAAGTGCTTCAAAGCAAACCAACACATCATTCAGCACAGAGCTGCTGGGTTGATCATTAATCCAACTTGTTTTGCTTGCACTCTCTCAGGTGAATATCATCAGCGGTTTTGATGGCAATTAGGGACACGGCTTTAAAGGCCTTGCACCTGGCCCACTGCTCATCCTCCCCCATCACTATGAAATAAGCAATCGTCACCACAAGTAATACATTCTAGAGACGCCATTAATTAAGACTGGTTTCCTTACAGGATTGACCGCAGAGTCTGGGTTGATCTGCAGTGTGTAGATATCGTCCCTGGAGTACTGGAACAGGCCATAGTAAGGGTTCAGCATTTCGTGAGATAAGAGGTAGAGCCATTCCCTGAAGGGTGAAAAAGGATAAACATTTTAGCATAGCAAAAAAATGGTTACAAACTAAAACCTGAAAAAAAACTTTAAACTGTACAAATCACAGATTTCAAACTCAGAAATATCAGTTTAAATCGAAGAACTGGGAAACTGCGGCAGTGAATTTGTACAGCTCCCCCTCCCCTCAGAGGTGCTCGTAAATGAGAATGAGATAAAAGCTTCCAGAGTTAGGGAATGTGTAACAAACAGAATTCACACCGAGACGCGCGGTGTTTCAACCGCAGTTTATTTCGGCTGCCGGGATGACAAAGTGCTGCGGCTCAGGTCGCTCTCCAGCCCCCCACCACCCCCCCACCCGCCCCACCTTGTGATCTTGAAACGGCCACAGGGTGGCGCTCCTCAGACACTTTAAGGATGGACGAGTTTCGTCTGCAGTACCAGTATCGGTGCTCAACAAAAGAACGCAGCGCAGTGCAGCTCAGAGCCTCGGCTGACGCTCTAGGGTGGTTCAGGGGGAGCCCTGCATTGTTAGAGGTGCCGTCCTAACTTGTCGGTAACAGTGCTTCCAACTTACTGCCGGGCTTTCGCAATAAATTTCTGAGGACCTTCAACATTTCGTCCATCAAATCTCAAGCAACAAAGTTTTCAAGTCGATAAATAGGAAATCATTGATCACCTCCGGTGAGTGATATACCTATGGTCTCAGTGCACCATAAGCAGAGCAGTATTTACAGTATGCGCTCTGGGACGCCACCCTGTGTGAGAGTTGCTAGATATAAATGCAAGTTGTTGTCGTTGTGTGCCCCCAAAGGATATGTAAAGCATGAATCGTGAATTCACTTTTATAAACAAGGAGATTACAGAGCAAAAGGGGCAAAAAAGGGAAGGTGAAATAGAGACAGACGCAACAAATATTCTGAACAGTTCTCACCGAGCAACGCCTCCATAATCTAAACCTTCTTCACCGCGGAATTTTACCATTAACCTCTTCCACAAGTCTTTTGGTCTCATCTTCATTACTTGTCTGTACGACTCCTGGGAATAAAACAGTCGTCATTTAAAAGCACATCAAAAGCGGCAACGAATGGGGCGGGACTGGAAACGCTTCCAATCAAACGATAGTAGAACTCCATTTGACACTAACGTTATCTCGATGACCCAGAAGTCAGCCATATTTTTAGCAGGTAGGAACTCAGCCTGCTCTGGGACTACTTACATTTGAAACCTTTACCTATCCATTACCATGTTGAGAATATCGTCCCTAGTTCGTCTTTGATTTATGTGCACACGCAAATGAACAGAACACAGAGCTTCCTCCATGGCCTGGTGGATAAGCACCTGTTCGTGCTGCATTGAACCATCAAACCCCAGTTTGTGCTACGAGCTAATATCTGGGACAGTGACGAGAGAATGACCAAGGGAGCACTGAGCACCCAGAGGTTCCGAAGCACTATTTAACAACTCAGGTTGGAAACTTTGTGACGAGATTAGAAATTGTGTATTCTCTGAATTACCAGATGTACTAAATTCATCAAATTAAAATGACCCAGAACATAACAATCTCTAAATACAGTGGTTCAATAAGCAAGATGGATAATAAACGCTTTGTGCAGACGACAGCCATCTTAGACCAATCTCCGGATGTCTTACGATGTCAGTCAAGCAGCATGTGATGTCTGTTTTGGTGCTGTCTGAACCACCGAGATACATTATCTATATAGGTCACCAGCACAATCGGATTTACATGCTCTGCTGTGTTTGAAAGCTGACTGGCTACAAGCCTCTGCTTTTCAGTACTGATTTTTTTTTACAATTTGTCTAGCTGCAAATCTCCTGGTGTCTGGGGGCTTCTGGAAAAAGTTTGAGGCCACAAATCCACGTCACCCAAATCACATCAGCTGTTTGTCCTCATCAACCCTGCTCTGCACCCACACAAGCAGAGTGAAGTAGCACATCAAAAACCTGCTGTCTGTACCTCAAAGATCTCTTCCCTGGAAACCTCAATGCGACAATGGCCAGCCTGGGGTTGCTGCTGGGAGAGCTCTTGTCTCAGGATCTTCAGCTTCTGCACCAGATCCCGCTTGTACCTGGGCACCGTCAGGCATTCAGCTTCATCTGGCATTTGGCCCGGGGGCACTGGTGGCGGCTGCTGCTGCTGCTGCTCTTTCAGGTGATTCTGACGACTGGCGGGAGAAGAGGAGAGCAAAAAGCTATTATAATAGCCGAGCACTAACTATCCCAGCGCAGATTACAAACAATCCAGGGCATCCCACTCCCACTGGTTAGCCAAAACGCAGAACACCAATGCATTAAAGAGGAAACTTGATGCATACACAAGGGAGAAGGAGTATAAAACAATGGCCAAATAGCCCGTTTCTGTGCTGCGATAATTTTATGTATAATTTTACTTTTTTAATTCTATACAGAACATATCCTTCAGACAACTTCACGAGCAAGGCAGACAATAACATCCACTCAGTCCTATGTGAAGCTTTGGCACAGTTGCTGCAATCAGCACAATAATGAATCTCACATTCCAAAAATAAGAACATATTAATTAATATGCACCTCAGAGATTGAAGTGTGTATCATTTTGTGAGGGTCACTACAGTATACAAAGTCAGTGGATTGGATCAGCTACACTGATTAGTGGATTGGACAGATGCACTGATGAAATGAAAGCATTCCTTATTCAAGCACAAAGATTTGGGCAACAACAACAACAAAATTACATTTGAATAGCGCCTTTCACATCGGGAGGACAAATCTCACAGGCTTGAATGTGCCAATTGTGCTGCGGAACCCAGAGCATAAACTGTACGTTAAAATGATACCAGAACCACTATTACCCTGTGTAAACTTTGTAAAGTAACTGTTCGTATATAATATTACACTTCAAACCGGTTAATCGTGCTGCCTGACTTGCACAAATTTGATCGATTTCAAAAGCAACTAATAAGCAACAGGAACTTTGAAGCTGACTGGACAGCACTGGATACCGTTGTAGCTACTCTGAGGATTGCTCCACTGATGAAATCTCAGAGGGTTATTTGGGTATTTGGCGGATCACCAAAAAACATTGCTGATTGATTAATAAAATGCTGGCGAATTCCAGCACTAACCAACACAGAGGTCTAGGACTCTTGCTTGAAACCACCTTAGCGAAAAGGATGCCAGAAAGCCTTCAAGATTCGAATTCCACCAGTAGAAAATTAACAAAACTGTAGAATCATCCCATCGCAGCAAATACTGAAACAATATGTGGAAGACAGTGAGCGCCAAGGTGTAATTTAATGGCTGGAATGTAATTTTGGGGGTTCAGATCAGGATTAGAAACTATTCCTTATACAATCTGAACCCGATAATTACAAGCAGAGCTTTTATATTTTTAAAAAATATATTTTTGCATTACAGGGATTGTAATTGAGCAAAATAGCATCACAGCTTCATATTTTCCATGGGCACGAGAAAATGTCATTTTAAAGCTGTAAAACAGTGAATGGAAAATAAAGGCCTATTTCAAGGACTGGCACATCCGAACCAACCTTAAAAACTCGCTGCTCTACCTTTTTGCTTTCTCTTTCCTTTTTTATTTAAAAAAAAGGGATTATTTCGGAATTGCTGACTGCGAATCTCCAGACCTCACAGCAGCTGTTGCGACATGGAGCAATAAGAGGCTCCGAGATGGGAGGAAAGAGCTTCAAACAGGACCTCTTCGCCAAATCGGAATTCGATTTAAACTAAGCCCTAATCTAATTAATATAAAACAGCAGCTGCAAAGGTAAAAACAATGTGCAGACTAAACAGGGCTGGCCTGAAAGCAATAATTCTGGACACGAAATTACTGCTCAGATACAATTTTCTTCTTTAAAGAAGGACATCTTGGATTTACGTGTTCGTTTTCAAAACACAACAGCATGCCAACCATTACACCTTTGATCTGAGCTCAACACCATACTGTGTTCCAGCGAACCGATTGTCAGGAGGCTATTACTTACACAATGCTGTTTGTATTAGCAACCTGGCAAGGACATCGTCCCTTGGCTTGCTGACCACAGGAATGAGGGAATTTTTCAGAACTGCCCATTGGCGAGCAACTCGCACAAGCTTTTGCAGATTTCTGCTGCTCGTAGACACACAGTTTATCAGGTATTCTTTGATTAACTAGCTTAACAGCAAGATTTTAAGAAAAAAGTTTTGCTTGTTTAGTTGTACATTCACAAATTATTTCACTTTCACTGTTAAAGTAAATAGGTTTATCACAGTCATTTTTTGTTCATTTATTTTTTTAAAAATAAAACCAAGTATCAGAAACAGAGTTTGACTCAGAAGGTGGCAAAAACAACAACAAATGACATTTGTATAACTCCTTTCATTTCGGTAGGACGTCCCAAGACATCCAGTAGCACTTTTGGCTTTGGAATTGAAGAGTTACAAATTCAAGCCCTGCTACATTCAGACTTGAGCACAGTCTGGTACAGACAGAGCACAGGATTGCTGGAGATGCCTTATTCAAATTCACTTTTTTGTTTTTAAAAAAAATCTTTACCATTGCTGTGTGAGGCTGGTACACATTACATGCTGCATTTGCCTACATAACAGACATTAATTCTTCAAAGTAACCCGTTACATGGAATACTTGGGAAATAATCTGACATAAGGTCCTTTATCAATTGCAAATATTTGTTATTTCAATGCAATGGGACCCTTGAAAAAAGTCGCGTAATTTTTCTAAGATTATTTTTTTTTAAAACATTACTAGGTACAATTTGTAAGTAAATGTCATGTTACCATTTCATTCAAGGGCTGGGGTGGATGCAAAGGGGTATAATATCAGCCAAGTGGTTCCTCTTGGAGCACACAGATACACTAACACCAAATCAGGCACCGATTGCAGACTTGTTTCCTTTTGAAAAGGCTCCGTCAAATAATTTATAGAGACCTTAGCAAATGCAACACAGAGGGATGAGGGAAGAAAATTCAAATTGCACTCAGGCTCCCAAAACACTTGATTTATTTTGGTTCAGTGGATTGACTTTGCAATTGATTCATTGTTTTCTCAACTGTAATTTTGCTTTCGGGCAAATTCTGCTTTGCTTTCCTTTTCTCCCCCTCTCTCTCTTTCTCCCTCTCCCACACCTCTTCCCTTCTCTCACACTCACTCCCCCCAAACCTCAAAACATTTTTTTCCCTTCCATAGCACCTCTTCCACAAGCAGAAATTATTATTCTTGGACAGAAATTCACTGGCTACCGCTCGCACCAGACTTTCATCCCAGTCACCCGGCCAGACTCAATTGTGCAAGTGCCAGAGCTTTATTGTCAGTAATGAAATAGAATAAGTACTGCTTTGTGCACAAACATGACAGAAGTCACTTAACACAGCCAAACGAACAAAGATCACTTAGCACTTGCAGAGGATCTATATAAGCACGTCCATCCTTGTTTAGTTTGTGCAAAAACCTGGAGAAATGTAGAACTTTAAATTGAGATTTTTTTTCATATGCATTCTAGTCAAGGCATTTGTGGCTAATTTACTTGATTGAACAAGTTGCGTAATACACACTACATTGACTATTGCAGAAACCGTTTCTCTCTTCAGCACTATTCGCCAAATTACATGTCCTGTACCTAGATAAAGATCTGAGAAACAACTTAAAAAAAAGTCAAAAAATCTGCCCATATCAAGCTTCGAGAATTTGCCGTTACTATGATGAAGGTCTCCTGAGGCCTGGAAAAGCATTTCTTAGAAACAGTGGTTTGTAATCAGCGTTACCATGAAAAAATATTTCAAATGTTTGGAAAAGGCAAAAAGAATTGATAGGAGGCTCAGAGATTGACACTACAGAATGAAGCGTTTGATAGACATTCTCTCGTTTTCACAGGCGTGAAAGTCCTCATGGCACAATCCTCAAGTCCATTGTCTTTTTCATTTAAAATGGTGCAGAACTGGGCAAAAATCTTGAAATGGGGCTGAATTTGGAAGCCTTTTTTCCCCACAGTTTTTAACAATAACTGACTTCCAAACTAAGACTCAGTGCAATCATTTTCCAAAATTCTGAATGTTCTTTAATTTTAAGATGAGTTTTAAGGCTAAGAGCATGAAGAATATCAGGCATTTTGGGTCTGCCAAAGGCTTACACATTCCTGGGGAAAACACACGAGCAACAGAGCTGTGCTCAGCCCTCTGTCACCTCTGTAAAACAAGCAACAAGTAACTGACAGATCACCAGGAATCAACTATTCTTACTCCCTATGGGAATGCTATGCTCGTTTCGAGTCACTACCTGACAGCATGAGATTCCAAACTCAGTCTCGGGGAAAATGTGTGGTATGTAGCTATCCATATACTAAAACCTCGCTCTCTTTAATTTATAAAAAAANGCTTTCACTGAACACCATCACGGAGCACAGTAAAAGCAACATTACTTAGGTAAATGTCCAATACAGCAGATAATGACGTATATAAGACACGTGCTGTTGCCTGTAACTTTAGTTCTCTCAATAATTTAATATTAAGCTAGATCAGTGTTATAGCTGGTCCAAACTTTGATTACAGTACAAATAATAGCTTTGTCAAAACTTAGTGGAAAGAGGAATTTCTTGTTTGTACCCCTTAAGTGCAAAATAACTCAGTTTCAGACTGCTTAAAGAGTTCAGAGCTTATTTGCACTGGCTAGACTAGCCCACAACTACTAGATTAGAATTTGCAAGAGCAAATACGAGTGGTTGGGACCACAAAGCCGTGCACTTGCACCGTGTTGCTTCACTGTGCACTTGAAAGGAGCCACTGCTCAGCTAACTCAAAACGCAGCAAAAGTGCTTCAAAATAACATTGGAAGTTAGTGCACCTCCCGGGTACCTCACTAGGATGTGTTTTCATAACATAAATACAGTTTTAGCGTCTGCCTTTTAACCTCAGACTTTACCCTTCAACCACCTGTCAGACAACCTTGAGGTATTTTCCAGAAAATACATGACCACAAGGCCAAGTCTGAACAGAGTGTTTGTTCAAAAAAAATTAACTTTGCTCTGTTTAAACATTGACTGAAACTGAAACTTTTTTTTAAAAAAAAGGAAATCAGCACTCTAAGATGTATAAAACTATTTTCCGTTATTTTTTAACGTTGCCCTGTAATTTTGTCCCTCCAACCCCTCCTTTCCTGAGGACTGCAGCTCATGCA